TGACCAATTTTTAAAATCGAATGCTGACTGACAGTTTTCACAGTTAGGACATAATTTAAATTTTTACACTGAATTTTTCCGATTATATAATGATTTCAATTAAATTTTTCTGTTTTATGCTTAGATAAAAAATAAATTTGCCCTTTTGTTCTACTATGCCCTCGAAAATATTCATTTTATAATTCAGTCTGTATTGTCTCCTCTTAAGAAATCGAAACAACTCTGATTGAATTAACATGTACCCACAAACCGGAACTAAGGTGCAATTCTGCTGAAACCGGTAAACATTCCAAAGTTTTAAATTGAAATGTCTCTAAAATGTAAAAAACGTGTCACTTATGTTATATGTGGGCTATTTTTCCTGATGGGAGGAATCGAGTATGCAGTTATTCTCCCAACACTGTGGTTGTACATGAAAAACAAATTTGATGTTCATCCGTATTTCCTCGGACTTGTGTTGTCAGCCTACAGTTTCTCAGCACTTCTGTTTTCACCTGTGATTGGTAGATGTTCAGACGTATTCAGGAGACCAAAATTGCTTTTGATTCTATGCACATTTTGGGAGGTGGCTGGTAATACAATGTATTTCATGGGGATATCTAAATGGTTTCTCTTGGGAAGTAGACTTGTTAGTGGATTAGGTGCCGGCGGAGAAGCTTTAATTCTAGCCGAAATAGGCCGAGTCACATCTGAAGAAGACAGAACAGGAATCATTTCTTCCCTTGTTTCGATGAGACAGTTAGGGCTAGTATTTGGACCAGGACTTAACTTCTTCCTTCGCCTTTCTAATTTCTATATTGGACCCTTCATTGTCAATAAATTCACTGCCCCAGGTGCATTTATGGCATGCATGTGGACATTACAGTGCATTTTTCTTATCTTCTTCTTCACAGATCTTCATATTCTATATGGAAGTAAGGAAAAGAGCTTTCAAACTACTGAAGAAACAATTAAAGAAGGGGAAAATTTACACTACAAAATTACAGAAAATACTAAGGAAAGTCCAGAGCTGACCCTGAAACTTTTGTATGATGATTATATACGAGAGGAAATTATAGTGTTGATTGCTTTGCAATTCAACAGCTTTTTTAACCAAGTTGCCCTGGAAACCATGGCAACTCCATTGTCACAAAAACTACTGAACTGGGGGGAAATTGAGAATAGTATTATGTATTGCTTAGCTGGAGTTGAGGTTGTCATTGTATTCATGCTGGTGAGATTTCTCAGCAAGAAATTACAAGATCGTGTGATGTTATTGTTTGGTTGTGCAATACTTACTATAGCAAACTGTTGGCTAGTTATGTGGTCCCTCATTCCACACCAGAAACGCCACAGAGAAATATTGCTTTCTTTGCCATAGGCATTATTCTGGATATGTTAGCTCTTCCCTTTTTGGTTGTGTGCACTATTTCATTATATTCCAAACTGACCAGGAAAGAGACTCAGGGATTGAGCCAGGGTATAAGAAGGAGTGTTGTGGGCATCAGCTGCATCATCGCTCCTTTGTGGGCTGGTTCAGCAATTGATAAACCCTACCTTATGTTTGGTGTAATGATAGGACTTCTGGCAATGGCTTTACTGATGCTATCAATATCCTTTAGGAAACTGAAAACAAAAACAGATCGAAAACTAAATGATCTTGACAGTCGGGAACAGAGTTGCACCATTCAGGCTGAAAAGAATGAAGAGAGACAACCTCTGCTGTCTTAAGATAGATATTTATGGCCAGTATATTTAAATTACGTTTAATTTCCTACATACCCAGTAATATACATGTATATTATCATCACAGCACCAAATCATCAGGGAAGAAAATACATGGCTGGAATCTTGACCGGGAATCAAACCCAGGACCCCTGCATCACTAGATGAGTCCTCTATCAACTAAGCTATCCAGACTGATATCCACAGTCCAAACCATTAAATATTCATGTATTAATTTAAGCTCAAAGTTATAATCCATGACCATATAGTTTCTGCAGTACAAAAAAAACCATCATTTACATGTCAATGTCATTCTTTATACCCTTTTCACAAAACACTTCCGTCTCAGCATCAGTTTTATTTAATAACATTATAATATGTGTACTGTATCATATTTACATGCATTGAAAGAGAAATTAATTATTGTTTTCCTTTCCATATATTTATATTTTTGTGATCGAAATTAGATACACACATGTCTATTTATTTTTTATTTTTTTGTTTTTATGTGATATAGTTTCTCTTGGAATAATATACAATGGGATTTCTAATATTTCTTAGATAATTAATGGTATGTATACTCTATAAACCATAATTATGTCCATTCCATTCAGGTTAACCATTTTTGAACAGTTATGTATTCAGGGTTTTTTTTAATGAAATTATTCATATATTTTTGTTATAATTCAACTTACAATATTTATGATTTTGTTCAAAGATTGTGATATTTCCTGATGTAAGAATGTAAAATATTGATTAAAATGCTGAATATTTATTAATGTTTCAATGTATATAGATTTTTGTATAACTGCCTGAAGAGCCGAACATGGCGAAAGCGCTTGCAGTAAATGTTTTGTGATATTTTTGGATTTTTATTTTTAAATATGTATCAAGATATATTTAAGGCAGGCTTACAATTTGTTAGTGCTATGGTAATCACTCATCTTCTTATAGTACTTGGAAATAAACTCTTTTTCTTTTCAAACATTTCCCAGTCAACCCTTCTTCATCCCTCAGCAGAGTCCTTGCTGACTGATCAGCTTTTTATTATGTACTTACCAATATTTGTGTATACTTAAGTGATTTTACTGAATATTCATTTAGTTATATCATCTTTTCGGATTTTTGGTCAATAATAAGTGAAACTTTGTATCTGAAGAAATTTCACATTAACTATGTATATTTTAAATAAGACATTGATTACCAGATTGTTATTGAAAGTTTCGGTGCCCTTATTCCTTCCTACTAAAAGTTTACCACACCCTCTTTTCCACCTCTCCCAAACACAAATTAACATTTATGTATTCCTGATAGAATATTTTATTAACATGACATGAAATGAAATAATTTATTATGTTATGTGGAGTTTTTTTTTAATAATGTCAATATTTTCATATGTTAATGTCACGTTTTCTTTCATTCGTTTGCCCGTTTCCCTTCCTGCCATACAGTTTATCATCTCAAGCCACGGTTCATCCTCGCAATTAAGTCAGGGGTCCTGAATCACCACGTTGCCTTTGGACATCCAATGACAAAGTGGTGACTTGAGACCCCTGGCTTCTGTGGATGGCCAGTGCCCACGGTTCGGAATCCGCATTATGGCTGTCTACAGAATAGGAGAGATCGTACATTTTGGCCGTGGTTTGCGACGATGCATACAGTTTGAAGTTCTTAGAATTTTTAGTACTAATTAGAATTCCCAAGTCATGTTACAAATTAGACTGCACAACAAGAAATGCATTATGTGAATTATGATAACACTGGTTATTTAGCTAACTGTAATAAAATGAGTTTGATGTTTCACGTCAATTCAGTCTTCTAAACACATTTGGAATACATCATAAATAATATAATATTAATAATTCACATGTAAATATACAACACATCTTATTAATACTTCCATACAAATATTATTATTGAATGATTGCGGAGGAAGACAAATTAATAGAACAATGTGTTTACAGGAAATTGAAATGAATTAATATGATATGAAATAAAATTTCAAATAAGGCATTGTTTTATTTTTCTTGAACTAAAAACGACGCATACACATTTATACTGCATTCATAAGGACGAGAATTAATTTGACATAGTGGGTGACACCAATATAAACAACCATATATATGCATACAAATTTACTCATTTTTAAAAATACTTTGGAACTTCTAACAATACCCGTGATGTACATTTCATTTCAACATCATTTTTCAAATTAAATATAAAACCTCTAACCACTTATTCACATTATTATTGCGTTGGAATATTTTCCACTGTCATTTTATACTCGAGGCTTAAAAAAAACCCAACAATTTTCTTTTAATTTGTGATATTGCAATATCTACAAAATGCATTTCAATCCTACTGTCTAAAGTCAAACAGTTTTGCAGGTTTTAACATATTTATTGTAAGTACAAGGGCGTTTTTAGTTGAATTTTATTGATGTGTGAATCACACAGAATTGCACACATGTACAGGTATATTTTTCATGAAGCTCTACGTAGATTACCGGAACATACCTGCATGACAAGGCTGTGTGATTTGCACAACAATAACAATCACAAAATTTAAAAAAAATGTGTTTGTGAAACACTGGTGCCATCGTATGGCAGCTTATAAGGAATACACTTTCTCAAATGCAAGTCAAACTCCAAGGTCAAACTTGTTGGTATCCAAAGAAGGGTTTGAAATATGAAAGCCCTAGTGCTCACTGTTCTAAAGTTACGGCTTAATTTTTTGAAAAAGTGGGGCAAATTCCAAGGTCATGAGGTCAAACTTGGTGGTACCCAAAGAAAGGTTTTGTCAGAAGGAATTCTGTGAAATGTGAAAGCCATAGACAAACACACGGAGAAGACGAAAACTACCGGTATATACCCCGAATCTTAGTTTACGGGGGCATAAACATTGAGTAATACTGGTATACAAGTCAGTAAAAGTAGTTAGTATATTAAAGAAAATTATAGAACAATGAAGATCGTTTGCCTTACATCACATACAGATATACAAGCCTTTTTTAAAATATATCAGAAATTATTACAGATTTTTTTTTAAAAAAAAGTTTCATCATTTGGCTTCAAGAAGCCAATGAACCTTTGCTCCTTTCTATTCCAAGTACTTCAACACAAGTATGCTTCCTTCATAGTAGTCCCCTACTACCACCTTGTCATCGATTGTATCTATAGTCCAAGGCACGCACATGTCAGAGTTTTCGATCAAAGACAAAAACTTTCCTGTATGATCTAAGATGTGAATGCAGTAGTTGTTGTAATCTGCGACCAGTATTCTGGACATAGCGTCCGTCATAATGCCACGTGACCAAATGGTTCTGCATCCAAAAATGTTTCACCTGTATAAGTGAATTGTAAAAGTCCGCTTTTGTTTAGGACAAGACCTTTATTTGCTCCATAATCAGACACACAGAGATCGGAATCCTGATTCACCGCTATATATAAAGTCTCATCAACGTCACTAAAAAGAGGTTCTCCATCTTGATCATATTCAAAATGCTCGGTGGAACCTTGTCTATGACGAACAATCTTCTTATCACACGTACTTGTATGTATCATACAAACGAGAATGTCTTCTTTTGTAGCGTGTACTCCCATTGGAGTCCAGTCTTGGAGCCTCACTACCTCTTTTACTTGATCGTCTTTCCAGATGTTCACAGATCCTTCTGCACAATCACTGAAGACCAGATCTCCCTCAAAATTAAAACACATATCAAAAATAACCCTATCCAGTGGAAATGTTTCCAGTTTTGTAGGTTTTGCTCCTTCTTTGACCATCGGAAGAATAAATAATGAAGGTGTATCGACATAATATCCAGAGGTCCATACTTTCTCTTCCAAATCTACAAGACTTCTCATTCCGCTCAAGCCTGTCAGGAACTTTTGAGAAACAATGGGATTTCCGATCATTTGCTTCACTTTCCGAATGGGCAATTCAAGACTGTGGGGATCAAGAATTAACTCTTGAATCTCCGGGAATTAAATCACCCATCCACTCAAAAACAACCTTTTCCTCTACATCACGTGGTTTGAAAACAGGAAGCGTAAAATCAGACCATTGCGGAATAATTTTAAAGCTTTCCATATTTGTTTCTATATCTTGAACTGGTCCTTTTCTCAAAATTTCCTCATAATTTGCAACCATTTTTGATACATCATCTAAAGCGTCTTTCATCTTTTGAATGCTGTTTTCTAGAGTATTCCAGTGTTTAATTTGCATGTCTTCTAACATGTCAATGTGCACTTTTACAGCCTCGTCGACTTTTTCATGCAGTTTCTTCCCTTCAAGTTTAATTTTATCTTTAAGGAGTTTGTATTGCTTTGGGAGTTCTTCTCTCTTCCTTTTCATGTTTAAATAAATACTTTCATATATATTTGTAATTGCAACATGAACCCCTTTGGTTCCAGCTTTCATTTCAGCTTCCATCGGCTGATATTTTATTAAGTTTATGGTATCATGCAAAGAGTGACTTTCAGTAGGGCATAACTCGCACATGTACGTATTACACGTCTTACAAAATTTGGTATTGGTACTATGTTCATGTTTTGTACATCGTACTGGAAATGCTGATGCTGGTTGTTGTTTAATTTTCTCAAATTCATGGACATGACAATGTGTTGTCCAACATTTTTCACAGAATCCAACTTCACACTCTGGGCATGTGGTGTGCGTCATTTTGTGGCATTCAGTACAAGTTTTAGCCAATTTTCTTGTTTCTTCTATTTCTACGTCGTCAGCTCCTTTAGAAACAAATAAGGTTAAACGAATATTTGAAATTGCATCTAAACACTGATAACAATAAGATCTGATAATTAAGAGTTAAGGCACACTTACCAATATCAGCAAATTCATCAAGCTCTACAATGACATCATCTTTTTTCAGCTTGAATATCCACAGAAATAGGTCATACTGAACAACCTTTCTCAACTCCTCTTGAATTATTCCAATCCTTAAGTCGTCAGTAAATTTCTCAAATCCTTGTAAAGATTCAAAATAGAAGGTAATCAAAAGGCATCCATCATTGACCTCAAATTTCGCCTTGTATTTCTCCCGAAGGTTAATGACGAAAGAGAAAAACCTCTTCATAATTGCCATTCGAACTTTCTCTTGATGTTTAAAGGCCGATCTGAGCTTCTTTTCGAATGATTCTAGTGACTCTTCAACGAAGACAATATCCCCTTTGCTTGATGAATATTCCAAAAACTGTGTTATACAATCTTCGACCTTGGAAATGTCTCCCTCTTTTGTCTTTTCGTTAATGTATTCCACCATCTTATTCAGCGTTCTTTTAAGGATGTCCATACTTTTGTCAGCTTTTCGTTTTGTTTTTGTTGTGTTTATTCTTGGTCGGATATTGACTTTAATTGCTGATCTATAAGGCCCTGCTTTATAAAATAATTAACAAAATGTAATACCCTGACGAGCAATAAAATGCAAATAAAGACCAATGACCATGGCATTAAAATGACATTTTTAAACTGGAAGCTTGAAAGAACCTTTTTGAATTGCAAACAATATATAGTGTTGCGTGTAAAAGAAATTTAAAATTCTCACTCGTTTTAGAGCATTTCGACTTTTTCTTCGTTTCCTTAATATCCAACCTTGACTTAATTTCCTTCGTATCTGATTGTAAGGAAGATAACATTTCCAGGACTGATTTATCCTTTTCGCTGTCGGCTTTTATTTTTTCAATGTATTGATTTTCCTGTTCTTCATCAATTGTCCCTTCAAATATATTCTGTAGATCGTTAGTATATGATCCACCTATCCTTGACTGAAACCTTTGGCATATGTCAGATACCATTTTCCAGTATTCTTCAAATAACTGTTTCGAAATGGAAGTAGAACTGACATGGCCATACATTTTGTTTCGGATTAATCTTATTCTTTCTATATCATCGCCCAATCCTACTTCTCCAGTTTCAGGAAAATCCGAGATTCCCCATCCTTTTGTCGGCGGTGGAATATTTGTGCAAATGTTCCTCAGTAGTGTGTACATCAATGTAATGTCAAAATCCACGTATCCCTTTGTAGAAGCGTCTTTTAAAATTAAAATTTGATCTTTTTTTAGCTTTTCGAAAACATCTTTTAATGCTTTAACTTTATTGAAAACCCGACTTGCTGGAACATGTTGCTGCAGTAGATCTCTATACACCTGTGTCAGTTCATCGATGATCGCCATCAATATTTTGGCAAAGCGTGCACGTCCCCCTGGGTCTAATCCAAGAGCCATTTGTATTGTTTATAACTATAGTCACCGTTTCACGTACTAAGCAAGAATTGGGAACGTCTTCCGATTCTATATAATAGCACCTCTAAAAGAATTGTTTCGTTTTGGAACTGATCAATACAAAGTCGGAAAAAATGTCAAATTTAAAACGAAAGTATATATCCGTGAATACATGTATTTATTCATTCTTCAAATTAAGCATATCAAATTAAATGAGTTTGTTAAAAAATTATTTGAAGATATTTTTAAGTTAAAACTAGATATTTACCTATACGGTATGCACTTTTCGAATAATATATGTTTGTGTTATAAGTATTGACGTCACGATAAATAAGGGTGCGCGTTTACTGCCATAAAGAAATGGCTTAATATTTTAAAAGTATCTCAGCATGGAATATTTTCATCGAGATATAGCATTATATTCATATCATGGGCGTCAGAAGCAAATTGAAAGGGGGAGGGGGGCTAATCGAAAGTGGGGGGGGGGGGCTAAACCAACATTAACCTAATTTTCAATGCATATACAATGTCTATTTTTGCCAAAAAAGCCCCCCCCCCCCCCCCGCCCCCGGTTCCGAAGCCTAGATGCAAACAAAAAATAGTATGAGGTATGAAGAGTTGCTCATTTTTCAGAAATGATTTTCATGTCAGACCATGATACGAGGAGGTTTTAAAATGAGAATATGAACAATGATTTATTATATCATACTTTCATGTAAATTACTGTAAACCAACTTTTATTCGCGACGACTTTATTTCGCGATTTTCTAGGGATAAACTTGTTCGCGACAATAAATTTTCGCGATCAAGTCTTTTTGGATCTGTAGTTAATAGACAAATACACTTCAAAAACCGGTTCGCGGCGAGAAATATTCGCGATTACGAGGCTCTCGCGAACTTCGCGAAAATTTCTCGCACGCGAATAAAAGTTGGTTTACAGTACTTGAATCTGATTCGTCGAGAAAGATTTGATAAAAAACACTACTACCCGCTGAATAATGAAGCCACGCCCCCCTGCGTAGCAACAGTCAACATTGCTTGACGACGGGTGGTATTCCAAAAAATAGCGACTGCGCGGAATTTATGCGCGCACGGTTCACTGTAATATGTATTCGTATAAAACATTCAGTATAATATAATAAATATTGCATGTAGTTGAGTGTAACACTGAAAATTTTCACCCCTCGAAAACCATTGTAAACCTCGGCTGCGCCTCATTTGACAATGGTTTTCTTGGGGTGAAATTTTCAATGTTACACTCAACTACATGCAATATTTATATAATAACAAAGTAAATTTATATAAATATGACAGCCCTGAGGGTTTTTAGCTCACCCTAGCCGAAGGTTCAAGTGAGCTTTTCTGATCACATTTTGACCGTCGTCCGTCCGTCTGTAAACTTTTGACATTTTCGACTTTTTCTCAAGAACTACTGGGCCAATTTAAACCAAACTTGATAGAAAACATCCTTGGATGAAGAGGAATTTAAGAGAGATAATCAAGAAAAGACGAAAATGGGTGATGTCATTAAAAAATCTTCTTCTCAAGAACCACTGGGCCATAAAAGCTGAAAAATTTGTGGAAGCATCCTGGGTAGATTCTAAATTGTTCAACTCATGACCCCTGGGGGCAGAGCGGGGTCACAATTTGGAATCCAAGTTTTACATTGAAATATATAGGGAAAATATTTAAAAACCATCTTCTCAGGAACTAATGGGACATAAAAGCTGAAACTTTTGCGAAAGCAGCCTGATGTAGTGTAAATTTTTAAAATGTCTACATTTTTACCCATGGGGTAGGGATGGGTAACTTGATAGTAGGTAATACTATGAGGAAATCTGGAAAAGAACAGCATGTTCTTTACGATGTGCGATGTGGCCCATGGGCCTCTTGTTTTAGGTCTTGAAATCAAGGGCCTGGGTCTTCCCATTTGAGAAAAAACTAGTGACATTAATAGTTAAAATTGGGGAAATTAAAATATCATCATTAACATTTTTCTTCTAGAAAAAATGTAAAAGAGTCATTTCTTTATTTGCTAGTCATTTATTGACTTATTTACATTCAATAATTCTTATTGAAAATTACTCAGTCGTTGGAGTTGTAATTTTTGTTCTTTCTATGATACTGTACGGTTATGGACTCTTTTGTTTTTGAATATGGTTTGGTAACCATTGCAAACCATAATTTGTTCTTATATAAATATTGCATGTAGTTGAGTGTAACATTGAAAATTTTCACCCCAAGAAAACCATTGTCAACCGAGGCGCAGCCACCCGTCGTCAAGCAATGTTGACTGTTGCTACGCAGGAGGGCGTGGCTTCATTATTCAGCGGGTAGTAGTGTTTTTTATCAAATCTTTCTCGACGAATCAGATTCAAGTAATTTACATGAAAGTATAATATTGCCAATTGTTTGCTTTGCCGCAAATGTTAACTATGGGGCTTTAATGAAACATATCAATAAATGCCCAATTTCAAACTTTAAGACGTATTGTCATGGTGACTATAACACATAGTAACCAATTTTTGCCCAAAATTAGTTAAGGGTATCAAAGACTTTTATCATAGAGAGTTTGGAGAAATTCTGAGACTACTAGTAAGCTCCTTTATAACATTTCAAGTCATTACAGAGAATAGCTCTAAAACAAAAGTCCTGTACTGGCTGTACAAATTTTAAAAACCTGGTTCATGTATGAAAACACAAAAATAAAAGTATGTCCTCCACGTACCAATGTTGCTATGCCTATTCTCTTCTGTGTAGATTGGATGAGGGTGTTGATAGTACGGTGTGGAAACCTTTCTTTTCTTCGGCGATTGCTGCTGTCAGCTGCTTAAGATTCGTGCATGGCGGCTTGTGGGCAACAATTTCATCCCAAAGATGCCCTAATGGCGATAGATCTGGAATGTGTGGTGGTCATTTAATGTATCCACATTGTGGGTATATGCGAAAATCCCTGGCAGACATGTAGTCTAGCATTGTCTTGCTGGATTATCATTTGAACTGTAAGGTTTTGTACCGCGTATCACTATAAAGCATCTTCCGACCAATGTCAATGTCTCCTACAACATGACGGACCCCAAAGCGGACTCTCACTACTACGGCGTACGCATGCGTCTGCAAAACGTTCTCCGCGCCTTCTATTCTTTTACTACCATCTACTTTGTGAGACTTACTTTATGAACTGTTAACGAGTAATAGACTATTTAATTATTCCTTTGATCTTGGTAACAATGCTTCATCTTTATTCATCTATTTTAAATTTTTAAGTAGCTCTAAATTATTTTGTACTCAGGTGACCGCTAAGGCCCTTGGTCTCTTGTTTAGCCTGTAATATTGCAATTTTGTAAATAAAAGAAATATTGTGAATAGATTACGGACAAAGGAAATTGATTCCATCAAAAATTATTTGCGATTCGGAGTGCTTTATAGAAAATATGCCACCTAGGTTTACGTAAAATGTACGTAAAATGGCCCTGTACTCAGGAAACTTGCGTATTTGACTACCTTCAGCAAATAAAAATTTGAGCACAGCCCATCATCCAAATATTATATAACGTTTTTTTTCAATCTGATTTTTATAAAATCAGCTGTTCTGATACGCTACCGCTTACGAAACGTTCGTGTATAGCGTATCAGAACAGCTGATTTTAATCAGATTGATGTTTTTTTTAATCTTTAGAAACAGATCTATCATTGTGTAATTTCATACATTGGATCAGAAGTTGTACTCTGAATGAAATTTTGAAAAAAATACTTCAAATTTAGGCCATTTTAAAAGGAATTTACAGGATATGGGGAAAATTACGCATTTCATGACGTCATAATGCATTGACTAGAGGGAAACTTACGTCATGTTTGAAATATAATATACACTTATCCACTGGTTGTGAGTGGGATAGCTCTTTTATCAAACCCGTTACAGGGAACTATTCCCCGAGGGCTTGCCCGAGGGGAATAGTCCCTGTCAAGGGTTTGATAAAAGAGCTATCCCACTTACAAACAGTGGATAAGCGTTTTATTATACTGATGTAAAATAAAGTTTTTGAGGTTCAATGACTTCTATGACTTCTATTGCCTCAAATCTTTCACTTTTCGTACGCATTTCACACATATTCATGTTCACCAGGGGGGTCAGCGTTTTCCAGGGGGGGTCCAACGTTACTTTTTTCTTGCTTTAGTATATACATTTTTAACCGTGTAAATTCCAGGGGGGTCCTGACCTCCCCCCCCCTCTAGATCCGCGCATGATGCGTGAACTATAAAAGATAGCTATTTTACCTTCTTAACTTTATAAAGGAAACATTTTAACAGAAGTATAATAATATATATTATACGAAGGCAACATGACACAGTCCAAATAATAAATCCAACATTTTCGGGCTAAACTGAGCAGTTTTGATTTTTCAGAAATTCTCAGGGGGCCCCAAGTGGCTCTTGCTCTTTTAAAGCCATATGAAAACAGATAGTCTAAAATTTAGACTATCTGTTTTCATATGGCTTTATTTAATAGCCTAATAATAAAAGCCAAACGTGTTTCTACCCAAAAGGAACCTGTCAGAGCTTGTTTCTTCACTTATCACGTCCCCATTTGGTTATAAAAATTATATACTCATGTACTACCAAGTCTTATCAAATTAAATATTGAGATCGTTCCTTCCTCTTCATCCTAGAATCGCAAAAAAATACTTTATAAGGTGTCGGTTTACTCAATTTGACGTCCTCGGCTCGGTATAAATCTATTTTTCCTAATGCACGATAGACTATCCTGAATCATGAATAACATGAAATGATACTTAAAACTTATATGAATCTCATGGGGATAAACATTTAATCCATTTATCAACACACAATTAATAAAAATCCAAAATGTGTCCGTCAACAAGCACAAAATAAGGAATTCAGATGTCCACCATGTCTTTGTACATCCGGGTAACAGGTGCTTTCTTTTCCAGCCGTGCTTTGGCGATATAAATACCGCGACTTGTGATGATTAGCGTCATTTCACTGGAGTCGGTTGTGTAGTTCAGTGTGCGAGATGACTACACGAGAAAACGAACCCTTGACCGTGTTTAATATTGATGATGGCATACGTTTGGTCTATTACGTGAAAGCAGAGTGTGTGGAGACCGGACAAGAAATTGGCAGGTGGACATTGGCTCGAATTAGCGTAGCAGATAGCGATGAAGTATTCCAGGACTCCGACTGGCTGGAGAGACAGCAAAGGAGACTACACCGGCGACCGACGCCATATGGGACCCCTCTACAGAGGAGGTCAAGGACATCCACGTCTCACCAGAATACTCCTCATCCCAGGAACCACCGCTCCCCAGAACGAGAGAATTCAGCACCCGTCACAGATTCTCCTGCCCGGGGCCATCGCTCGCAACCAAGATGGGACAGGATCTCGGAGATGACGCCCCCACAAAGCCCTGCAGCAGGACATTTGCCACCCAGAACCCATGCAAGGAACAACAACAACCGTGCCAACACCCAAAACACAGGTTTAACTAGCACTTCTAGCTCTCCGGGCACCAGGGAAGAGGTTTTGGATCAAGAAGATACGTTCGCTTAAAGGTTGTTGGCTGGTCTTGTGTCACAACTAATAAATAAAACCAACGGCCCTTTTAAGGGCCACCCAATAGTACAGAAAAGATGCCAGCATGTAACAGACGTTAAAAGAAACGTTTTGAAAAATCTTTTTATTTAAAGTTTTCGAGTTGTTTGTTAATTAAGGGTTGGAAAATTACAATTTATGCGTATAAGGCTGGTACAGACCATGAAATGTGTTTGAATTTTAACCAGTTTTTAAAAATGCTGAAAACATTCAAGTACTTGCATCTTTAAAAATATGCCCATGTATTTATCTTTATTTCTTTTTTATTACAATGCTTGAATTCAAAATATACACTCGCATTTGTTTTAGATAATTAAAGCAGACTGTGGAATGAACTTTCTTAACGCTGTCCAACAATACCTTTTGCAGTGAAAAAAGAAAAAAAGAATTCTAAACTTCAACAAATTTTATTCTTGGTAATATTCTTATCAACAATATTTTTCAGAGATATTAAACTAAACACGAATTTCCAAACTACCTAATAATTTATCAGCATATTCTAGCAGGGACCTAGCTTCAACAAATTTTAGCTCTAGGTAAAAATATATATTGATATTTTTCGGAGAGCCACAGTGCCACCCATTTAAAAAACTGGCTATTTATTGTGCACAAAAAAGTGCACTCCGTTCTTGATTAATTCTTCCAAATTCTTACCTCAATTGCAAAAATGCTAGATTTCAATAAAGTCCTTACTCTTTTATCAATTACTTTCGTAGTTTACATCTGTACGAAGCGCGTTGGAACGAATTATCTTACAAACCATAATGGCGACATTTTCGATTATCTCAATTTCAGGGCCAAGGGGGGGGGGGGGGGGTAGTTAAAACAATGATAAGGAATGTTTTGTTGTGGAAACAGTGAAAGAATATGTTAGGAACGCACCGTTAGTAATATTTTGAGATGACAGTTTTAAGAACACGGAGAAATAAATCGAGAAGCAGCGCACTTTTTTGTGCGCAATATAGTTTTTTCACGGTTTTCATGGGTGGCACTGTAGCTCTCCGGTCTAGCAATATTTTTTTTTTGAAGAGCTACAGTTCTGCAGCTACCAGGGACCTATATAGGTCCCTGATTCTACTAGTATTTAGAAAACAAGAGTGTTTTACTTATAAATTTTTTTTTAAATAGCTTAAAGATGTATTCTGCTGAGACTTGCATTATTTATGTAATACAATGTAGTTGAATTGACTCCGCAAAGGGGTATCTTTTGTAAATGTGAAAGTCGACTACAAAATGCTTTCTGTAGATGCTAGTCAGGAATTATTGCAGCTGTTGCAGAAAAATACATACCCAGCGTAAGTGGTTATGTAATTTTTTCTGCATTACATACCACATTAATTCCCATAGTTAACAACCAAGAAAGACATTTTTATTGCTTATATTTTACATCTTTATGAAAAAACAAAAACATTCAAAGTAAAATTAAATGAGTTTAATTTTGTATTACAGATGAATATGTCCTAATTGTATCATGCATAACTGATGAAACAGCCATTGTTCAAGAAATTTTTTATGCTTGTGATTTCTTGCTTAAAATTTGTATATACGTCATTTTTTACATGCACTGATTCATGGAGCAATGGTCTTCAATGTTTATACAGTTTTTGTCGACAAATAAGAATTATTTGACATAAAGACGACAACAGAGGTGTAAGCAGAGCGCGCCCTCTGGAAAAAAATATTCAGAGGATGTAAATAGTTTGAAAATTTTTCATAGAGATGATAGACACTGAACAGAATATTTCTTTCTCTGAAAACATGATCTGGAATTGGTCTTTTCTTCCTATTTTTAAAGAAGTTATCAAAACTACAAAGAATCAGAATGTGTCAAATAGAAAAATAATACTTTGAAAAAACTGTTTTGTGAAAAACAAAAATAATCAGCATACTTTGATAGCCAAAAACTTCAGATGATTGTTTTGTTAATTATTCTGTTTAAAATTGCTAATGTAAAAATATCTCACTACATTCCTTTTTGAAAGATTCAAATCATTTTCAACAAGTTGTTATTTAGAAAGTTATTTGAAGAACTAAATTTGTTCTTAAGTCGTAAGTTCTTTTGTAAAACGGGCTCCAGAAATGCAGAATACATCCTTATTTAGGATATAAGATATCTTTGTGATTTTTTTTTCCTTTGGAATATTTTCTTGCAGTTTTCTTTCCATTCTACTTTCACTTTTCCTCTTCCTGTTTCTGTACGGCCTTCTTTGTTTTTGTGGCAATATCTACCACCTGAGGTTTCAGTTTCGTTAGTTCATCCATGACCTCCGACATGTCTTTATCTTCACTCTGTAGCTTCATCTGTTGAATAACTAGGTCTGCCAAAATAATATAAAACATCAGCTACAGTGTATTATATAAAGTGCAAAATAGTTGTAACACAAGACATATTGTACATGTTCAACAAAAACTGATAAAAAAACATATTGTACATGCATTTTAATAAGGGTACATATGTTTTTTACATATTGTAAATACATGTACTTCAGAATGACAGTATGAATGGAAATAGATATGACTTTTAACAATGGCTTAAAATATGCTCAAAACAACTTTCATGCTGTAAAAACATTAGAGAGATCATGCATTGAATATAAATAACTCGTGTATTGCTCACTTTATATTTCATATACATTGAAACTTTAATTGGGTAACATACTAAGAATTACATGTATAGATAAACACAAATGAACATGCTGTTTTGCATACTGTGAAATCATTAGATTTTGTGCTGGCTCAATATTTGTGGATTTTATGGGTATTCTCCTTAACAAACGAACATCCACCATGTATTAACAAATTAAGGTTACAAAGTCATATTTCTTTCTGTAGGTACAAGAGAATCAGAGAATACATGAAATTATGTCCCTAAGAACCTGTAAAATTAAATGAATCCATAAAAAAAAACCATTGGGCCGACAAATTTTTATGATTCCACAGTATATCATGACCAAGGAGAATACAATTTCTTGATTCTCCTATATTTGCTGATATAAACCTTCCAATATTCAATTGATGTCCTTATTTACCTTGCATCTTTACAAGCAGCTCGTGAGACTCGGGTGCCAGGTGTTGCTTCAGAAAGGTGATAATCTGGGGGACACATTTTCCTGGGGCATGAACAATATTGGAGGTAAACGTCTGAAACAGAATGACCACCGTCAGATGTAGGAGCATGGCGGGATCGGTCTCTCTGGATAGCTGCTCCACCAGGGCCTGGCGGTGGTTAAAGATCAGCTGTCTGTATGGAACAAAATTTAAGACAAATAAAGAATGAATTTCACTGCACACTCTATGCAACAAAATGTATGGCTACAGTACAAGAACATTTTTATTTATTTATTTTTGGTTAATGAAACAGAAAATTTGTTTTCATAAAATGTATAAAGAACATTTCCCGATGTTTACCTTTCCTTTCTTTTATCAGGTTTTCTTAGTAAAATTCCCAGGTGTTCAGGACCACACAGTACATCCAACTGTTTGTAGAACTCATCCAAAGACTGTAAAACAGAATAGCGGTACTTTATGAGTTATCTAATGACATTTCATTTATAAAAACCAAAGTGCTCGATAATTTTACAAAGTCTTCATAATCCTTTTAAACTGAGCTATGATATCTCTGTTTTCAGTCATTTTATACTGACTTTTCCATTCAGTGAGCTGTTAAGTTTGGTCGCACACTGTTGAACACCATCAGGGAGTTTGCTGATATATTTAGCTCGAGACTGAAATCAAAATTTCAAGTTCTAAACAATATTCATTTTCCAAATGTTATGCATAAAATATGTCAGAAGAAAATGCTTCATCAGAAGCCTGACGAGTTCTATCATTGGGAAAATAGAAGGTTTATTTAAGTTGACAAAATTAAGGTCCACCATGTATTAGCAAATGAAAATATGCATGTCAAAGTGTCATGTTCAAAAACCACACATGTAGTGTCACTAAAAGTATTCAACAACTTTATTTAATTGACATTATCAATCAACTCTTAGTATACATGTAACAAAATTAAAATCAGGATCTATTTTCCCCTCCCTGACCTCTGGGGTGAGAGCCTCCTCTTCCTCCGATTTGGACAACATGTGGTCATGCATGAGGACATTTACCACCACGTTAGTGATGTCAGTACACACAGTCTTCAGTAAATGTTTATTCAGAACTTCAGTCTCCTCTGAAACAAAAAATAATGTTTAGTAATATTAAAATTAACTACACCCAGCCGATTCTGCATGTTAAAAAAGTTATTGAAAATACAAATGCAAAAATCTATTCTATAATTTTGTAATTCAAATCTAAATGATGCTATATTTTAGGGAAATACATGTATACATAATTTAGAAAACGTCACCTTGATATTTTCCAGTGGACCGTACCTGGGATACACTTGGCACCTTTCTCAAACAGCAGGACATTGGTCCAGAGTCCTGTGATTTTCTCCTGTAGGTCACTGTGCGTCTTTTTCTTTCCTGATCCAGAACTCTGGGTCGCTGTAGAATGCAGAACGTCCACTGCCTTCTGATGATACTCTCTGTTTAGAGGCCTGCAAACAAAATATTTCAAAAGATGACCAAAAGAACAAAAAATTTAAATCAGTTTACTTCAGTTCTGAAAATAATCTATTATCTATTCAAAAGATATTGACAAAATATTTCTCCTTCCCTTTGACCTTCGCCTGTATAATTAACTAAGGTCATTTATGAAAATGGGTTAACTTTGTTAAGTCCAATTTAATGTTTAAATTTAAACCTAAGCTCAGTCTCCCACAACCAACAAAATCATCCTTACCTGTGTATTTGAGTAGCAATTTCCGTGATGAAGTCTTCAGGACAATCTCTGAGCTCTGGTTGTTTCTTCAGTTTCTCTGCGATCTCCTCCACGGACATGAACTGTATCTCAGCTTGACGGGGACGAGACACTTCCTCCTCATCGGAATCCCCTCCCTGGTCCCCGCGACCTTTGTGATACTTCTTCTTAGTGGCCTTCATCTTGACCTCACGACCTTGAGTTCCACCACCACTTTTTGTGGAACCTAAAAAAGGAAAAAAAAATCATTTACAAACAAGCAACCAAATGATAAATAATTTATTAACTACTGTTATATTCAATGCAAGAAAACACATAAACACTTCTTCCGTAAATTTATCAGATTTAGTTTTAAGATTAGATAGCTTCTTTATTGAGTGATTGTTAAACATTTCTTTATTTCATCTGTGAAGATGACAATTAATACATGTATATCATTTGGTATACAAAAGCTATATATATTCATCTAAACTATGCCTTATATACATTGTGCAGAAACCTTTTAATTTGACTTACCTTATCATCTTACATGGGTTGTATTTTTAAAAATTATTGTGTTTAATACATTTTATGAGAAGTTAAAGTATTAGATGTACAATCTATGTTGTTATCATATATTTGTTAGATGTACATAGAAAAATATTAAGCAATTTATCTGATTCATTAATTTAATATTAGGCAGTCTTCATGGACAAAGGTTTTTGAAAAATAGTACATAAATGATACTACAGAATCTAAATGTAGGTTTAAGTATGAATGATATACAATCATACAATTCATATGTAAAACCCCTTAGCAAAATACTGGAAAGTAGCAAACTGATCAAATCTCTTCTAAATTTTGGAAATGTATTTAGCAATGAAAGTGGACAAAATGCAAAAAGCAGTTAATAAAGTAAAGACTGAATTTGGTCCTCAAAATACAAGGCATAGATACCTGTTTATTGATACAAGACATTGCACATATTTCAAACAGATGAGCAATTGAGCTTTATAGTCATAATAATAAGACACACATAGTCTTCATGCAATAAAATTCAGTTAAAACAATAAGATGTAATTTCCTTGAGAGTAATGTAAAACCCTTCTCTTAAATTGTTGAGCATTATCAATGATTTTGTGTCATGGACATTTTACCTCAAAATCAATACTGGTTTTCTTCAAGTTATAAGGAATAATTGCAAAAGTTAAATGACCATTAGAGATCTTGTCTGGATAAAAAGATAGAATAATTAGATATACCCAAATTTATATTTTTTATGTTAGATAAATTGATGGACTGATATTTTCAATCCATAAACTTTGCTAACAATTTGGCCTAACAAATCTAGATAATTAAATTAACAGATAAACATTAAAACATGAACCAGAAGTCTCTGTCGAGACTGTAGCTCTACTGGTTTGTACTTATAAACAAAGGATGAGAAAAGAAGCCATTGCCATCAGATCAAAACTGTAGAAGGAGTAGCATTTTAAAGGAATTTCACAGACATTTCTATTTTTAGTAACCACCGCAACACCGTTCATCAAAATCAAAAACCGATATACAGAATTATGTATCCTAGTGTAGTCTAAAATTGAAATCAATTAAAACTGTAGAAGGAGTAGCATTTTAAAGGAATTTCACAGAAAATTCTATTTTTAGTAACCATGGCAACACCATTCATCAAATCAAAATCCCAACTATTTTTTGATCTTAGTTTCTACTTGTGTGCCAAGTAATATACAAAAACTGTAGCAAAAATTAATTTCACAGAAAATTCTATTTTAGTAACTATGGCAACACCGTTCATCGAAATCAAAAACTGATGCACTATTTTATGTATCTTAGTGTAGTCTATTTGTGTGCCAAGTTATATTGAAATCAGACCAAAACTGTAGGAGGAGTAGCGTTTTGAAAAATTGTTTACAGACAGATGGACAGACAGACAGCTAGACAGACAGACGGACACCTTACTATCGCATAAGCTCTTCTGGTCTCTGACCAGTAGAGCTAAAAATTCAGAAAAAAGCATTGACTGTACCCAGAATAGGTACAAGAAATATTATTAATACAATGCCATCTTCTCGAACAGAGCAGGCAAAATTAATTAACAGGTCTTATTTAATCAAACTGAAATTGATCAGTTTCTACATCAAACAATACAAAGCCAAAAAAAAAAGATTAACAAGAATTAACAAGGATTAACAGAGTGAGTGGGGAGTACCTTTTACCATCATTTGGTAACACCCTGGTGCCACTTCAATCAGGAAAGGGGGAGATAACTCTGTCATCAAATAGTATTCATTAAAAATTCTAAAGAACTTCTAAGTTTTGAGTTTCTCAATTTGAGAAATCACTTATTTGTTAGAGTTATTAAACTTTAACCCAATAAATTAAAGCAATATATATACAATCCTTTTTTATGTGAAGAACTAATTAACATTCATCTATGCATTTTAAAAAAATCCAGGGCTAATCTGTTAAAGGATTGAATGATTTGTTATTTTTTGATTGGGCACTTTGAGAAATATTTTGTATATATATAATGTATAACTTTACATTTTCATTACAATTGTAAATAATTCATTTGGCAATCACTATAATTATTGTACATATATATTACAGGGAAAGGTTTTTCTAAGTTGCAAGAACTTGTTACCAATCCCTTTGTGTGAATTATACAATAAAATACTGTATACCGGGAAATTGTCGTCCCTGTTTTATTTTCGCCCCTTCCGCCCTACCCTCATTTGGGCAAATTTAAAACGGAGCGAATTCAAAAAATACAGTTTATATTCTTAACTAAAACTCTGACTGGGCGAATTTAAAACGGGAAAAAATTGCCTGCAAGCATGAAATGGCAAAAATAACACGGAGCGAAAATAACCCTGTATACAGTATCTTCAAACCAAAACTTTGAGAAATTTTATTTATTTTCCTCCTAATTCCTAACAGTTAGTTCTTTTATTTATTTTTCTGTGTGACCTGTCCACTTACTGGCTTGTTTTTTCTTCCTTTGATCTTTTCTGTCCTCTTTAGACCCCTCCTCTAAAACCACAGACTTGGACGTTGCCCCTTTCCTGTCCGTCGACAGAAATAATTGGGGGTTACTTCTTGCATCCTGAAAAAGATGTAAGCCTCATGGTATGAATCACTTCTATACTTTTAGAAATCTTTTTTTGCATGAACATTTTCCACTGACAAGGTAGGGCTCTAACATAAATGCCATATAAGTGGAAATTTTAGCGAGACGCAAATTTAGCGATTTGTCCTTAAAAACTGATAATTTATTTTTAGCGAGATGTTATTTTAGCGATTTTAAAATGCACATTAAAGAAACTATTACAAATAAAATGCAATTAATTTTTAGCAATATTCAATTTTAGCGATCTCGACACCCTTGCTAATAATGCCAAAATTAAATCCTCGCAAAAAATTCTACTTATACGGTACATGTTACACATGGATTTTTCCTGCTGGTGTTAGCAATACCCACATAAAATGACAGGCCACAATCAATCAAGGACAATCACATCAATGTCATATTATTTTTTCAAAATATAGAAATGGTTAAATTCATACAAAGAAACTTTGAACTACATGACCATATAAGTCTAGAGGACCTGTTCCTTTTTCCTCTATATTCAGATATTTTTTTTGCACAGCTCAAGTTTAAAATATATTGATAGCATTATATTTCCAGTCCTCCTCATCTGTAATATTTTACCTTCTCAGCCTTTTCCTCGACAAGGGAAGCAAACGGTTCCTTCCACTTGGAGATGTATTTCTGACTGGTAACTATGGTATCACAGCATATCATGGCGTCCGTCTGCTTCTTGACGCACTCTTGTAGCAGAAGATGACAATCCTCCTCACTGAAGACTGATGGTAGCAGGGGCTGAAATATGTTTTACACAGTTGAAAAAAAGGTTTTTCAGAGTTTAAAAATGGCAGCAGGAGCTTAAAAATGTGGTTTTAGAAAGTTTTGACACTAAGTAGAGTTCAATGACAGAGGATTCAGAAGTCCAAATCACTAAAGGATCAAAAGCATGCAATCAATTAATTTGAAGTCAGTAAATTTCTGTAATTCAGTTGAAGAAAGAAATTGGCAATTCATTAAAGTCATTAAAAAAAACCCACAATTTTCTCCGATGTTACTTTTGACTTTTGAGATTGAATAATGTTGAGAAATCAAAATTCTGAAATTCAAATGAAAAGAAAAATTCAATTTGCAAACATTTCATAATGCAGATGGCCAAACTATTTAGTAAGACACAGAGTATTATAATCGCTGCAATGTACACTTGAGGCTGCAGGCCTATTGTAACTTGAATCTACAATCTATGTTATCTTGTTAAGAAATCTAAAGTGCAACACCTATTATTCACATGACAAACATTTCTGCGTTTACATAAGCCTCCTACCATGACATCAGAGTATCCATCCGTGGTGACTGCCTCTTCCATGGATGACTCGATCTGGTCCATTAGCCCACTGCCCACACAAACCCGCTTCAGGTAAATAATGGGCTCAGACTTAAAGCGCTTCTTAATGAAAGTCACAGGATCAGAAATTCCCAGTCGCACTAATGTGTCATATTCTGAAATAATTTAAAACCAATGAAAGACAGCATTTAACTTTCATTCAAAAACATGTTGATGGTCTTTCGGAATTCAATAAAACCAACCTAGATATCCATTCTGTTTGTAGAAGTTGTCCACCCAATCGTTCTGTGCCTTGGTGTATATTTCTGGTATATACATCATCTTTTCCTGCCTTCCAATCAAATTCCCTTTTAATCGACCAGTATGGACCAACTCCTCCAAAATATCTGAAGATTTAAAAAAATTAGGATGATAGTTTTAATAATAATTTTTATGACTATGAATTACATACTGTAAAATCACTGATTTATATTGGGGCAAATTTTCATGTTTTGAGAAAAATTACAGGTTTAAAGTAATTTGGTTTCATGGTTAAAGGAGAAACATACTACATTGTGAAGTTTTAAACGTCATGGGGTATATGAATTCTTGGATCAAGCCATACCAAAAAATAACAAAAATTAAAACCCCACCATGAAAATGAGTGATTTCACAGTAAAAACAAAAGCAAAATACACCTAAGGGTAACTGTGGTATGCACAACCAAGGAATAATGAATTCCATTCTAACAACTATGCACATCCCTAATGAATCAACAATAGATCTTTGTTGCTTATAATTCAGTCCTTACTAAAGAAAAGCCTTTCCTGGAATCCATATCGCTGCATAACCATGGCAACAGTAGTTGGCCTGTCAAAGAACAAACATGTATTTGACTTATTTACGACAGTTAACAAACAAAAAATGCTATGAATAGAATTTAAAGAAAGAAACAATTGTACCTAGCATAATTTTCTACAAAGAAATAGAAAAGTTTTAATGAAAATGATATTTACATCAGTTGTTCATATACATTATTTCTTTCTGTACTGTTTTTAAAATGTGCAGATATAAATGTGTCTTTGATATACTTTCAAGACAAAACTACTGATACAAAGTTGATTTCAATATATGATCCATTAATATAATGATGTGAAACTTTTACAGCCACCATTAAATTTGTGGGAAAGAAGCAAAACAAGTACTGAGGCAGAAGAGAGACCGTAACACAAAAACGGTATACTGTTACAAGGTGATTTTTTTTCTGCATTATTTTCCCCCTTTCACACTTGCAAACAATTTTGCACCAAATTAAATGTACCCAGTTACACAGTTCTGTTTAAGAAATCACACTGTCTTATTTGACTTCACACAGTCTTAAATTTGCCCATTTTGCCTATGGCGGAAATAAAACGGAGGCAAAAAAATCCCTGTAGTACGGTACTTCTCATGATATATGATCTGTTGGATGTAGGACTTTACCTTGTAACAGCACTAAGAGCTCCTCGTATCTGGCCCTTCATCCTGGTGATAAACGCTCCAGTGTATATAACATCTCTGTCCTGGCTGTCTAGCTTTCCCTTGATAATCTTCCCTACTCTGTCTCTAATGTGCTGGAAAGTGCAATGTCAGACAAAGAATAAAATCCAGCTTCTGTTACCATTTTCATAAAATTCAAACTATGATCAGAGTACCTGATATTCTGATTCTCTAAATGATAATTAAACTTAACATATAAGATTTGTAAAACTTTACTTGATCCTTGAAGTAACAGGCTTATATCTTTTTTCCAATGAACAAAATGAAAATCATGTAATTAAATTCTGACTGGCTCTTCTTCTTATATCTAAGGCCATTTTAATACATGTATGTGTGCTTACCGAGGAGACAAAATCGGACGGCAGGTCGTACTGTTTGGTGATGTCCACCATCGTTAGGTAACCCTTGTCTTGTAGTTTGTCATTCACCTCCTCTGCCATACTATCTAAGTAGTTCCTACAATAGATAGGGGAAAAATATTGACTCTGACTGCTACTATGGCTAAAACTGACATACTTGTAGTTTACAGTGCACAAATACAATGGCAATGTTTTAGGACCAAAACAAAATAACTGACATGGTCTGAAACATATAACAAAACTGTCTAAAAGCCATATCCTTCATATCCTTCTAATACATAGTCTAATTATTCATCAAACACATGTCATGGCATCAACTTACTCACTTACTTACTTAGTAACAAGCTTACTCTACCTACTCTAAATATCCAACATATGGATCTAAACTTTAAATTTTACATGTCAGACATACTTGTCTACAAGCTGTCCTAGGACAAGCATCAGGCTTCGGTCCTGTTTCACCATATCTGTAACTTTATCCTCAATATGCCGAAAATCAACATTCAAAATCTGCTGAAGGTCAACTAAATTGATTCTCCCTGCAAAAACAAATCAATTATTAAAGCTATAAAGTTTATAACACTTATTAACTTATTTTAGTAGAACACAGACAGTCATGCAATGATGCATGCAGGATCGAGACATTATATGATAAAATACCAGAAATGACAGATTTTGGTATTAATGCATGATTACTTTTTAAGGTAGGGGAATGCAAAAAGTTTGAATATAAGATCAGAGACATAATTTTACAACAATGAGAAATTGATCAAAATATTTATTAGTTTTAACACATTGTCATGTACCTCCGTGAACAATTAGTTCATCCTGAATTTCCTTTGCCAATTCTTGATGAGTCAGGTACTCCTTGCCATCCAGTGTATGAATTACTTCTATTAATTTCTGTTCCACCAGTTTGGCAACAATTTCAATCACATTTCTCTCTGATAATCTTTCAAACAAAAAAAGAAATATTATCTTGAATTTTCTTGAGAACATCATACAAACTATGAAGATTTTTCCGTTATAAATTGTAAAAGACTAAATATATCGTCATAAATTCTTACTTTTGCTTCGTGCTACTCAATTGAGCTCGCTGAAAATCAGCTGCCAGACGTTTCACTTCTTCCCAGTCTGCCATATTGTCAAAATTTCGTGGCAATGTTGTTTTTCGCACTGAAGAGTTCCAAACAAGGGGCATAACTTCGACGCAGCTTTCTCTGTTATTGGTTGCAAAATTTGGTCATTTTTTGTAAATTTTCATATAAGCGCTAGATATTCATATAACAGATATGACCGTGATGAATAAGATTTTAAAAATACTCAATAGGGTCATGTAAAGTTTTTTTCTATTGTATTCTAATGTTAATTCAACTTAAAAAAATTAAATAAATGGAATGAACATCGCTAATTCATAGAACTGTACAAGGGCCTTTTGAGAGAAATTCTTATATGAAAAAAAAATTATATAGTGGGTGTGCGGAATGGGGGGGGGGGGCAATATGAAATGTGTGTGTGTGTGTGAAGGGGGGGGGGGCAATTAATTAAGTTTTCTTACATGTACTAAAATTTAAATGAATTTTGGAAAAATCCCCCTCTGCTCTAGATCGACGTCTGCCAACTTAAATTAATTTAAATTTCCATGCATATACCATGTACTTAGTATATATCATTTTCTGAAGAGAAAAAGATATATCCAATGAAGACAGAAGTATATTGATATTCTCACTGTATTCATGTCTCTGGTCATGCAGCAGTGCTGAGGATCATCTACTTTAGTAGAAATTAAGGTCAGGTCAAGGTCATTGTCTGTTTTCCTGGACATCAAAGGTTTATAACAAAAGCGCTGTTGCCCGTCAGTGGTATGCACTACTTGATGATTCTTTCATGCAAAAATGAATTAAAATGATCACAGCTTTGCTGTTCTTGAAATAAGAGTTAGTTAATTATTACTGGTAGTTAAATGTAGTTAAATTTGGCATAAATATTTAACTGAAAAAAAAAACCGCTAATAACTAGTTTGATTAAGCATATTGATCAGGCAAATATGGCCCAATCATAACAGATTATTATTCAAATTGTTTAAACAGACATTATAATGACCAAATATCAAATATGAAAAATGACTATAAACGATCTAGGTTGTTGAAATCCCTGCTATATACCAAATGCAACTTATATATCAGTAGCTTGTATCGGTTTTAAAAAGCGATAGTACTCGATCGAAGCATGCTCTTGAGTATATCAAATAAGTTGGGAGATGTTAACATCATATAAATGTAATATGTATACATAAACAAGGAAAGTTGTCAATGAAAAACTGAAGACTTCTCGTTTGTCACATAATTTAGTTTTTTTTTTATTTTTTTTTTTTTATTTTTTTTTTATATAGTTGCATGGTTAAATACGAAATATCATATATACATTCATGTAAAGGGGGTAGATCAATTCTTCATATTAAAACAAAAAATTCCATATGATGGGTCTTGAAGTTATAAATTGATATAATCATATAATTTTTATTCATTTGATTCGAATATACCAAGAATATGCCACCTTCTTTTAATATGGTGTCATGATTTTCGATGAAAAAATTGTCTGAAAAAAAATTTTGATACTCCTAATTTCATAACTTTCAATGAAAAGAACTTAAAAATATTAATTTCACAAAATGAATGTTGTTATATATTTGAAGCTATAGGGATATTAATTATTATACGTCTTGGCCGTCCATCTCCTTCTCTCTGGATAATTTAATGTGACAGATCGAAACGTCATCATACTTGAGGTTCCTAAATCCTCTATTCACTCGTATAAAATGTAATTGCTTTACGATTTTCCAAAATCAGTATATTTTTAAAGTAAAATACAAACATTTTTAGCATAGTTTGAGGGCAAAACTGGACATTTTAATTTAACGTATTTTTGATTTGATTTGAACATATTTTATTGATTATACTATACAAATGGGATTGGGCAAAAGTTCTAAAAACTTATTACGCCCTTTCCCTACATATACATTATACCAAACATATTTACATACATGGGTTTCAGCTTAAAATGAAATAACAATAATAATAATAATAATAATAATATAATCATAACACAATAATATATAATAATCAGAGTGAAACACATTCAATAGAATACATTTCATATGTAATAGACATGCTGTATAAGATTTACAATTAGAAATAATTATTGTATCAACCAAATCGTCCTGACTTTTTAATGAAAGTTTGTACAATAGAGAATAGGTATTCATTTTCAAAATCATTTAACGATTTGTCTCCCCAGAGTAAAGTGTGAGTATCGACAGTGTTTAATTTACCCATTCGCAAAAATTTGTCAAAAAATTCTTTCCTGGCTTCTGTATATTTTTTGCATGAGAAGAAATAATGATGAGAATCCTCCACTCTTCCACAAGAACATAGTGGACTCAAGATTACATTACATCGAAAAAGATCGCTATTAAGCACACAGTTATGTCTAAGCCTCGTGTGTATTATATTTAAGCGTCGATTTCCATAACTGAAGTAAGAGGGTGGCATTTGTTTATTGGGTTTATTCCCACTTAGCCAAAATTCTGAAATTCTTATTCCCACTTAGCCAAAATTGTTATTTTCACACCTCAGTGGTCACCTGTGTATAGTCTGTTTTAGATTGATTACCTGTAGTTTACCTGTAATTTTCACATGAGATTTATATATTTACCTATATACTTATATATATAGGTATTAACAAAAAATTAAATAAATAAATAAATAAATAAATAAATAAATTAATTAATTAATTAATTAATTAATTAATTAATTAATTAATTAATTAGTTAATTAATTATTAAATAAATAAAAAAAATAAATTAATTAATTATTTATTTGATTAATAAAAGAATAATAAATAAATGTTTAATAAATACAGTAAAGAAAAATTAAGAAAGAAATAGTTAATTTAGTAATTCATCTTTCAAAGCTTATATTTTGTATAAAGTTTTTACAGAAAAAATAAATTCTTGATAATTATCAAACCAGAGATAAATAAACAAGATGCAATTATATAGTGATAAAATAAACAAGAGTGCCCTGTGATGCTTTTCCTATGTTGGTTCTATTTGATAATTGATGTAATTAATGAATCTAGAAAGGACATAATTGTTATTAATTCCGTTTGAAATCCTAGGATTAAAGCAATTATTGTTCATTAAATGTCCTTTTTTTTTACTTATTCTAAAAAAGAAAAAAAATACTATGTACATCACTTTATTAAGTAAGCTTACGTGCAAGTACGGGTGGATTTCCTGGAGAATGTTTATGACTGTGTTTATGACTGAGTAGTACCATACATGTTGATAATTATGCTATATTTGTCATACATATATTAGTTACTTGAATATTATGTTAATGACTGTTATGTTATTGATAATGACTGTTATGTTATTTTCATGTATGAAATATTTGATATGACCTTTATTTATCAAAATGATTAATAGTATATTTATGTAAGAATGGCAACTTTTGCATGCCTGTTAATGTAACTTAATTTAAAGTGTCAGTGTGATATTTTGTAGGGTTTTTTTATATCTTAAAAATAAAACATTCTTTATGTATTAATTTAGCTGAAAAAACAATGAATTATTTAAAAGAAAAACATGTAATTACAAATTAGAATTAATTTCTTACAAAACCTTGTAATTACAATGAAAAAAAAAACAAAAGACAAAACCAAAAAAAAATTGTATATATTTTTTGAAAAAAAAAGTAATTAATAAAAATTAGAAAAGACATTAATTTTTAATATTTAATACATCACTTTAAAATATTACCTAGAAACAAATATAATAAATAAAGAATTCAAATAATTCATAGCACTGGTCATTCTAAAACAGACTATAGGACACCTGTAATTAATTTCTTTTGTTCTCTCCCTGCCCTTACCTGTACGCCATTCCCACTTAGCCAAAACCAGTCACCTGTATCAATTTCAGAATTTTGGCTAAGTGGGAAGACACCGGCCCCACCGTTTATTGAAAGAAATAGACTTTTTAAAAATAGATAACGAGGGAGAATTTCTTACATTAAGAGGTAATGAGTTCCATTCTTCAATAACAAGGGGAACGAAAGTTGATTTGTAAGCTTGCAATCTGCATTTGGGTATGTTATAGTTCTGCGAGTTTCTCGTACTGTAACTTGATGAATTACATCGTAAGTTAGGGATTATATCAGTGAGATATTCAGGAACTTGGTTTTTATCAATTTTATACATTGTAGTTAGTCTGGTCTTTTTCCTTCTTTCATGTAATGGTTCCCATCCAGTTTCAATGTAAAGTGCATCTTTAGAAGCTAACAGAGTTAATCCTGTGACAATTCTAGCAGCACGTAATTGTAATTTTTCTAATTTTTCGCTGTCACCTATATTACATCCACCCCACACCAAGGAAGCGTATTCTAACTGTGGTCTGATAAAGGTTGTGTACATGAGTGAAAGAGTTTTTCGGTTGACAACAAATTTAAGTTTTTTTAACAAGCCCAATTTTTTATATGCATTGGCTAGAATAGTATCAATATGTGTAGACCAACTAAGATCTTGCGAGAAAAAAATTCCTAAATGTTTATGAAAAGAAACAAATTCTAGCTGACTTTGCTGGAAGAAAAGTTTAGGATAAATAGCACTTTTTTTCAGGCTAAAAAATATTGCTTTAGTTTTAGTAGGATTGAATTTAAGAAGCCATTTTTTCGACCAGATTTCTAGCTTGTTAAGATCAGAATTCAGTTTGTTTTCAATAGTATTAACATTTTTAGATGACTGTTGTAGGGAGTTATCGTCTGCAAATAATCTACAAAAACTACAAAAACGTATTTTTAAAGGCACATAAGACATTTATATCATTTTTAAAAGAGTTATCTCCCTTATCAGAGAATCAATGAACCTCAATAAATTCATATACTTGTAACACAAAACGCTTCTTGACTTATTTTGACTAATTGGGCTATACTACCGTTTTATGATAATTTTCAGTTTGAATGAAATTTCTCAGGCCTTTAAGTATTTAGAAAATATCTTTTTGTCCATGATAGAAGAAATGATTGTCAGACTTGTGTTCAATAGTCTTAGATTCCATTTATGTTACATGTATCTAATGTCGTTGGGTGCTGATATATTGGAATAATATATAAATGCAACTTCAGCCACATTTAATCATATTTATAGAAGGTATATTTTTTTCAAAAGTATATTATTTTATTGAATAGACTGTACTGTAAATATTTTTTTTCATTCGCAATAACTTTTTTTTTTGTGTACGAGTATTTCGCGAAAAGGTGTTCTCGTGAAGATTTCATTCTCGCGTATATTATTATTCCTCAAGATTATATGGAATAATAACCAAAATTTGTGAATTCTTTTTCGTTTATAAACAGTCAATGACTATACATCTCTTGAAAACAAGGCGTCGCGAAAATATAATGATACACAGTACCATAAAACTCACTGATTGACAACTTTAATTAACACAAGCATCTCGGTCTTTTTGTGGTTAAACCAAATGCCTCACTCTTTTGAAGCCTCCTCCCCCCTGCCAATTAGCTCTTCTCGGAACAATTCACAAAACAATTAAAGATCACTATTCAATTGAAAGAAGCAACTTTAAAGATATACAGGGTGTTTCACAATATATGTCACACATCTAAATGGGCATAATCTGAATATCGAACATGATACCAAAAAAACCAAAGCACTATAGTTAAGCATATTGATCTAAAATTATTATGTTGCAAAATATCGGGAAAATTATAATAAACCAGGAAGTAACTGATGATATAATCAGTGATGTCATATTTCAGCTATTCTCAAAATTGCGTAAAACTTGCAGCAAAAATTTGTTGTATTTTTTTATTATAAGAACCGTTTACGATATTTTATATATTTTACAGGGGGTGATGATAAAAAAATAACTAGACCAGAAATTACTGTCTACTTTTTCTCTATTAAGAATAATTAGAGGGTTTAAATTAAATTATTATGTAAAGATGAAAGACAGTTAAACCCCGTCTCCTCTTCACCCAACCCTACCCCACCCCCAAAATATCAAAAAGAGATGAGAACGATATCAGATTCAATCATTGAGATAACCTCATGAAAGTCAGATCTGAGTTTAGGAAGATGGGTTGTAACAATGCTAGTAAGTGTTTCAAGAGTATTTAGAATTCTTAAATTTGAGTTAAGTATGTCTGTATGCAAGATTTCAATGTTGAAAGTCAAATGACATTCAGAGCCGGGTAAAAGTTTGCAAGATTGACTGAAAGGAAGAGTGAAAGAAGTTGACACCAATTAACACATACCGGTATTTCTGAAACGAAACATTTATTTAAATGCAACTTTAGATAAAAATAGATACGAACTTTGGGGGGTCTAAAAAGCCAGATATAAAACAAGAAAAGTCTCAGAAATCTTGGGAAACTTACAAAACAGTGATCAGAAATTTATAAACGTTAGTCTCTTAATTTATTTGGGACAATGTTGGGAAAACACTTTGAGAATAACATTTTAGGATTTGTTGCCATAGTAACTGAGGTGGTGGATTTTGGATACTTCTGTCAAAAAAAAAAATAATTTTGAATATATGCCAATTAAAATGATATATAAAATGTGTGTGTAGCTTTTGTTGTTACTTATCTATTTGTCTTTAGATGTGTGACATATATTGTGAAACACCCTGTATATGCCGTATTAATGTTTTATTTTAAAAGAAATAAATATATGTGGAGTCTCATCAAGTTATATAAGTTATATACTTTCTGCAAATAAGACAATTCCACTCCATCACTTTTAAAAGTTATGAAATATTATTTGGTAAAAATTATTTTCTCTCCGTGTCGGATAAAAAACCGCCTCTTGTTGAAATATTCAGGATCACGTGGTCTCGCATGTTCACAGCAAACAATGGTCCTATCTCGTGAATGAACCGAAAAGCATGATGGTCTACTACGTTTTTACTACAAACACGTGAGTTGGGGATTGTCAATACGTGAGCGCACCTCAGAGTTGGTTGCTTTTTGTACGGAGGAATAATCACATGCAGTTGTCTTCTCAATGGACATTTTCGGTTGGGTGAACTTCTAGACGTGTGGAAACCATGTTGTGCCAAAATGAAATAACTAATATAAACAAATGATATAATTTGATGAATCAAAATGTTTATTAGATACATTCGATTCTGCATTTCTTGACGGTTCAAAACAAAAAAAAGTATTCCACAGAATATCATGTATAAATCTGCACAAAATACCGAATGCAAAAACCAGAATACTACTAAATAATATAAATATATTCTTTACATATGAACCACAGTATTTCTGACCCCTTAAAAATAATATAAAAATTCTTGCAAGTAGGTTATCAGCATTGGCTCGGGCTAATTCGAAAGTGAAATTTGGAGTTTGGCAGGAAAGTTAAATAGGGTAATGTTGTAGTGAATGAATAAAATTTGGTAGTGAAAGATATTGGAACCTATTTCACTTGTCAGGTTTCTTCGAGCTAGTCGATTTTTATTCTAACTGTTCTATCCCCCCACTCACTTTAAAAAAAACGCTGCTACCTACCTGAATTAATTTTTCTTAATGGTGTTCATCGAAATGCTTGGTTGTGCTTTCAAACTGGAATAGTTTTTAGGGGCCTGGAATTCCTAGACCAATTTTATTTTATTAGCCCAACTATATTTCTAAGAAGGCAAGATGCATGGTATGTAAGTTTCATCTACATATGTTATGTAGTTCATATTTAAAAAAAACCCTAAGGGATAATTGACGATATCCCATTCAGGGTGTAAAAATAGCAGTTTAAATTACTTTATATATACATTGTACTTGACATAAATTTTTTGCGCATAATGCGCTCCATACTGAAGATCCGTTGTCGCTATTTTGTAAATGTTCACCCAACCGAAAATGTCCACTAGCAGTATAGCACGGGGAAACTCTAAACAAACGTACCTATACAATGGAGTGGGGAAAACTTTAATTTTCTTCAGTGTTAATCATTTGTATGCAAATATGAGCATGGGATTTGTAGATAATAATGTACATAATGCATCAAGTCTTTCCGAGAGCGATTTAAAAAAAACTAGCCTTTTCGAAAAACACATGTAGTATCTCATGTATTTCATAAATGCATTAAATGCAACCCATTGAGCTGATTGGTCTATTTGTGTTCCTCACTGAACAGACGTCAGAAAAAATATTTTCCTCGACCTGATGATTCTCGCGATGCTTTTCCCGTGCACATGCGCAGATCCGGGATAAACGTCAGTCCTTTATAAATATGCATGAGAATATCTTGTTCTTTTCCCGACCAGTACTTTGTTAATACCGAATAAAATTTCGTCGAATTTGCAAGAATGCTTCATTTTTGATAGCTTATCATACTTCAGAAATTTTTGTTCGGTTTCAGCTGTGCAAAAATACTGTTTAAGACGGCATACATATCTTTAATAAAATATATTTTCATAGTATATAAAAATACAAATTATGCAGGAAAAAATGAAATGGCAAATATGTAAATATTTTCTATGAGGTTTTTCTATAAAAATAAAGATGAACAATGAAATAACATCTAATAAACATGTACATATAAACTTTACCAAGACATTTTTAATTCATTAGCAATGCTGGAAGCAGGAAGGAGGGAACGTTAATATGGAAGGGACTGGTATATAATTCTGGCAAAATTCATGCATTTCTGTAAGCAATAGCAGAACTTCTATTCTAATGCTAATGGTGATATATATTTTCACTTTTGTTCCTGACATCATTTCATCTTGTTCACATCCTGTTCACAGATATTCAAGTCCATATTCGCACCCCAGGGGTTTTCGGTCCGCTACGTACGCTCTCTGCGATCAATTTTAAGTTTCCATGGAGGGGAATTATTCAACTAAACCAGAAATCCCCCGGCTAACATACATGTATATGATTCAATGCCCCTTTGATTAATATATTCATGTTATCACACAAGTTTGCAACAAAATTATAAGAATTAATATTTACCTGCATTCCAAAATTAATGTACGGGCCGACTATCTCTCTCATTGGAGGACTAATAAACATATATAAATATTTGGCTGAAAAAAATCCCAAAAACTACATCAAAACAAATTCACGGTGGTCCTTTAAAAAAAAAATAAAATCGTAACATCACAAGCTGCGGGATGAAAAACGCAAATGGTTTTGAAAGCCAATTAATTTAACAGATTTCAAAATAAGATAGTACGTTATCAGGAGAAGACATCGTTGGGTAATCAGAAAAGTTCGTTTATTGTACGGGACTAGCGAAACTGAACAGTACAGGGACCTTTTCTGTGTAAATCACTACAGCTCAGTTTCTAAATTTTTTACTTTCTGTCAAAGGCTACGGGACGTATGGTATTGGTATTTAATAATTCTATACAGTAAAAGGATTTATTGAATTTCAGATTTGTATTTGAATTATTTGCATTTGCAATTACTGAGAGTTATTAATTAAATTACTAAGAGTTATTAATTAACTCAGTACTGATAAGCTTGACTTCCCAGTACCAGTATTGTGCTATGTAAAATGATGCATTAAAAAGAATAATTAAATTCCAGCATAGAAATATATATGTTATTCTGATTTAATGGTTGCATGCATGTGTGATGCTTGTTGGTTTTGTTGAAATTTCCAATTCGTTCATGCTGTTGCTAAACTAAATGATGGTTTTCTTTATGCTAAAAAATGAAAGAATAAAGGGTCCCTAGTTTGTATCAACAATACATTAAACGAATACATTTATATATTTACATCCACTGAATATTTTCTCCTTTATTTCTTAAGAAAACCCATTGCGTTAATCACTGCATGAACTACCGTAGGCATGTTGCCTGTACAGATTTCTTGATCAGTTGCTGTTCCATCAATGAAACGTATAAAGACGTTCGCATCATTAATACAATAATTAAGCTTTTTAATCCTACTTTAAATGATTATTTAAACAGATATAAATATAAACAATAAAATGTCTTTCTTTGTTTGTTATTACTGTAATTAATGGTCGCAGCTATTGCAGAAAAAATTAAAAATAACCCACTTATGCGGGTTATGTATTTTTTCTGCAACAGCTGCTTCCGTTAATTCCAGTAATAACAAACAAAGAAAGCATTTTATTGTTTAAATTGATTTCTATATAGTATATATGCTGCTTCGGTACTGGTACAGTTTTCCCACTGTTTTGGTGTATGCAAAACTCTCACATACATGTACTGTTTTTCTTCCATGGAGCCATCAAAGGTCACAGCTATATCTACTGCATTATACATGTTATACTTCTATCAGTCAACGTGTATTTAAGCTTACACCGTCACACATGATTTCAAAGAGCAAACTAGAGGAACATACGTGATTTTAAGACAAAGCAATCAGCTACTAACTTTAACAAGTTTTGCTCAAGCTTCCGCAGTAAGAGGAGCGTTGTCTACGGAGGAGTACTGCACGTGATTTTCCCGTGCAAACGACTTCCTGACGCCACGTGCAAATGAAGTCAGACGGCTTCTGTACAGTACAACAACCACTATCAGCGCCACAGCAATCAAAACGAACAGGACAATCATGACCACTACTCCTGCTTGGACGGAGCTGTCAACACCTGGGTCATTACAAACCATTTCCGCATCAGTTAGATGGATGATTCTTCTATTGAAATTAGCCCCATCGTGACATACGTATTTGTCCTTTCCAATGAGGTGAACTTTTGTATTTTGCATCCAGTTGCGGAACTCTTTAATGTTGCAGTCACATGACCACTGCTGTCCCAGAAGATTTACCGTGAAGTTTTCGTTAGACTCCCTTATAAAGTCAAACACATCCATGCTTCGCTGGTCCAAAGTTGAAAGGGTGTTGTTTGATAGGTCTATCTTTTCCAGATATTTAGACATTTGGAAACAATGTGTAAACGCCAGCTTAAACAGACTGTTCAGTTGGAGGTTCACGTGCTTCAAGCTATCCATAGTACAGAGCGCTTTTCCAAAAGCGTCATCCACAAACTGCATGTTATTATTACCAAGTCGCAATGTTTCGAGCTTGCTAAAACTGCTGTTTTCAAGCACTTGTCGAAATCGAATGATATGGAGACCTTCTGCCACAAAGAAAGCAGAGGTTAAGTCCAGCTCCACTAGATTTGGTAGATTGTTAAAATATCCCGTATGGTTTTTGTTGTCCTTATGAATTTCCCATCTATTATTGTCGAGAAAAAGTTTCTGTAAATTCGGCATGCAGTGAAAGGTTTTACCATGAATGGTAGTAATTTTATTGTTGGACAACACAAGTTCTGTTAGGCTATTTAATTTGACGCCGTGTTTCGAAGCACAGTCACCGAAAGCGTTGGGGGGTAACTCTTTAAAGTTGCCATTGAAGATATGGATTTCCTTCAGACCTGGTGTAATTTTATTTTTTAGAATACTGTCAATAAATGTCTGATTAATATCAGAATTTCCCGTCCCATTACACCACAATATTTGATTTGTAATTGGTCGACATGGATCGCTAAGTATACCTTTTGTTAAGAAGGAGACCATAATTAAAAATACCAGACTGCATACCTGGACACAGGTGTGGTTCCCCATACTGTGAATTATGAGCGTGTGCACGTCCAAGACTGATTAAATCCAATACACACGCCCGAATGACGAAAAGAAAAGGTCTAGCCAAAACACTTTTTAGTTCCAGTTACCTTGAGGGATTAGTAAACTTGTGTCACAAACTGACAAAGGCAACAAAGCAGTCATGTCTAGCAGGTACAAACACTCAGGTGCGTGTGTATGTTTACCTTTTCACTACGGTGTACAGTGGATTCGCTATCTCCACAAGAGGTCGCAAGATGAAATTTTCTCGTGTTCACTCGATCAATGTTTAAACTGTAGCAGCACTAGAAAAATCCATCAATAAATTGGTGCAATTACTTAAATTGCAGTCATTCATTCATAATTACGACAAACCAAAATTTATCAAAGCTAGTTGCCTAAAACGCAAAATGGGGTGGAGAGAGAGAGAGAGAGAGAGAGAGAGAGAGAAATGAAAACAAAGAAGTAAAAACGATGTGAAGCTAACGGAAATACACACCCTCTCTCAGAAACCCATATTGAGAGAGAGAGAGAGAGAGAGAGAGAGAGAGACCATCATAGTCGGTATTTGATTTGTTCACAGGCACTGGAATTTAATGCTTGGGTATGTGCATGTAACAGTATAAAAAGAGAAGGTACTATAGTATACATGCACATACTCCGGCAATATATTATATCAACTTTCTACATCATAACTTCCAGAGCCCGTGATCGAATTTAATTATTTCCCCTTTCCTAGCATTTAGAGGTTAAAAACGTATACTTGCATCAAGTAAAGGGGGTGAAATATAGGCCCACGGTTGCGTCTTAATTTTGATCAATATAGTGCAGGCGCTGATCCAGGATTTTTTTCCAGGAGGGGGGGGGGCACTCCAGTGAAAAAATCAAATTAACCCAGAAATTTGTTGACAAGCAAAAATAAAAAAAATGTTATCTCGCCAAAACGTGAAAATCCTATTTCGTGTGTGTGTGTGAGGGTGTGTGTGTGTGTGTATCGGGGGGGGGGGGGGGGTTTTAGGTTTTTAATTTTCTTGGGTGTTAACCTCTATATTAAACGGTCTTCTTAGTCGTTTTGACTTCTTTTATTTTTAAACAAATCTTCTTCATAGGTATGACTTTTCATCTACAAACTTAACCATATCCAAGTTTTTAAGGTGGTCTGCGTTTTCTATGGGGTCCAGGGTCATTTTTACTTGGTTTAGTGTATTTCAATAACTGCAAATTCCAGGGGGAGTTGAATTTACGGTCGTGATCCGATTTTCCGGATCACCAACATGTTGTTTTTTCTGACGGCCCCCTCTAAATCCGCGCATGTAGTATATAATAAATTTATCATTATAACAGGAGGTAGCTCAGCACACAAATCGCGCACGTATCACGATCACTAGTCTGAAAAATTGGATGGACGACCGTCATCCATCTCAAATTTGTTCAGACCAGCGAGCTACAGATCTACAGCTATGTAGTGGAGGTTTTAATTAATGTTTTCTTCTTTGTTAAATTTAATGTAAATAAATACGCTTATTTTATTACGGGGATTCATTGAGTGCTGTGGAAAATGAACGACTTTACAGCTCTATTGTTCTAACATTTATCAAACATTCTAGCAGATTCACATTCATGTTAGAATTAGTTTCAACCACAGGCCTCTGGATCGCTTAAAAAATTGTGTGTAAAAAAAAATGTTTTCAATACTTATATTTATGTATATACAAAATTGTGTGCGTGATTCTGGATTTTCTAAGTTATATTTACATGATTTATCGTACGAGTTTCTTACTGTATCAGACTGAGAGATACAGGGCGGTGCTTGAGGCGAGATCTCCGATACAGTAGGAAATGAGTAGACCCCTTTCTAATGACCTCGCTAATTTACATGGATATACACAACTCTCAACTGATGATCCTGCAGAAAGTTGATTTAGTAACCCATTTTAAGCATTCGTAAAGTTCTGAAATGTCGACTGAGGTGGACGTGCAAGTACTTATCATTTTTAAATATTTAGAATTATGGGATGCATTATATAAATTGTTTTCCACAAATTTAGATTTGATTTGAATTTAGATTTGATTGAGCAGGGTTTTTCCCCTCTATTCAGCTCTTGCTGACATTTTTTTTTTAAAATGTAAGCACAGGTACTTGTGGACAGGACCCCCCCCCCCCCCGATATTTAACCCCGGGGCTTATTGCATGGACATTTTTTCACAAATTATATTTATTACACTTATTCATCAACAAAAAAAATACCCCACTATACATAATAAGAGAGATTCTCCAGGAGATCATTCTCCCATATTATGTATAGTGGGGTATTTTTTTGTTTGTGGGGCGATTGTTTTGGGGTTTTGACGATTTTTTCATATTGTACACATGATGAATAAGTGTAATAAATATAATTTGTGAAAAAAATGTCCAATAAGCCCCAGGATTAATAAGTGTAATAAATATAATTTGTAAAAAAAATGTCCAATAAGCCCCAGGATTAAATATCGGGGTGGGGGTCCTGTCCTTTTACGTCATATTTCACCAAAATATATCATTTTGCCCTGCAAAAGAGCAGTACCGCAGTTACCGTGAAACGGTCTAATAATATATAAGAATCATGTGGGAATATTTTTTGAAAAACAAAAATACTTCGGGGAGATTGTATTCTGAGAGAAATGTCCTACAATGTCCTCCATCGATCGTCATATACAAAATTGAAATAAACAGATGAAATGAAGGAACGGTATGAAAGAAAGGGGGGTGGCTATAGCTCTTACCTCAAGCCCCATGCATATCCTGTATCTCTGATACAGTAAGAAACTCGTCCTCTAAATATAACTTAACAAATGTCCTTTATCATGAGAAAAATATTCTTATATCGAAAATTCACGTTCTTGATGACATTATTTAACACTGGTTTTATATAATTTGTGAAAAAAATGTCCAATAAGCCCCAGGATTAAATATCGGGGTGGGGGTCCTGTCCTTTTACGTCATATTTCACCAAAATATATCATTTTGCCCTACAAAAGAGCAGTACCGCAGTTACCGTGAAACGGTCTAATAATATATAAGAATCATGTGGGAATATTTTTTGAAAAACAAAAATACTTCGGGGAGATTGTATTCTGAGAGAAATGTCCTACAATGTCCTCCATCGATCGTCATATACAAAATTGAAATAAACAGATGAAATGAAGGAACAGTATGAAAGAAAGGGGGAGCTATCGCTCACACCTCAAGCCCCATATCCTGTATCTCTGATACAGTAAGAAACTCGTCCTCTAAATATAACTTAACAAATGTCCTTTATCATGAGAAAAATATTCTTATATCGAAAATTCAAGTTTTTGATGACATTATTTAACACTGGTTTTTATTAATTTATTTTATAATCTAATTTAATCATTAACTTATTCTTTTTATCATTTTTAGGTCATATTCTATTTTTCAATGTGATAATTTTTGGAACGGTTCCCCCTTGTCTGTTTTTATCCTAAATATACATGTGTATAAGAGGCATACAGATCTGCAGACCTCGAAGCAACAAAACCACCCCTAACATTTATCTGGGCGACAAATAGACAAGGTACCTACACGGGACTTCTATCAAAGAGGAAAATTCATAAGTTGATGAAATACACATTAGTGTTGTTTTCTAATCAGTTCTCAAATATTTTAATGAAGTAAAAATAAATACTTATTTTTATTGTTCGTTTACCATAAAATGCAAGAAAATAAATTTTATCCAATGAGAGGTCACCGTATTCGAAGTCCGTGAAAATTCTGGTTGCGTTTAGGTTATGACGCCCCGGATGAAGTAAAGCAATTTTATAATTTGTCTAAACTTCTTGAAAAGGTATGGATTATCTTCTTGATTTAGTATCCACACTTTTCCTTTTAATAATGGTAAACATACAAATGAACCACACAATTTGCTAAAAGCGTCTGCATGGAATCTTCTGACAAGGAGGTGCAATCGGTGGCCATTTTGGTAATTTCTTCCTTCTCGCGCAAAAGATTTCTTCGCAGATTGTAAAGCCTTCAAACAACCGAAAAATCACTTTTTTCGTTTGACTTATATTTAAAGTTGCTTTAAGTAATTTCCTGGTCGACATAAAATCCCGAAAGAATACTTCAATGACACTGGATGTCGAAATCATGTTCACATCAAAGCCTATATCTTTTATCTGTTACTAGATCAGATGATGATGAAAAGAAAGGACCATGCATTTGTCAGTTTATCACCCCAAGCCATATTTAAATTCACAGGATTGTAAAATTACTAATGTGACCCACATATATTTAGATAGTTCACAGGTCTAAATATAGTTCAAAATGTTGAAACGTTCGCCTTAACATTGCAAAAATAGAGTTTGCCTTTTTCACCTTCTCGCTTATGTGTCTGTCAAAGCTGAGTTGTTCATCTATGATGACTCCTATGGAAAAAGATATACCATGGATGCGTAAAACCACTGGTACAGTACCTATCTACAGATCTAGGTTGTTCCTATCCTTTATACACATTCTTTCGCCTATGTCCACTTTTCTTTGCAGGCCTTGATTCATTTTGTTATTATGGATAACATGTAAAATTTAGAACTCATGACAGACTACACTTCAACTACATTTAACATTTCGTCAGAAATACTATGTCTGATTATACATAACCATAATAACAGAGTCTGACGTGTTTTGTTCAAAATTTTAACATAAATAAACTCAACTGTCATAATTAAGAAAACATCTTTTATCCATATTTAAAGTTCCAATTCAAACATGCTTTTCTACCACAATCATGACAATCGGCAATCCATGGCTGACTCAGCTACGCTAACTCCTTGGTAGTCCGAAATATCTTATGTTTTCCAGGCTTTTTAACGATTTTGATATTTTACGTGCCAGGAAAACGTTATCTACCACAATCATGACAATCCGGCGCCATTAAACTGGTTTTCCAGGCTTTTTAACGATTTTGATATTTTACGTGCCAGGAAAACGTTAGAACCGGCGCCATTAAACTGGGAAATCGCTGCCTCCAACCGAATTAAAGCAAACCGAATTAAAGAATGGGTGGACTTAACGCCCTATTTTGGATCTTTTTGCGACTCCTTTACCAAGCTGTAAATGAAGTGAATCCAAAATATATTGCATGCAATGGAAAGAGCTACTTTTACACGGTTACATTAGGTGGAATATTTGTACAAAAGCAATGCTCTATCGCCATGAATCAAAATTAAAGTAATTGAATATGACATGTACATGGAGTGGTTTTTAGGTCACGTAATCAATATTAATAGAAGGCGGGGCTATTGATCAGCATCATTGTTGACATCTCTCTATCCCTCTCTCTCTCTCCAAAAATTCGAATATGTGTTTGGCATATTACAGCGATGTCATATGAATATTATTTTTAAATGCGAGGGCACGCAAAAGTAAAACAACATTTTATTTGGTAAATTCTAAAATTGGCTACCAAATACGCTAAAAGACGTGATTTAGGTCGAGGTCACTTTGAAGAATACAATGATACTGTTTTCACAAGTACACTCGCAGGTGGACATCACATGATGAATTGTAATATTTAACAGGTCAATCGCAGTCATGTTCAATGGAAGCGAGAAGTTTGTTTTGAACATGTTTTTTGTTAAATTAAGTGTGAGCGCACGTTTGTCGGCTCTTCTCCTTTTAATATGACATTATTTTGTGCAATAAGTTTTCTTAAGAACAGCCGACAAACATGTGCTGACTTTGTATTCAGACGATGAAAAACGCGTGACCTTGATTATCTATTGATATTCAAAAAACCTTCAGGCACCATGCCTTCGATATTTATTCAGTTTACCTAGAAAAGAGCATTTTAAATTCACATCTGTACCATGAATACACGGTTAAGATATCGGGGGTTTATGTGATGGAAAAAAATAAACATTTTATGAAACTTAAATTTACGGCATTATTTCTGGTCAGTTAAGTCCACCCATTCTTTCAAAGTCACAAGTTATGAATAGTACAATACATTGAGTACTTACCAATATCGTTTCTTTGGTTCATTTATAAAATATACAATCCGTTGAAAATATTTTATCAGACTGATGAGATTTGTTAACATTTCGTGCATTTTAAAATCTTGCAGTTCGGTTCACAAGTATTTAAAATGAACTACGGTTGAAGACGGCGAAATTTACAGTTTTCGTAATGGCGCCAGTTCTGACGTTTTCCTGGCATGTAAAATATCAAAATTGTGAAAAAGCCTGGAAAACGTCACATATTTCGGACTAATTCCTTGGTTGACTCCCTTCAGTGTGGAGGCATGAGCCACCTGAGGTGCTCCAAGTGTCCTACTAAAGTTATTTGCTCAAATTATAAATCTTGGATGGAGAACTTGTGAAAATGGATTAACAGCATTAAAGCTTGGTTTTCATTTGACAGTTGTACAATGTTGTATATATGTATTTTTGTTGATATTGTTAACTTAGGACTCTTTGATGGACAAGATTGCAAAACTGTGACTGATGCCCCATGGGCAAGGTTTTAGTGTCTCAGATGCAAGTCAAGTTCCAAGACCAATATCATGTGGTCAGAAAAACTAAGGGAAAGTTTTTGACACAGGAATACCTCTGTGAAATATGAACACCCCAAATTATGTCATCTGTTCTTAAACATGTTCAAACGCTGAAACATATATTAATTATTAACTTCATATTGCATTAATAATACGTCTCGAACTCATTTATAATACAGAAACAAAAAGTCAAAAAATATGAATTTATCTTTTCAGTTACTGTTTACCAATCAATAAGTTATATATTACCGGTACTATTTTCAGTTTGTTCTAGCTTTTCCAATATGCCAATATTGAGGGGCTCACCAAGAACTGTATCAGTAGTGAAAGAGAAAGAACCTAAACAGTCCTCAGAAACCAAAAGAGAAACTAGGTCTTCTAAATCGCCAGCTGCATGTGCATCTTCAAGGTTGAAGGATTTCAAAACTTCCACCAAGCTGAGCCGAGCTGAAATAAGATCATCAGCTGCAGCCAGATTGTCTCAAAGAAATCAGAAAAAGGCAGAAAAAGAAGGGAAATCCTCAGACGTAGAGCATGGAGGAGAGAGAGACAGTAAAACTAAAAACCCCTTATCCATTAAGCAGGGTAGTAGCAGTTCCACAAAATCAAGTGGTACCCCGTGCTCAGATTCCCAGGTGGAGACACACTTAGATGAATCATGTGAGAAGAACTCGTCTTTAAAAGAAGATCATGAAAATTGTAAGAAGAAAAGGCAGAAATTCTCACAAGAACACGGCAGTGGAAAGTCCGATGAGGAGCGAATTGAAGATAAAGGTGAAGGTCACAGGAAAAGGAAGCAGAGCCTGGAGAAGGTCAAATCAGAGAATGATAAGTACAGGCCTACGAAGAAGAGAAAGAAACTCACCATCTTTGAGTACGTTGTGGAGGAAGTCCCTTCAAACACACAAAAAGAAAGTGAAAGTGAGGCAGCCGATGAGGAGACAGGGGGAAGAAGACGAAGTAAGAGGGCATCAATACCCAACACAATGTACTACAAAAACTTCATCGACCCATCCCAGAAGATTCCTAAATGTAAGTAACCATATATTTAGTGTTGGCTGTTTTTCTTTACCAATTTTCAGTTCCAATTTTTACTTTATTACATTAGTTATACAGGCCTTTCAGAAGTAACAGTATGAGTTTTCATTTTAATTTATAAACATTGACAGATTGATGTTTTCTAAGATTTTTATTATTTGACCAGGACAGCATACCTAGATACTACATGTGTATATTGATTAATTTCATTGGACAAGATCAGTATACTGTAGACGTACTTTTTTCCACGGGGTCATAATTCCGCGGAATCTCAATTTCTGTTTAATCCGCGGGTAGAAAATTACGCGGATTTTCTAGATTGTCACTATATGCCTTATATTTATATTAAGTACGCTTGGACAAATTTCCGCGGAAAGTTTGTGACCGCGTACATAGCGTAAATTAATACCACGCGGAAAATAGTACTTCTACAGTATTACAGATAGGATTTCTGTAGATTTCAGAATCTTTTACTCTGTTATGAAGTTAAATCCATGCCAAATGTTTTGATAGTGATTACAAGTACTTTTACATATGTATATAATTATCTTTTTATTTTAACAGTGTCTAATTTGGAGGAGAGCATCATAGGTTCCAACAAATCCGGCAACAAGGACAAAGAACAAGGTCAGTTACTGCATAAAAATTACTGAAAAAGATGCCTCCATTGGGACACAAATTGTTAACAACAAATCTGTATGAGAATATTTGGTGTGAGATGTGCTTTTAGCTATATGCACAGAAACTCTCATAGTCTGTATCAGAAATACATGTATATATTCTCATCTCTTTTTGAGGATGACTTTAAAAGTCTATATTCAAGGTCATAAACCGCATTATTTGTAAACACTAGAGTGTATGTCTGTGTGGTACACTGTTACATGTATATGTTAATTTTATTCTTTTTTCACAAGCTGAAACAAGAGCAAAGAAATCCGCTGCGAGGCCTCAGAAGGGGGGGAAATTGTGAGTATAATGGAAATCATGTATTTTTGTGAATCAGATTTAATGGGATGTTAATTAATTTATTTCATCTTTATTTGAAAAGGATTGATATCATTTGTTCATCATTTGTTCAACATTGGACATACACATACCGGGGTACTTCTACTAAGAATAAGAATCATTAAATATGTACAAATTAGTTAATCAGCAATGACTATTTGGTTAACTGTTTGTATTTTCAGTGCATGTATAACAATTGTTTAAATTTTAGCGAGGCCAATCGTACTGAAAAGTTAGAGGTGATTAAATGGGAGATGGACGAGTCTGGCTTAGTGTTAAATAGAACAGTACACACAGAGAACTCAGCTGAGGAGAGAGAAAGTGAAGAGGAGTCTACCGACACAACGGATCAAACCGACGCAGGGCAAACCACACACTCTAAAGCTTTAGCTGGAAAAGAGGACGATGGCTCAAAGAATCGAGATCGTGAGACGGTAGAACTGGGCCCAACAGAACAGACAGTTTCTGATAATCGGTCTTATAGTGTGGTGGATAGCAGTTATTTCATGGCAAAAAGCTCTGTTGTTAGATCACAAATATTATTCCCAAAAGCTGACTTGATTCCACAGGAAAACTGTGCAGAAAGTAAGAATTGATTATAAATAAACAAAATAAAATTTCAATTGACATGCAGGTTCATAATTTGTATTGACTAATTTTCACACAAGTTTAATGGCTTGTGGAAGTCAATATCATGTTGCATTTAATTTTTAGGTGGCTATGTTTTAGTAAAAAAAAAGTGCAAAAGTTTGTTTTATAGATATTTTTTTATAAATCATGAAAATAATTGTAAACATTGTAAAAAAATAACTATAGAATCAAAGTTTAAGTATTGATTTACTTACTTTGTTTTTGAAAATTTAGGTAAAACAGAAAAATCATCAGAGAAACAAGTGAAAGAAAATCTTGGTAAAGGAACAAGCAGAAGTGAGAAACGCACAGATTTAGACATAACAGAAATGTCAGTTGTGTACGTGGACAGAAATGGAAACATAGGGACAAATGACAGCACACAACTCGGTAGCCGTAATCATGAGGCTGATAATTGTGAAATTTCAACTGAAGCTATAATCGAGGGTTCCTCGGACACTTGTATAGAAATACAGGGAGTAACAGAAGAGGTAAACATCAGTGACATTTCAGGGGGCGATCAGACCTCAGAGGATGTTTATACAATAGGGAGGGGAGCTCTCTCAAGAGAAAGACCAGGACGGATCTGTAGGCAGGAAACGGAGGAAATGGAAGAGGCTGAAAACCAAATGACAGGGATCGAAACCCAGAAAGAAAAAAATGCAGGTACTCCAAACGTTCTCCAGAACTCAGAAGAAGGCACAAAAAAGTCCCAAGGAACAGTGACAGTACAGATCATAAACTCCAAAGCTAAGAAAGTGCAGATGTTTGATATGTCAGTCCAGGCAGATGATCTCAGCGAGAATGAAGAGGAACCAGAGTCTAGTCAGCAGTCAGATGAGTCATCGACTGAGATACAAAAGAGTTCCACCGTCATCTCAATGCCAGATGGAAGGTCAGTCACTGTCGCGTCCGCTGACAAACCACCCTTCACCTTCCGAACAGTCTCCAAAACAGACATATCCAAACAGGCTTCATCCACTGGTGCTTCGGATGTCAAGAGAATCACATTGCCTTCAGGGGCCACTGGTCTGAAAATTCTGAAAGGCATGCCCCAGGGAGCCCTGGTGAAGTTTAAACCAGCGGTTATCTCCCTTGATGGGGAGGTGATTTCAGAGGATGTGTCATTAGACGATGTCCAGAAAACTCAGGAGGCCTGGAATGCCGTGTACAAGTCCAGCCAAGTAGATAACCAGGAGATCATTCTTGTCTCTCTCCCCGAGGGGCAGGAATTGAAGGAGAAACTTCCCTTCAAACAAAAGGTAAGAATTAACATTTTTTTCTCATGTTTATTTAGGTTTATAGCAAAAGATTTTTTTTTCATTTATTTATTGTTTCAAAACCTTTATTGCAATTATTTCTCTGACTGTTTTCTTATATGTGAATGATCTTCAGGTTAGTGTACTTGAACTTTGAACTACAGATGATTATAGCCATAAAGCAAGTGTATAAGTGTCTTTCATATCAGAAACTGTAATACAGTCTCAAGCTTTGATAAGGGAAATTAATCAATATTTCTTGGTTTTCTAAGAAAACATACTGGTATTTAATAAAAAAAAATTCTTTGAATTTTCAAAAAATTAACTTACACTGTTAGTGACTGGTCTGTTTTTCATTTACCAGAAACCAGATGAAGTTGCATATGAGATGAATGAGGAAGGGGAATTTGTTTGTGGAGTGTGTAACTACAAAACCAGCCGAAAAAGTAATTGGTATAAACACCGCAAAAAGCATATGGGTGAGTAAACTTTTAATCGTGTTGGTAGGTTGTAAACATTAAGTGGGAAATATTCAAACATAAGCAAGCAAACAATGATTCTCAACATCCACTTAATGGTCTAAAAGCAATTGAGAGCAATGTTTCTGAGCATATTTTTGTGAAAAAATTTCTAACCTGAACATTTTTGAGGTACATTATGGGATAAAAATTTCTAACCTGAACATTTTTGAGGTACATAATGGGGATATGATTTTATAATATATTTGTGTCTCTTTTTTTTTAAGGCCGTAAGACCCATAAATGTGAGTTGTGTGACTATGTGGCTGCTACGAGTAGTAACTTAAAGCGTCATCAGAATATTCATCTGGACGTCAGAGAACACCAGTGTAATCAGTGTGGCCAGACATTCCGACAGAAAATCCATCTGGAGCGACACATTAAATACAAACACGAGGTAAAAGTGATGGCTTATATTTCATATAATGGTTTAACTAGTTTAGCAGATGTTATATATATGACAGCTCTATAAAACATTGATACTAATAGGAAAGCAAATACTCCCTCCTCCTCAAAATACTGTTCAGGAAAGTGTGACAAATACTCAGAATTTTGTAAGTGTAATTTTGTTATAGATTTTGTTTTATAAAGATTCATAATTATCTTTTGGATAGGAAAAGGCAGTAAAATGTCCCCTGTGTGACTATGTGTGTGCCAATGAGAATCCCGACCTGAAAGTTCACATCAAGAGACGTCACATTCCAGTAGAAGACGACGAGGCTAAGGAGGCCAAGAGCTACACATGTGCCGAGTGTGGACTTATGACCTACAGCAAGAGAGACATGAGGCAGCACATGAAGTTCCACAAGTCAGGCCCCGAGCTCAAGCTGTTCTGTGAGCAGTGTAGTTTTGTGACGGACTGCGAGAGTCGACTGAGGAGACACGTTCTGATTCACTCCAATGAACGTCCCTATCAGTGCGGACTTTGTGATTATCGCGGCTCCCAGAAGGAACATGTGTTGCGTCACATGAAGACCCAGCACCACATAGCCGTGGAGAGGAGGTCCTCAAGGAAAGGCCCCGATATGGAGGATTCCGATTCCAAAGACAGCTCCTCTGTTGATAAACAGCAAGATAAATCTGACTACAGCAGTCAGGAGAAGATATTTGCCTGTAATCATTGCTCCATGAAGTTTTCTAAATTAATCAATCTTTACAAACACTTGCATGGGCAGCATAAGGATGTCCTTCCACAGGATTCAGAAGAGTTTCTGTGTGTTGTATGTGACTTCCGAACCTCCAGCAAGAAAAATCTCCTTGTTCACATGCGTAAACACAACCTTATCGACCAAGTGCCTCCTTCTCACGTGTACTCCTGTGTTCTCTGTCGATACATGAACCCGCGGCGACGCAATCTCTTCCAACACATGAAAAAGAAGCACAATATTGAAATCGTCATCCGTGATGATGGGTCCACAAGTTGTTTTGTGACCGAGAGCCTTCCAGCAAGCGAGGATTCTGTAAGTAATATGTTAACAGTGGGAGACATTGTCACCGCGGAAACGGAAGAATCGTCAGAATTACAAATAGTAACCGACAACTCTAATTCAACACAGAGTGTAATCAGCATAGAGGACCTGGCGTATGCTGTGTCCCACCCTAAACCAAACACTCGATTACTCAAAGAAGGTACAATGAAACCAAGAATTGCTACAGTGGTGAAAGAGCACGAGGCAGCAGAGGCCATTGAGGGACTTCAGGCACTGGCGGGCCAGCGAGGAATAGCTCACTTTACACTGGACCCTCACAAGTCAGACAGCATGGAGACAGAGGTTATCACAATGGAGAACCCAGGAGAGATTATGGAAGATAGAGATGCAGAAAAAGAACCAGGTTATCAACTGAGTCATGACCAGCTGATGAATCTGTCGACAGGAGACTTTGTAGAAATCAATGGAGAAATGTATAAAGTGGAGATCAGCTCAGAAGAAAACCCGAGCTCTAGTCAAATAGATAGCGTCCAGGCAGGTATAACACAGGCAGATGTTGGTTTATCTGAGGTGGCTAATGGCACAAGTCATGTAACGATGTCTGATGTCGGTAATGGCCATTTAGAAGTTTCCCTTGTGAAAGAAACTCCTTCAACAGAACACCAAATACTCAATCCCCAAAGCAATTCTTCAGGAGCAACTGTAGCAGTTACTCAGCCTAGTGATATCCAAATGGAAGTTACCCAGTTACATAAATCAGAGGGTGAACTTAAGGATCCAAATCGGGTAGAATTTCCAGAAACTAAAGCTGAATCTATGGAACGTACAGCAGAAATTCCAATCACGGAGACTTGCATACAACCAGAAACCAGTGAAGGAGACTTGACAGACAGGGACCAGGGCATGACAACAATTGAGGAAGTGTTCATGCATGTCGAGTCGGGCAATATAATAGGCTCAGGACACGCTCCATCGAGTCAGTCTATGTCATCGGAGAGAATCATCACTTCAGAGATTCTGGGGATTCAACAAAGCGATCCCATTGATGCACCCCAAGGAACCTTCAGCTCCATTGATCAGGAGGGAGTCAATAATGCAGAGAGTAATAAAGTAGACGATGCTGCAGCTGACCAGATCACGGAGAGTTCTGTCATAGCGGAGTTCTCAAGCACTCTTTCTGAACTTCCTGGTGAAAACAACAGTAGTCAAATCACAGAATCAGTCTTAGCTGAAAATACACACACAGAAAACTCACAAGACGCTATAGCCGAGTTCTCAAGCACTCTCTCTGAAGGTCCTGGTGAAAACAGCAGTAGTCAAATTACAGAATCAGTCTTAGCTGAAAATACACACCCAGAAAACTCACAAGAGGTCATAGCCGAGTTCTCAAGCAATCTCTCTGAAGGTCCTGGTGAAAACAGCAGTCAAATTACTGAATCAGTCTTTGCTGAAAATACACACCCAGAAAACTCACAAGAAACCATAGCCGAGTTCTCAAGCACTCTCTCTGAAGGTCCTGGTGAAAACAGCAGTAGCCAAATTACAGAATCAGTGTTTGCTGAAAATGCGCACCCAGAAAATTCACAACAGATGTCCATGGAGATAGGGAACCCTGAAGCATTGGAATCATCCAGCTGATCAAAGGACTGCTTCTGACTGAGCTGGAAAAACTAATGTGTAAATGCTTTATATTATGTATTTCTTCACCATTTGGGGAAAATTGTGGTTTTAATCCTTCCCTCTGGATGCTCACAAAAAAAAAAATAATAAACTGAATGAGGAGTTTGGATAACCTTACCACCCTTACTATTTCATAACATTTCAGACAGGGTTTGGGATATTGAGAATTTTGTAATTTTATGAATATTTAATATTATTAATTTTAACTTACAACTCTTTACCTCAGTTTAGATACATGTAGCTACCAAAGAAAAAAAATAATCCAGTTGAAAATTGAAGATAATTATCTTAATATGGAAAATTGTAAGTGAAGATGTAAAGAAAATATTTATCACAGTAGTGGTAATTCAAAAATAAAATGAACTGTAAATTAGAAATGAGATTTTGTATAATTAAAACTTGTATTTGTGTTAATATTGATGAAGCTGTAGTTTTTATTTTCACTCCCAAAAATTTAACATTATTGTTCAAAGTTTCCATCATGTACATAAAATGTGTGTAATTTCTATGCAGTTATTTTTAATTATATTTATTGTGCATTATTGAAGTTTCAAACTTTTGTTTGTTATTGAAATAAAGTTTAAATCCCACAAGAATCAATTTTACTTTCAGCAAAAAAATTTTTTTCAATAGAAACAAATTTCAGATAGTTTACCAAAGAAATGACCATCTGGATATTCTTTAAATGCAATTTCACTACACTAACATCTAACAACATCGCATAGAGGGTTATGTCAGAGATCAAATTTAGAACAACTCTAAACTTATTCACATAAAAAATATACAATGACTTTGCAGTCGACAATTTGATTGGTTGATAGAATTTGACCTTTGATGTGACCCTCAATGGGATGTTGTTTGATGTTAGTGTGTATGCGAGCAGAACAAACGCACATCTTATTTTAATTATTGCTTTGAATGCGACTTCAAAGTTAACTAATATTGGTATAAATTTTGGTTTAATGTCAATGTCACATTTCATCTCATGCACATTTGCAGGAACTAACTAATTAGACATGCCATGGGACCTCATGTTACTCTTATAGTTTTAAAACACAGATGCAAGCATAATGGGGTCATTTGTGAAATTTATCAAGGAAATCTAAGATCTCCACCCTTTTTTTGCTATAATTAGCTCAATTGATTGTTCTCTAAGGATGGAACTTGGATAAGTTCAACGTATGAAAAACAAGTATGTGCTCTACCACTGGACTGTGTCAAAATCCAAACATTGGTAGGACACAAAATGCTGCAGGTCTTATACCAGACTTGCATTTAACTTGCTCTTGTCATTCTTGACCTTTGTAAAGGAATGTACTTCTTGTAGGTCTTGTCTTTGGTAAATATCCCAATGTTTGTTATTCTAATGTATGTCTAACACAAACTTTACGACAACAGACAATTTTTATGGAAGAATGTTTTATATAAATTTATTTTTGGTTATTAATTTAAAGAAATTATAGACCATGCAGATACCCATCTCACATGATACTTTTTGTATTTAATACCAATTTTGAAATCACCCTGTGTCATTGATAAGATATCCTTCTCATCATATATATGTGATCTTTTAAAGTGTATAAGGCAAAAAATAAATTTCATACTTTCTGCTGTTGACCTTGTCCAGGTGAGTTACCATTGGGCAAAGTTAAAACCTCAGTGTAAACTGAAAAACTTTTGTAACAATTCCAGTCTTACACAAGGTTCAAACCCTTCCAGTCAGATCGAGATGTGTCTTTCAATCACCCAGAGTCGGAAGATTTTTCATTGACATGGTATTTACACAGAGGCCATCATACAAACATCCAAATATCCCTTTTCACTGGATACAAAATGTAATGCTCTTTAATTTGAAAATTCTAAGAAAAAGAACATGAGTTTTCAAGAAGTAAATTTATTTGTCAATGGAAATTTTCGTTAAAATGTTATGCCCTGTTGAAATACAAATGAATACAAGCCATTTATCATAATCATAAGAAAACTACAGCAATAACCAATATTCTTAGAACATGATATCATTTTGTGATGAAATTTTAAATGATGGCATTCATAATTACCTCATAACACATTACACACAGGACATACAATTGTGTTAATTGACTTAAGTTAATAAATCCTAAGAATGAAAGGTAAAAATGCATATGCTTTATTACATGGCTGAAATATAGAGAAAAAAAAAAATAAGTTGTGTAAACTAACAATGATATGTTCTTCTAAAAATGACTGTCAACATATGAAAACGAGATCAACAGAAAGACAATAAGAAAGTCTTGCATTGTATTATAAGTCTTGCATTGTACAGTAAAACTTAATTGGTTATAGAGAAGTCACTGGGACGTATGAAATTACTTCGTTACATTCTGTAATTTGTTATATCCGTTTAAGGAATTCGTTAAATTTTTAAAGCTGGGGACCTAAGATAACCGCGCTATATATCCGTGAATTCGCAATATCCATGTTCGTCCTAAATGAGGTTTACTGTATTACAGTGTCGGCTTATTTCTTTTCTCGTCCCATATCTACAGTGAAACTTGTCTATTCCAGATGTTGCATAATCAAAAATCTGGACTAATACAATGTCAAATTTAAATACCTTGACTTGAACTCAACTTTTTAAATTTTGCATGATCCAGAATGTTGTTTCAACCATCTTATTTCTTTGGAACCGGCTTATTTCAGTGACGTCCGGATTAAACAAGTTTTACTGTACTTTGACAAGTTTTGGGTTGAGCCAAACCTCAAAGTAGGAAAAGTGAGAAATATATATCACATGTCATTGATTTCCTTTTCCTTGTATTATAGTGGAGACTCACATGACACACTTTATTTTACACTCCATTATCATTTTAAGGGGAAAAAATGGACATGCAGGTATGTGTTGTAATCAACTTATTAAATTAATAAAGAAAACAAACTATTTGTATCAAGGCATGTTGGTGGTGCCATGCACCATTGAAAACACTGTATGCGATACAGATTTTATCTAATGGTACTGTAAAGAAAAAAATTATAATCATACAGAATGTTTGATGACTTAATTCCAGTCACCTAAAATTTGACTCTTTCTTTAAATGTTTGCATTTCAATGAAAAAAGAAATTCGAGAAAAAATTCATCCCAGTAATTCATTTTTATTAAAAAGTAAATATAAACTTTTACAAATTTAAAGCGACCAAAAAAAAAAAAATAAGTGACTGGTTTTTGAGATAAAAATATGAACAATTTTTACTAACTCTCTTGTATATTTTCTGTAGTTTTGTTAATACAATTACATGTAACGGTATGTAGCTAGAGATGTACAATCTTACACTAGTAAGTCTTATATTTCTGTATTTTAACATTCATGTACTGTACAATGAACCTGACTTTGTACCTTGGTCACTTTGTGGAATGGCACATGAAAAACTTGAGCAAACTGCATACTTACATCATGTATATAATTATATTTATATATACAGCATGATGCCTCTCTCTTGTCGTTTTTCTATGAATATTCAAAAGAAGAATATAATTTCAGACTAAACATTCTTAACTGTTGTCATAATCCTTTCAAAAAATACTGAGAAAGAGTATTGGTATAATATACATGTATCTAAATTAATACATTATGATTCAAATGTCTTCATGAAAAATACACTGTACATTAACCTCATTGTACATACCATGTAAAAACAGAATCAAGCCTTGCAATCTTGCTCATTTACAGTTCATTCGATGATGATGATCAAGAAAAGAAATACATGACATGTAAAATATCAATAAATACATGACTACATGCAAATTTTTGGCATTCAGAATTTGCTACACCAATGTGTAAAGAGCTTGAAAATTCTGCAAGAAATAGAGATGAAAACGACACAATTCCAGCATTCTGCTTTCAATGAAATTTATATACATGCTTAATTACCCTGACTCCAATAATTATTAAATATTCATAACACATATAGAAACAAACAAATTCATCTCTGATCTTGGACTTTTCAACAGAAATTTCACTAGTACGATAATTTTTCAAAAATTTTTTCTAAAAATTAGTTTTCATCAAAATGTGTGACAGCGAAAGGGCAATAAATTTAAGATAAAATTCATTTGAGATTTGCAAAATTGTTTCTAAGGATGCAAATGTCATCTGGGATTTGTAATCTACCTCAATTCTACATTTTGATTTTTACATGGACAGAGCAATTTAAGCTGGACTTAATTTAGTGTAGCCCTTATTATGCACTGCCCATTAAGACTGGCTGTAACTTCGGCAAGTGGTTCTCATAAACAATCAAACAACTTTATGCACCAACAGCTATTAATGGCTATTTATATTGCCCTGACCTTGACCCCATAAAAAGGTTGATAAAATACACCTACACTTTAGGCATATAAGTATATCAGACATTATACCTAATTAGTGATAAATAGAAATATGAGTTACTACATATACTACAATTACATTATTTATAAATACCAATAAAAAAAAAATTGTAGGAATGTAAGACACTGCCCTGATGATGTGGTCTTGAAAAATAGTCTTCAAGACCAGGATTTGTCTCCACCTGTAACTTGTGTATTGTCAACAATAACAACAACTTCAAAGCCAAATGAATCCCAGCATGAAGAATTATGTCTACTGTAAACCTTTATTAGTTCTCAGATAAAAATCTAAAAAATTAATAATGGAGTTAAAGAAAATAAAAGTCTATTGAATCAGATGTTATAAAAAAGCCTCTATGTTAATGGAATGTTGTCACAATTAGTAATTATATCCTGTACATAAATCTAGACCTGCTGTGTTAATTCTTTTTTTTTGGGGGGGGGGTTTAACTTTTCAAAAAGACTCAAAAATCTAAATAAAAAAAAATCTGAGGGCCTTATCTTCTAGAAAGATTTGCAGGAAACAGAATTTATATTTATTTAGATCTACCAGTTGACACGTTTCAGTAAACTGGATGCTTATCTAATCAAGAAAAATTACTAGGAAACACAAGTGTTCTGTCCTAACAAGGTTTGATTGCATTTAAAAATTCAAAACTTATGTTGTGTTGAGGGACAAATTATTCTTAAGATTTCCTGGATTTTTGCATGTGCAAATCTCAAATCTGTTTTGGAGAAGAAAAAGTGGACTTATATCATTAACAACTTTTATAACAATCGATCAACTTTGGGGCTTCAACAGATAACAATAACCTTTAAAAGTGTGTCATAAAACATAAAAGTACTTATAATAAAATTACAAAAATATTTGCAAGTTATACACCACATTCAGTATCTATATTTTGATAAATATAACTTTCAAACTACCTGAGAAATCTTATCATAAGAATAAATAATGCATAGTCAATTTGCAAATACTTCATATATACAGTTAAAAAAAATCACCTCTGTGTACATAAGAGTTTTAATTTTTGTCTACCCTGCTGTTCAGTGATGAATAAATTAAATAAAGCACACTGAAGCACAAGGCAATAAATAGATAACTTGAAAACTAACAATGTTCAAAGCAGAATGATTGAACATAGCAGAGTGCATAGTCACATGATGTCAATATAGAGCAACTACAGAGAAAATATCAACTGCATCGAGACAAAAATTTGAACATAAGGATTTTTTTTTATTTTTAAAAATTTCAAATAATTCATATTTCACTGGGAAAAAAATTAAATTAAAACCTGGCAAAGTCATATAATAAATTATATTAATCTCTGAGTTTAACCCATGACTATGAAGCACTCAAATCTACATGAGTCTTTCCCAAGACATTCTCCCAATCTACATGTATGAAAAAAAAAATGAAATCTCTAAGTTACAAAATATCTTAATGCAAAAGAATTGTCATATCAATAGCTTTGAGCTTGACTATTGTGCAAGTCATTAAAAATGTACTTGGTTTTCTTTATTTAGCTTGTAAATACACTTGAATTTCAGTACATGTGCATTTCAAAAGTTGAACTCTTTTATATCATGGATATATCAGACTTGGAAGTCCAAACCGCATTGTCTATATGTTCATTATTTTAACGAACCTTCAGAAATCTGAGTTTTTTTTCTTTGGTCCAACATGTTTAGAAATAATGGGTTTTGACCATTTAAAGTTGCATTAAAGATAAGAGGGTGTTATGGCCATATCTACTGTAGACCAACTTTTGACTAAGAGAACTCAAAATCTGAAGGTGCTGTTGATGAAAAACTTGAGAGGCTCATGCACTCAAGTTATCAGATCAAAATGATAAGAAGAAAAAAATACAGACAGGCAAACTGACATTATGAATACTATAGGGCACCTGCAGGTCCCTACTCAAATGTTGACTAGATATTTATATGGGTATTTAGTTGCCATGCTAACAATCCATCTTTTGCTACATTTTGATTTGCAGTAGTAAGGCTTGATGCATTATATGCACTGAACTGCATATTTTCTTCAGCTGCACACACAAGAACATTTTCACACAGACAAAAAGGCAAAGAAAAAATGCCTTTAAATCCACACATCAACATGAAAAAATTGCATTTAAATCCAGACATCCACAGGCAAAAACATTTCCATTCCCACTGAGGGTATAAGACTACTTTCATGTTCCATAAAGTGTAATGGCAAGAGCACGACATGGCCTTGGATCTTTTTCAGTTCGTTACGTGCCTGTTCTGGATTAGTTTCAGCCAGAGTTTTCTCTGAGCTTAGTTGATTCAGTTCAGTAAAGCTCAAAACCAAATCAGATGGGATACAATTGAACACCTGCAAACAGAAAAAATTTATAATTACCATAATCAAACTTTTTAAATAATGAAAGACTTTTCAATTATTTTTTAACAATAAAACTTTGGAAACAAGAGATGTTTGTAAAACACTTATGCCCCCCTCCCCCCAAATTAGAATTTTTCCAATTCCAAAAGGGCATAACACTGTCAAAAATGGTGCAATCGTACCCAAAACAAAACTTGACCTAAATATTCATGTCATATATCTGTATACCAAATTTCATTTCAATATGTGCAACGGTTGTGAAGAAAATGAACAGAAACTGCAAATAATTGGAATTTTTCAAAAAAAAATGGCACATTTCTGACCTAGATATTCATCTGATATATTTGTACATAAAATTTCATTTCCATAATCAAATAATTTTTTTTTCAAGGGGCATAACTGACAAAAATGGTGCTTTTCAAACTTATTTTATGTGATATGTCTGTACATAAATTTCACAGAATGTGCGATGGTTGCAAAGAAAATGAACGGAAACTGCAAATAATTGGAATTTTTTTAAGTCCAAGGGGCATAACTCCGTCAAAAATGGTGCAATCGTACCCAAAACAGAACTTGATCTAGATATTCATGTGATATATCCATATACTAAAGAAAATGAACAGAAACTCCTCTATATAAGGGGGGCAATTTCCTAGCCTAAAAACTCGTTTTAATCATGACGTAATCCTCGAAATTAGAATTTCAGTACAAAAGTTTCAAAGAAAAGATTTATGTTTTTATTTTTAGATTTTACCTTGTTCTGGATAAAAAATAAGTTTCTTTAAAAATAAAATCTGTATTTATTTATGCAAAATTTTATCCACGATTAAAAGTGAATGGGATTGGGCATCAGGAAAAGCCTATTTTAGCTCTCTCCCTAAAAAAATAAAATCTGTATAAAATGTGAACCTTTTGGAAGACACTTGTATTGACCGTGGCACGTCTGAGGAACACAGATTTATAGAACGAATCACAGACCGGGTCGTCTAGGACAGGGTCACCTTCAGGGATACCCATATGTTCACTGCAAAAATAATAAAAGAGACTTAAAACATGCATCAAATCAAGGAACTTACACTGAATATTATATGCTTACTTTATACACATAAGGTCATATATAGAACAAGTCAAATCAACTTAAATGGAATCAAGTGTTGTAATTATAAAGAAAGAATATAAAATTAATTTTCTAATAAATAGGTGCCTTCAAATGAAGACATATTTCTATAAACACACATGTATATAAAAGCTTTTCATGGAAATTCAATTCACCTGAAGAGAGATTTCCGTAGCGAGGTAGCGAACCTCCCAACCAGGTGAGGAATGCCCGCGAACTTTGTCTCCTTTTTGTGGATATCCTGCACCATGACAGCAATCTCGCTGTCCCTGTCTCCAAGGAGACTGCGGTCGTTGATGTTGGCGGAGCCAATAATGACGGTATCATCGTCAGCGATAAAAAGCTTACTGTGGACATACACCAACTCCGATACCTACAAAGAGGGTTAATGTCAGGAAAATTCTATGATGCAGTATGTCAATTTAAATACTTTATACGGTAAAACATAGTTCTGGGTTAACAATACATTGCGCCTCATCCTATGAAATGCTATTTTTATTTAATGACTTTGATGTACAGTAGTCACACAAACCGGTTTGGAGGAGAGCTCATCATAATTTCGTAATCCACAGAATACTATGTACTTCAGGGGATCAAGAACTGAAATAAATTGAGGGAACTTAAACACCATTACATCTATATTAATATACAATTTTTTCAACAATTATGAAATAGAGATAAGATTAAATTCCCTCCTGTCTGACCTTCCTTTGAGAGCCTCTCCCAGAGAGAATAGGGTCCTTTGGAGATAGAAGTGTAGGTATAATGTGTGACCGTCCTGATGGTGTACCCCCCATCTCCCCCTATGTCCCCCTCAAAGGCCGGAAGTAATGGCATGACCACATACACACGGAAATTTTCTCCATTCCTTGAAAATAAAACATAAAATCTAAAATAACTTGTTTATTTTCTTTCATGTATATATAATTTAAAGAAAAAGATACAGTCAAGCACTGTTAATCTGGATGCTTCTAATATGATGAATTGTAAGATTTAACTGTTTTAAAATAAAGTCAATAACAAATTTTGTTGAAAAAGTTGAATAGTCTGGATTTCTGGCAGATTATTGAGGATCTTCTGTATTTTAATCTTCCTCTAAATCTTTATTCTAAAATATTGTAGACGTACTTTTTTCCACGGGGTCATAATACCGCGGAATCTCAATTTCTGTTTAATCCGCGGGTAGAAAAATACGCAGATTTCTTAGACTGTCACTATATGCCTTACATTTATATTAAATACACTTGGACAAATTTCCGCGGAAAATTTGTAACCGCATACATAGCGTAAATTAATACCATGTGGAAAAAATCTTTATGCTACAGTACATTTAATTTTCTGTTTGACTCTAATTTGACCTGATTTATTTATACATACCTGTGAGCTCTGATAATCCTGTTGAACAAGGCATCTCCAATTTTATTTTTAATCACAGATTTATCTCTAACTCGAGTTATGAAGAATTGATTCTGCAACACAAATAGAGCAAATTGAAACATACATTCATCTATGCATATGTCACATGTATTGAACATTTAAATATACATGTATGTAAACTCTGTAAATATTTGGTAATCCAGTGTAATTTTTAATTAACATGCCCTTAAGTAATGTTTGTCATTCTCGATACAATGTACACATCGATGTAAATGTAATGTTTGGCACTCTCAATACGATTTGATTATTACATACATAGATGTAAATGTAATGTTTGGCACTCTCGATACAATGTAGATCATAACGTACCTCAATGTAAATGTAATGTTTGGCACTCTCAATACAATGTAGATAAGCAGTCTGTATAGAACACTCAGTAGTTTTAATGCCACCTGACCAACCACTTAAACTCCGCAAAATCTGAAAAATATGGTCACATCAAATAGGAACAGTGAGATGTTCACATCAGTAATTTTTTTTTAATATGCATTCAGAAAGCAAATACACATTTCTACAAATTATGTTCACTTGGTACCATTATTTATTATTTGTATTCTAGAATTGATTTCAACCTAATGTAATAATGATTAATATACATGTATACATGTAATTAGCACTCTGTACTTCTTTTACCAACCTAAGTTAAAAAGTTAGCTTGTTCATAATCCTAGACCAAGTAATATTGTAAATTAGCTCTGTCACTGTAAATATTTAATTATTTATCAGGTAAATTCAAATGTACAGGCAATGATCATTTATAAGACCCTTAAGAGCCATCTCACAGATTTTACAAAATGGACACATGAAGTAAACTCCTAGGTTCATTTGACCTACTGACCTGTGTTTTGACCTCTTGACATGACCCAGTTATAGATGGAGGAAGAGTATTATCTTGAGCATAAGCCTTGGGCAACAACAGAGGAAAATCCTTGTTGTTCTTACATTTCTCTTGCTGAAATGATAATGTAAAAATGTCATTGAATTGTTTCTACAAAAATTGCTTCTTTCATGTCAATATATTTGATTTATATTTTACACAACAAGATCTAACAACTGGTTGTAAGCTTCATAAAGTGCCCCTGCTCTCTTGATGTAGAGGATTCTAGTTGTCAATTAACATTCTTTGCAATCATGTCTGAAAAAAAAAGATTTTGGGCAACCTTTAAATATTCATTCCACTTTTGTTTTACCTTAGTTATGTTCCATCGACCAATGAAATGCCTTGAAACATCTCTAGCTGCCTTCCCATACACCACCGCTCCAATGTCATGCCAAGGCATTCGTGGAGTTTTATATCGATCAATGAAGTCTGTAATCAGCATTCAAAATGAAAAACATTAGATTGTATCAAGTTTCAAACTATTAATTAATTTTGCTAAATTTGCTAAATGACATAGTTGTACATTTACATGTCAATATTAATTTTGCTAAATGATATGGTTGTAAATTAACATGTAATACAAGAAAAGCATGTTCAAGTACCCCAGTATAAATGGCCTATTTTCTTTTATTTAATGCAAGATTTCAGTCTTAGGGATGCAACTCTAATTTTTTTTTTCATAATTATTTGTTGTGAATTTTCCATTTATTACCAAAACCCAGTACAAACCTTCAAATGGAGCATTAAGATCCACAAAGTCCTTGTGTATGTTGTTACAGTAATCCTTGCCAATCCAGAGTTTAGAGGATCCCTTGAGACCTAGTTCATCTATAGCAATCTCACTCTTGGTTCTTTGTATCAATGCTGGCTTCTCAAGGCTGAAAAGATATTTGTGCTTACTGAATTGATCATCTATAGAAAGATGACAGAAAGAGAGTTATCATATATGAAACAAGAGGCCCATGGGCCTTATAGGTCACCTGAGCATTATGCAACAACTTTCCAGTGATTGAATTTGATCCATGTTTTAAGCCAGATGCTACAGCATTTACAATTTTGATCATCATAACCATACACTTAGCAGTTGCTTAGGTTGGTTACTTAATACCCATAGACAGGATAGGGGAACAAAAAATGCATTTCAACAAATCAGTAATATTCAGCAATAATCAGTAAAGCCGCTACCACACATGAACCCTTGACTCTTAGGCCTAGATCCACACATTGCACAATTTTTGAAAAGGAATCCTAGCTTTTCAAAAGTATTTGATTAATACCAAGGAGCAGATTTCAAACAATTCGTTATTTTTCAGTATATAAGTATAGCCCCCTCCCCATGGAACAACTGACCCTGGGGCCTTGAAATTCACAATTCTGGAAGATTAGGGCCCTTGCTCATTACTATATAGGTAGTTCATATGCTATAATACCCAGGAGCAGAGAAGAAAATATTCAAAGATTTAATGTTTTTTCACTATATAATCGTATGACTTAGCCCCGCCCTAACACCAGAACCCCTGACTCTCTTTAAAATTCACAATTTTGGTAGAGGCATTCTTGTTCATCATAACTAATATGTCCTTAGTTAGTTTATTTAATACTTTGGAGCAGAGAAGACTTTAAAAGAATTCATGTATTTTCACTATATAATCAAAATCAGCTCGCTGCCCTAACACTCAAAACTACCCTGATAAAATTCACAATTTTGTTTAGGCATCTTGCTCATCATAACTATGTACAGTTAGTTTATTTAATACCAAGGAGCAGAGAAGAAGATTTTCAAAGAAATAAAGCATTTCCACTATATAATCAATACAGCCCCACCCTAACACCAGAACCCCTGACCCTGGGGCCATAAAATTCATAATTTTGGTAGAGTCACTCTTGCTCATCATATCTATTACTTAGTTTTTATTGTACATGCCTCTGTGAAGAAGATTTTCAGAGAATTCATGTATTTTCACTATATAATCAAAAGAGCCCCGCCATAAACACCAGAATCCCTGACCCTGGGGCCATAAAATTTACAATTTCGGTAGAGGCACTCTTGCTCATCATAACTATGTACTTAGTTAGTTTATACAGTCGTTTGGCCAGTTCCGGATTTTTGCCAGGTCCGAATAAATAGTAATTTAAAGAATGTTAATTAATAAATTCAACCGTGTTAAAATAAATCGATTATGGTAAGAAGGCTTATTTACGAGTGTTTGAATTACGTGAAGTTTTGATTTTTTGCCCTCAGTTTGGTTTCTTATCGTTTGAAACTCTCTGCATACTTTTACAATGCAACAAATCTGAATCACCGCGACGCGTAAGTCTGCAGAAAAACCTCTGTAGATGCATAAATTTTTCACAAAAAAAAAATGTTCTAGGCATCAAAAGTATTGATATGTACTCTAACATATACTAAAAACTTGTCAAAAATAAATATTTAGAACACTGGAAGATATCGAAATATTTTCGTGCTCTTATTTTACCAGTTTCAAATACCCATTTTAAACACTATTATAAATTCACTCTTCGATGTTTTCTTCATTTTTAAACGTGACTTATTCTACCCCTGCTTGAAAAACAGGAAGAAGCGGTATACAGTAATGGGTTGTTTGTCCATCCATCCGTCCTCTGTTCACATTTACATTGCTCTGGGGTATCCATTTCATCCGCTTCAGATACCACTGAAAAAGTTTAAATATAGGCTTCACAGAGTTTAATGAGTCTTTCACAGAATCTTTGACAGTGCCAAAGTGCACCTTCTATTTTTGGTTTAAATATTTGGGTCCCTAGAAAAACATAGATACTGCCATTCTTTGTAATATTTGAACATATATACATTGTTGGATCCCATTCCTCCTATACCAAAAAGATTTAATGATACTTTCACATCCATTCTTTTCTTGGGATTAATTGTGACATTGTGAAAATATTTTACTTTTTGAACTTCTGACATTTATTTAAAGGTCTCCCAGAGTATATATCATGGACTTTGCCTCAATAATCATAAAGGAGGCCCACAAAACTCTTAATGCACTGGTTCCTTTGCCCACAGTACAAAATTTCTCTTAAACCTTTGGAAAAAAATAATTTATTGGTAAGCAATTAATTTAACTTTTCTCCATGCCAATAGATAACATCTGGTGACGTATATTTTTAAATTTAGGGTTGAATGTGGTTGAATCTCAGGGTATCCGGAACACAGTCGGCTTATTCGTAACTGGTAAAATGGACACCTATGGTAACTTGCGAAATAAATTTTTTTGAGGGAAGGCCCAACTTTTATGAAACAATATGCTATGGTCCACAAGTCATCGAACTACCTTGACAAAACACTTAGATTTTGAAATAATTCCTAATATATTTGTAGCACCATCGAATCGGTTTCTTATTCAGAACTGGCCAAGTAACTGAATAATATCCAGGAGCAGAGAAGAAGATTTTCAAAGAAATAATGCATTTTCACTATATAATAATCAATAGAGCCCCGCCATAACACCAGAACCCCTGACCCTGGGGCCATAAAATTCACAATTTTGATAGAGGCACTCTTGCTCATCATAACTATGCACTTAGTTGATTAATTTAATACCTAGGAGCAGAGAAAAAGATTTTCAAAGAATTCATGTATTTTCTATATAATCAATAGAGCCCCACCCTAACACAGAAAATTGGGGCCATTTATACAATTTTGGTAGAGGCACTCTTACCAGCTCATCATAACTATGAACTTAGTTAGTTTATTTTAAATACCCAGGAAGAGAAGAAGATTTTCAAAGAAATAATGCATTTTCACTATATATTCTTTAGCCCACAGCACAAGTTGACCAGGTGTATTTCACAATTTTGGTAGAGGACTCAATGCTGATTATAATCATGCAAACAGTTTGACTGCTTGATGTCCAGGAGTAAAGAAGAAGATTTTTAAAGATTGCATTAATTTAAAAGGTTTTATTTTCTGGCCCCACAGGGATCATGTGTGTTTTTGTTCCCCTTCACCCATGGATGCTTTGTGCCAAATTTGGTTGAAATTGGTTCAGTGGTTGCAGAGAAGAAGCTGAAAATGTTCAAAAGTTTACGACCGATTGACGACGACAAACGAAAACAGATAGCAATAGGTGACTCAGGTGACCTAAAAACATTATTTTACTAACAATACAATTACTATAAAGATGAATTGCTTGTATATTTAACTGACCTGTCTTTTAGGTCAACTGAACTGTCTCTACTGGATCTATCCAAATGGAACTGAAATATACATTTAAAGATACATGTAGGTAAATATATACACATGTAATTAATACTGACAAATGCAGAATACATACAACCATTTCTACTCAATACAATTTTACATTTTAGTGTTTTATAAGGTTACAATACCCACCAGCTTACTAATCTTCGGTGTGAGGGGTTTCTTTTCCTTGGGGAAGGGGACCGGTTCCTGTTGTTGTTGTTTGACCGCTGACTGGAACTTCTGGACATTCAGGACTAGTTTCCACCGATTTAACGCTGTCGGTGAATGCGGCCCGCTATCCTCCGTTTGTTCCCCCGTGTTGATATTTAGGTTGTTATTCCGCTCGTGGCCATGACTTAGTGTCCGGCGTAACTTCCTCAGGGCCCAGCTCTCTTTCTTTGTTCCCTTGTCCTGGTCAGCAGTCTCTTGTGTAGATTCAGACTTGCTTTCTCTGGCACTAGGACTACGCACAATTTGACTAGTTAAGTGAGAATCACTCGCTGCCCTGTTATTTTCTCTAAAACTACTCTGATTTTCACTGTTAAGTTTATGATATCCTTTAATCTCTACACCTTCATTATCATCTTTTTCCGCGGAATCAAATATAGCCTCAGAATCTCTTCCAGCACCATCACCAGAGAAATGCACTCGAGCCTTCTCGTCTTTCCCTCTAAAACTCTTCCCACTTTTTCGATGTAATGCCTCTGTGACATCTTTGGCACTCATAGTGTACACATTATCCGAATCTTCACTGATCACAGGGTAGTCTTCATCTGACTCTCTCTCCATGTACTTCTCTGCGTGCTCTGTTGTGGGATTTAAAAATTTCACATAAAATTGGGATATAAATTTTTTGTCTTTCACTGATTCAGTATCCGATTCCTCCTTTTCCTCTACACCACTGTCTCTTTTTGATGATGCCTCTAAGGTACTGTTCCTGTCTGCAGAGCTTTTTTCACAAGGCTTTGTTTCACTAGCTGCAGGGTCAGAGTGCACCGTTGCCGTAACAACAGTCTGATTGTGAGATCCTGAACCAATCAGATTCTCTGTATCCTCTGCCTCTAGTGACTGATTGTCGTAACTTTTGTCACTATCATTAGTGCCTGTCCTATCTCGACCACACACACATTCCGGGTCACTGTCAGATTTTCCCAGTTTAGGACTTGGTGGAGTTATATTTAAGGTAATGCCGTTGAGATCCTCTATAATGTCCTCTGACTTCACATTTACATTACTTTTCTGGGCAAATACATGGTCATCTGCTTCAGATACCTAAAAATATTTCAAATATAACCTTCATGCTTGAACATTCCAGCATCTTGACTTCAAAATTTAAATATTCAAAGTCACATATAATGAAAATAGTGGAGCCCCATTCATTCAGATGTCAATAAATTTGAATATAATTTGTGAGATAACAATGTATAAAAAAAAAGTTTATGCTTCACTAATCCATACACTTTTCTTGGGATTAATTTGATCTTATGAAAATTCAAAATATTTCTAATATTCAACTTCTGTACTTTCCCAAATTTAAAGGTCAAATCCAACAGAATATATATCTGACTAGTATATTTAAATAAACCCACAAAACTACTTAATGCACTGGTTCCTACCGTTCCTCATGACCTCAAATCAAAATTTTAGAATTATTTGAAAATAAATGCATGATAAAATGCCTTAATTACAGGTAAGCTGTCCTGTTTCTCCATCACATTCTGGTTGGTGACATCATATGTTATACTCCCTAAATCTGTGAGGGGGTGGGTGTGGTTGTCCCAGCGTCCGTAACACAGATCCAGACCCCCCAGGAAGGCCACCTTCTGGTCGATCGCCACAATCTTCTCATGGTGGGCCCACAGCAGGACACCCCCTGCTCCATGGTCCGGGTGACGGAGTACCTGAAAATGTATTTTAATTATATACTGTTCATGGTTTCTTAACCTCTTTTAATTTTTACAAGAATTTTTGAAATTTTAACAATCAATGTATGAATACACATACTTCATATATTGACAGAGGAGTAAAATCACATACATGTGTATTATTTTCAGTATGTTGTGATTGATATGAAACTTCCATCAGGAATCTATTATGAACACATGATATCAGGAATAAATGCTATTGGTTTCTTCATGCAAATTCATAACATCAGAAAATTAGGCTACTTGTACATGTATATAAATTAAAGATCAATAACTTTTACTAGCAGTATTCAGTACATATTTATCCATAAAAATGACAGCTGCATCTTTACAAACTGTAACAAACTCCATTGTTTACCTTGATGTTCTCTGGACACAGGTTGACCAGTGTGTGTTTACTGTTACCTTGATGTTCTCTGGACACAGGTTGACCAGTGTGTGTTTACTGTTACCTTTATATTCTCTGGACACAGGTTGACCAGTGTGTGTTTACTGTTACCTTGATGTTCTCTGGACACAGGTTGACCAGTGTGTGTTTACTGTAGGAACTAGACAAGTTGACAGCGATCGTCATCTCCTTGTACAACAGCACAAAGATCTTCACTCCACTTAACTAAAAAAAAAGAAAACTAATAAAGAGCTCTTTATTTCATTTTCTCAACTTTCTTCCAGAAATGGTTGAAGTTTTCATGGCTTGATCATAAATGATTGCATCAGAATATATCCCAAGTCAAGAAAAGATTCAGCATAAATAACGTATTATCCATAACCCTCAAAATCATTTGTCTTTTGTTATAAAATGATACATAAGTTGTTATTAAAGTGAATAGCCCTCACCGCTTTTCTTCGTAATATGCTATCTAGGCGCCATTTGTTTCCCTCTGTGATGGGTCTTTTCATGTATATCTCTGGACTGAGCCTGCAAAGGAATCATTCAAACTGTCATTTTTTAGTACAAACATGTACAAATGTACTTTTGCAGTTCAATACATGTAATACATAGACAAATATATTGTACAAAAATTTTAATCATGAAATCTAATTTGACCGTTTTAATTTATGTTAACATGCTTTTTACATACCACCAATCTGAAATGAAAATTTCCTCTTTGGCCTCCTCTAGTGCATCTGCAACTGCCGAGAAATAGGAATCCCCATCTATAAACCTACAATTGGATTAATAATGTCAGTGGCTAGCCAATAAAATACACAGAGAAATAGAGAGAACTTCAAATACGTGTACATGTACTGCTCTCATGAAATTTAAGATGCATGCCCTAAGTATTTACCATCTTACTTGACAAAGATGCAACTATAAAATTTAAATCTTCTACAAGTATTCACAATGGCTATACAGTTGTAGTGATTTAAAAATAAAATAATCACATAAAATTAAGGATATAAATTTTTTATACAATATTCTTGTAAGAAACTTTTTTTCCACTTTCTAAATAATCATATAATTTTGCCTCCTATATCATAAAAGTAAAAAAACTCACCATTGAGCATAACTTTTTTCCCGTATCGGAGCGAAAGCTTCGAACCTAGACACCCTAGCATAATCCTTCCCAGTGGTCTTAGCAACGTCCTCAATGGCTGCCTGCCACTCGTCAGCCTTCCGTCCTGTCCAACACTTAGCCAACAGACATCTGCAAATAAACCAGAACCTCACTTACGTGTAAGTAGCATGCTTTGATTTGTTAACCTATTATAATATACGAGGGCTGTTCATAAATAATGTCCTCTGTGCTCGGAAAGAAGCAAAAAGACGCTTTTCAATGATAGTCTTTATGATTTTAGTTATTAATCTCTTTTGATTAAAACACATATCCGTAACATTTTTTATCCAATTTCTGATTGTTTTTAGACCTCATTTTTGGGTATGACCCTTAGTATACTTTTAAATGGCAACATCCAGTGATTTCAAATTGTCTTCCTTCTGAAAGGTGTTTTTTCAAATCAAATAGAAACAAGTCAAAAGGTCAATCAATCTGACAATAATGTTAATGTGAAAAAAACTGATTAACTTTCTGTCTAATTCCCGAAAACCCCTTTACTCTTCAGGGCGTGCGGCCTTCCTGTCATTGAACTCATTTAATTAATCTTTGACTGGATGCTTGTCTACCTTTCATTTTTTTGCAAAAAAATTGCTTCTGCACTATCTACCATAAAATATTTTTAAAACATAAAAAACAATCAACTGATATTTTTTTTAAATTTAATGTCAGAAAGTTTTATCTATGCATATTTGCTCTTGGAAAATGGACATGCTGTTTCCATCCCTACATCCTATGGTAAATTTTTTTAAGGGTTTTAATAATATTATATAATATCAGATTAGTTTAATATGCAATATCAAATTAGTGGATAATTAATTTTCATCAAAATCATTTTAAAACTAATTGTTAACAAGAGCTATTTTAATCCAACAGGCTTACCCATTTTTCAAATTCCCAAGGGATATAGATAACACCGATTTTTTCCGTCAAACTCCTCACACTAAACTCAGTTAATTTCTCCCGAAATTGTCTATCAAATTTGCTCTGTGTCTTAAAGTCTTTACATTATCAAATATTATTTGTTGAAATTTGGCAAACAGTACATAAGTTGTTATAATTTTTGTTGTAAACAAATAATTTTTGATACCCATTATATAATTTTTTATCATTGAAATCCACAGCTCAATTGTCTATAAAACAGGCATTGGTTGCTGTAAATGTCACATAAATTCAGTGAATATTTCTTGGGATTATTAACAAGTTTTACAGCAGCTTTAATGAAGCTTTCATTTTCACTCTAGTTTAAATGAAAATTTAAAATCATTTTTTTTTTAATAGCTTTTTACTTCTAGCTTTCAATGAAACTTTGTGATGAAAACTTTTCACATAAAAATGTTTAAATTCATTAATAATTTTACACATTCAAAAATTAAAGTATATATTTGTAATTGTAAGTATATTTTATATATTTTCTTGAAAATATATTTACTTTCTGTTAACATGTAATCAAGAATACTGTCCAAAAGAGGAGCATGCCCAGATGGGGAAGAGTACCTATTAAGATTTACAATCTGCAGTCCATGTTTGGCCCCAGTTAATCCAAACCCATTCTCCACAGAAAAATCAGCATCCAGCAACATGACATCACAGATAACCCCGTCCTTGGGACGGACATAGGCCAGGAAGGAATCTTTTAGAAACAGCCATCTACAAACAGAGATATGTCAATATCTGTGTACTTCACAAATCATGTTCAGATAATACATACATACATATGAAATATTGATCAAATTTTATATTTGTTATAGATTGCTAAAATCAAGTATATTTTCTAAAAAAACAAGTATGATTTAACACTTTTATATATATACAGGATACAATAAATTTTTACATTTTTAGGATTATGAAATTCAAAATTTAAAAGACTTTTTTTTAAAAAAATTTCACTTAAATTAAAGGTCACAGTGACCTTGAAATTTCATCACACACCTTCCTTCCTCTTATGGCCAAGCTTGTCAATGAAAGACAAATGGCTCACCTCGAAAAATTTCAACTGAAAATGTAAGAAATCATTATGTACCCAGTACAATGAGTACATATAGATTTTTAAACTGCATGATGAGATAAAAAGGGAAGTGGCTTACATTGTTTGTGGAGAGACCTGCCTACCCTTTTCACTGCAGGTGTAATCACACCTTACCCAAGGTGGAATTTTCAGTTGACAAAGTTTGATAATCCTTTCCAATTTTAACAATATACCGTGATTCTTTATAATTTTCATAAAGCTATTAGTTGTGCATCATATACTGTAAATCACTTTTTATTCACAAGAACTTTTTTCATGTAATTATGTGAGACTGTGTGCCTGCGAAAATTCATTCTTGTATATATCAAATATTAAGATAAAAACAGGTTTTTTTTGACCACAAAACAGGTAAAAATTCTTGCTCAATTTAGTAATTTAGTGGTAAAAAAACAAAAGGCAAGGGAGGTCTGCATATACAAGTGCAATGAAAAAAATAAAAGACAGTTAAGGTTACAAAAAGGAGGTGGAGCCTTTTGACTATGACATCACACGCAATATACGTCACACAACATTTCTTTAAAATACCACAAAATGAATTTATCTGCTAATTTAACCATTTCATCAAACTTAACACATAAAAACTTACTATAGCGTGTTGTTTCGTCGTTAGTTAAATCCCACATAACAAGTTATAAACAAGTCACTGATCGCAATAATTTCAATATGACGTCAAATGTTAGAAATGACATTTGTATGCATAGAGAGAGATTTTTAAAAAATATATGCTCTAATCAAATAAAACATTATTTACAGATATTCTATGGGTCAATAACTTGAATTTAATGTCTTCTTCACTATTTTATTAATATATCTTCTGTATATTAAGTAATTTTCACACTGGTATATTTGTATGCAATACAGATAATGTAATGATTCATAAATGTTAAAGGGCATATTCACAAAGTGATTTTTAATTATTTGAATAAAGGTTTAAGTTGCATATCATAAATCTGTAAAAACAATTTAATTATATTATTTCACAAGAAAAAATTATTTCATACAAGAAATTTTAACATGTAATTATGTGAGACAGGATCGCAGCACTTTTTAAAATTACAATGCCTGTTGAAAATATATTTACTAAACTTTGAAATTTAACTTGGTTATGCCCTTGCATAGTGATATTTATATGTACCACAATTCATGAAAATTAATTGCTAAAATCGCGTGAGGCTATGCAGGTCTGCATAAAATATAATCGTGAGTTCATTAATCATAATTACAATTATCCGATATAAATAATGTATTAAAAATAATCGCTCTATTACGAACACATTTTTAAATTTAAATTTATTAACTGTATTGCGATGTGAGTAAATGTACTAACTGTTTCTATATGTTTACAATTTTACATTGTTAATGTGAGTAAATGTACTAACTGTTTCTATATGGTTTCTGTACACACTGATGCTGACAAGGGCCTGTAGGTAGTCCTCTAGATGCCGCTGCAAATAGTATACATACCAGCTAAGTATTCAATCAAATGAAAAGGTACTCGAACCACGGAGTGAATTTTTTCTCATCTTTTAAATAATTTTTTCTAATCTTTGTAGTGAGACTAGACTTGTACCTTTCGTTTATCATAGTCTTTCTCTGTGCGGACCATTATGTCGGGTTTTTTGGGAAACCGTGGAACTTTTCTCGTCCCGTGGAGAGACTGCCTCCTTTCTTTGTGACTGTAATAAACAGATAAACCCATAAACACATAGTGAAATTTATATGTATTAAAAAAATGTTTCCAAAATTTGAAGTATTGGTAGTTTTGTATACATCATACAGGTAAGTACATGTATTCAAAAAAAAAAACATGTCCTCAAATATTTTAAATACTAGACAGTATGCATTTCTAACCATTCCACTATTTTAAAAGACAAATTTTTTTTCTTATTATGCTCTTCATCTGTTTATGAAGCCAAATTATTATAAATCTTAATAAATTTTTAAAAACATAGACACACAATTTTATAATTTATGATGTCATATAACACAGCTCATCATAAAATCCTCTATATATAATACTTTACTATTAAGTGTTACCAAGGATACTTCATTTTAATCATAATTCAATAACTACTGATCAGAAAGATAATGAATTAAGTGATTAGAAAAAAAAATATTAACCTGAAATGATCTGAAGAAAAAAAATGAAAGGTAAGAATGACAGAAAATCTATAAACAACTGTACACTGAGGGCTAACAAGGGTAGAGGCTTCTACTCTCCGTACTATTTATACATATGCTATATACGTACTGCATGAATAAAGTGACAGGGTATACACGGTATTAAAATGCTTCGTTCTCATCACCATGGTAATACCTACTCTTCTTATAATCAATTTTTGAATCTACTGAAAATTATCTTTTACATCTTTTATTGTATATTAGTTTTCCCCTGAGAAATCTAATTTTCATTGAGGCTGCATCATTTAGTAACAAATTTACTAATTTGTTTCTATTTCTCATTTCCTCTAGTTCTTGCATATTAGAAAACAATTTGAATTCAACTTGCAATCCATGCATTCTTATTTTCCTGCAGTGGTAAAAATTAAACAACTACATGTATTTACTGGCTATAGTTATCATAGCAAGATTATCTTCCCTCAAGACAGCAACTATTTTCCAAGGCAAAGTTGAGGAAATAGTTGCTGTCTTGGGGACAATAAACTTGCTATTGGCTGATTATTGTAGACTTAACTTATTGTGACATGACACAATCTAGATAAAACAAGGAGAATTCTGGGATGATACACAGGAGTCAGTAGAACTAATTGCTACTGGTGAATATAAAGTCCATGATTACTCCACTAAAGGTGAATAGCATGAGAACTATTCCACTATATGGACTCCTTATTAAAAAAATAATTGCTGGCTTATCTGACATATTTTTATAAAGAAAAAAAATTCCCGAGGTATTATTATAACATATGCTGTTCATTAAAATGTTGTTATATTGAAACTGTGTAAGGATTAAATTCAAGCTCTGTCTGTCATTCAGAACCATGTATAAAATATGCTTGTAATATTTGTATAGATCGCCATAAAACTGTTCATTCAGTCTGCAGTCAATATAATCCTGATTATAAAGCATTTCTGAAAGATAATCAATTCTCACAATTTGTTTCCACACCTAGGATAAGGGCAGCTATTGTGACTTCAGTTTTCAGTCTATTATGAATACAATTTATATCTTTCTCCTGAACTTTGTAAAAAATAATTACATCTGTTATAATTTCCTCTATACAGCAGTTTGATGTTCTATTATCATTTTCAATTAAAAAGATTTGGACCTTTCTATCATTGATTTCTCAATAAATCAGATATAACAAGCATTTAATATGCTTTTCTATTAGTTACACTATTATGATATTCAAACTTTCTTAGAATCGGATGTAATTATAAATTCTTTCATATATTTTTTGAATTCAAAAATCAATTTCTTTATGTACGCACTGTTTGAAAAAGGCAATAGAATATTTATTTACTATGTATATCTTAATCTTTTTGTGGTTAACATTTGAAAATTTAATAACTATGCATTTTGCTTTTTTTCAATCATGAACTCTTTCATAAGATATTTTTCTTTATAAACATGGTGCAAAACCTATCAATATTTCAAAATTAACTTGGAAATATTTATTTATATTTTTTTTCTTTTGGCTGTATTTGCTGTCCTTAAAAGTACCCTTCAACAAAGTGCATTATCTGTTGTTTATAAGCTTCCTGTGCAAATTATTGTTCCCTTATAACCTCCAGTGCCGATAGTTCATCTCTTATCATGATAAATGATCAAATTTCAAGGCTCAGAGAAAAGATCTGCTTTCATTATCCCCAACACGATTGTCATAAACATGTACACATATTATTATAACTTATGGAATGAATTCTACACTCGTCTGTAAAAATATCAATTTCTCACTTAGCAACCTGTTTGAAAACTGACACTGCCAGTTCATCTCTTTCCAAAGGCAGGTGTATATACAGTATCTGCATATCCATTGCTGATTTTACACGTTAAGTGAAAATATTTTTTTAAAAGTCTTTGTTGGAGGTAATCAATAGTTTAACGATATGAAATTCTAAATTCTAAAAAAAAAAAATTCACTCATATTTTTTATTTTTCGAATATACCATTAATCATGTTAATAAAAAAAATTAACTGAATTTTTGTCAGACTTGAAAAGTGAGCATTAAGTAAGGAGGTGAACTCAACTGTTGGGAGAGTGGTGCATGTGTTGGGTGTTTGAAGAAGGAACAGAAAATCTTGACATATCAATCAATTATAAACATGATAATAAAACTGATTGAAGTTTGCATGCAGAAATGTACAAGTACATGTATTTAGACAAGTTCTTGTTATATAAAATGAATATTAAAATTATATCCAAAATAAATAAAATCAATCAAATTTAAATCAATGTCCATGGGCATCCATTTCCAATTTTTCTATGATGCCAAAAAAAGAGAAGGAAAATAACACTGTAGCTTAAAAAAAAATGAAGCTAATTAATGCATAAACATTGTGTAATATTTCATTGTTTACACAGATTTATCAGTTTTAGTCATCATGCAATAATTTTGTGTGCTCCATGTCAACTGCGGTATTCTGCTATCATTTTTGCAAAGATAAATCTCAAGGAAGTTTTCAACTGCTGTGGTAATAATGTGCCAAAGTCAAAATATTGTTACTAACAGAAAAATAATTTGGAATTTTGAATTATTGATGCAATTAAGTGTAAAATGCAAAATTTTAAATTAATTCAAAATCTTTTTAAATAAACACAAACAAATTAAAATCTATACATTTCTTGGATATTGTGAGATGCAAAAGGTGGGGGAATTCACTAGCCTAACAGTTACCTTGGAAACCTAGGAAAACAGAAGATATCAACAAAATAAACCTCTAGTGACCTATACAGTCTATATATACATAACTACACATATATTAACCATTCAACATTACTGTACATGCATAATGTTAGATCACATACACAAATGTATATAATTAAATACTGTTTTATTATATACCCAACTGTGTATCACTCAATTTTACTGTTAAATGTACACAATCATGTGACGTCGTGATCCAAATTTCCGGATCACCACACTGTGGTTTTCTGAATCCATATCACCACTCTCTGAAACTGATGAGGTAGTACACAGAAACATGACGTTATTTTTTCTTGCCAATTAAAAAGTTCCTTGAAAAAATCCTTTGTTTAATTAATGGATTAAAGATGGAAAATTGCTTACAAAAGTTTTATTTTTTTTGCTAATTCAAGAGGGTATATAATAAATTTTTCATTATAACAGTAACTTGATCTGAAAAGCCCTATTACGTCTCGTTGACAGGCACAGATCACAATATCAAACTTGACGTTTCTCGGCTCATTTGATCTGATAATTCTTACCTGTAAACTCGACATGATACGACTCTTTGGATCAAGTTACTGCTATAATATATAATATCCAGGTCCAAAATAAAGAGTAATAAACTTAATACTTCCTCTGGTTAGTTAATCAATTAAAAATATATGAGAAATATTATATTTTCTTAATAATTTACGGTATTACACAAATATTTTATGCATATTAGTGTAAATAAGCTATACATATACATATATGGTTAAAGCTGTATATGTATAGCATTTCAAAAATGGCCAAACATGAGAATATTATTTACAGCTGTGTTGTGGCTAAAACTTTTCCTCTGATTAAAGCTGCGCATAATATTTTGAAGGACAATAAAGCAATATTTTTCTTCTGGTGATACAATGTTTTAAGAAATATGTAAAAACAAAACAAAAACAATATTTTATCAATATGCATTTTAAATAAATGTGTTAAATTCATTCGGAAGTTAGTAGTCTGAAACTTTACTTACGCCTTGCTTGGGACGGGAAATTTGTGCTTCATTCGGAACAGTCGTAAGTGCTGATGTAAGTTGGCAAAGTGTTTGTAGCGACGCTTCACTGTCCATTGGAATGTGCCGTGTTTGACTTGTATAGAGTACCTAAAATATACAGACCAGGTATTAGATAAATGCATTTATAATGTAAATTATTCAGGATTCTTGAGGAATATTAGCTATGATCATGATTATGAAGAAATTATGTTGGATAGCCAGTCATCTAGTTAGCAGAAAGTCAGTAGTTTTTCATTATCTGTTTAATGAAACAGGTGAGCTACAAATGAAATGTGTTTTATTCACTTAAATTGATATTGATATTCTTAATGACATGCAAATGATGCAATGATGATGACTTCTTTCTTTCGTAACACAAAAACAAATAATCATTGCTAAAAGAAGAAAAAACTTTTTGTGACAATTGATTTCCAATTCAGAAAAATAATTTTGAGGTTAAGTTTTGCAACAGATGCACTTTAAAAATCTCTTGATCCTCAGTTGAACTACTTGATCAATGATACTTGAAATTACAGCATCGATCCTTCAACAACAGAACAGAGAAGGTTATTAATCCAGCAGAAAATAATACACAGAGCATCATTTGTACCTTTGCATCACTGCATAGGAGTGCATCCTCGAACTAGTTTAATAGAACATGAAAGACTATACAGTTGCTATAGGAGCATAATTTTGTACTGCAACAACATACATAATTGTATAACCTGAACCAGGAAAATTTCCATACTTTTTAAAAATTCATATTTTATGTTAAACTTAAAAGAAGAGCATATTTGCTTTGGTGATGTAAAACTGACAAAATGATAAAGTCTCATCTGATTTTTAACACTCAAAACTTCAATGCAATAGGCAAAATATCATTTAATAAGTCTCATCAATTCAAAAGTCTCTTTTTAAAAAAGAACTAGTATATTACCTTTAATTTTTTCCTTTTACTTTTGACAGGGGGGAGGGAAAGTCTGAATTTGTTCACATTACCACATTTAAGATGAGAAATAAGATTTGCATGATTACCAGGAAAGAGCAACTTGTTCAGATTTTATGAAGGCACATATTTGTAACTTCATTGCTGTAAACATGGTAAACAATTAGGGCTTATTACATAAAAATTCATACTGGCAAGCATTCTGATTACTTTCTTCCGCAGAAATTACCTAATCAGCTCTGCATATTGCAGGGATATAACCAAACTGGAGTTCCTTCATGAATAAATGATATCCCAGCAGACTGGTTCTGGCAATGGCTTTATTAGCTCTAGCAGCCCAGAAAAGGGAACTGCAGCTAAATGGTAACATTTAATTTGAGACTCTGGGAATAGACTTGTAAGGTATTTGTCACTGACAATATTATTCATTTTCTTAAGTCCCTTGAGTACCCCCTTCCTATTAAACCTTTGCAGTCTTAAACAATTTGAAATAAAAATTCACCTACAGTCACAGAAAAACATACAAATTGTATAAGTTACCACAAAATGAACTTGCATGATTTTGAAAACTATACAAACTAGAACTGTCCAAACGGGACAAAATAACCCCCGCTGGGTTTTTCAGAAGTAAGTTTTTCCATAATAAAGATATGTATCACACATGAATTATGAAATTTTTCTTCCAGTGACCTTAAACTTCCCCAAATGACTTTGGGTCAAGGTCATGACACACCCTTAGGTCATGGGCAATCTTTGCGTGAAATGAGAACCTACCAAGTTTATCCATAAGAAAGATATGGACCAGACACAAATTATGAAATTTTTCTTCCAGTGACCTTGAACTTCCCCAAATGACATTGGGTCAAGGTCATGACACACCCTTAGGTCATGGGCAATCTTTGTGTGGAGTAATAGATTCTAATGTCCCTCCGTAAGAAAGATATGGACCGGACACATTTGCACAGACAGACGGACGGAGGGACAGCTAGACAGACGGACAAGGTGATTCCTATATACCCCCGCAAACGAAGGTATAATAAAAAAAAAAGTTGCTGACTACTGTAAATAATGCATTAAACATGATTTCTGTATAAAATAAATTATGTTCTTAATCTATCTATTCTATTTTGCATGGCTAGTCAAGCCCAACAACTGAATCCAATGTTCTACTACATGTGCACTTCTACTATGATCTGTCAAACATGTCTATAAATTCAGTCGATCTTTCCCTAAAAACACGTACCATATAGGTTTCCTGATGAAACATTAAAACATTCTGTGTTATGATACAGGAGATAGGATGGGTGACATGTAATGTAGTTGATTAATTTTAATCTCGGGAAAATGAAAACAATTCAAACATTCTCAAACACTTCTATTTACTATAAACTGGTTATCTGTATTGCAGTGAATTAATTCCTTAATTACATGTATAATAGATTCTCTTTTTAAAAATGTATTTATATAGCCCTCGTTAATTGAAATTCAAGAGACACAGTGAATTAGGATGCATCCCTTCTGTAGTAGGTATTTCTTTTTCAACTCTGTTTCTGAATATTTATTTGGACAAAATGAATCATCATGATCATATTCCTCAATGTTTAACTCTGCACAACTGCTTTTTCTCTGTCTATTTTTTAACTTTAATTTCTGAAATATTTTTCTGAGCTACACCTAGTTCAAGTTACTGGTGACAATTAGGTTGGACTTTAAATCAATGAGAGCAGCATCTAACATTGTATAAGACTTACAGGTTTGGATTGAAGAGTTTGGTATGTGCGTCCACTCGTTCAGCCTCTATGACCTTGACCTCTACGTCAGTCCGTGGGATCCAGCAGTTGGTCCGTAATGTCGTAAATGGCAGGGGTTTGTTGTGAATGGTGGAAAATGAATAGTTTGGTACTAAAATATGAAAGAGAATTAACATTTTGTAAATATTCCAAAGAAAGGTTTACATGCAGAAATTGCTTGAAAATAAAACAGAAACATCAAACAAATGAGTATATTTTCAGATCAAATATTTGAGTCATATGAATGAATAAGATTTATGTATTATATAATATGATTAGGCCTACATACATCTGATATCAATGTATTAGTACAGTTTACTTGATTGAACCCTACATGGCATAATGGGCAGATTCACAAACAAAAAGACAAAATAACAGCACACATATTTATCTTAGCAATATAATAACATCAAATTCATTCAAATTTTAAAATATAACTCGATCAGTTGTTCAAGTCTCAAATGCCTCATACGGGTTTGTCTTATTTAATGAAGCTTACAGAAAATATGACACCAAAAGGGAGATACGCGCATGCGCAGACACTCAAAAAAGTGCCGTTTTCACGGTAAAACATGTGGTCCACAAAATATGCTCGTGCAAAGTGATGGATTATTTCGTAGCTCTGTATGTACTCAAATTTGATAGATTAAAGATGTTTAAAGAGATTGTATTGCGAAAAAGTATATGTTTATTGCAAAAATCGAGACTTTTTCTCTCCCAAAGTTAGCGTATTCTGTGCCTTGACCTCCATGTTTGATACAACTAGATTTTTTTATTCATAATTTAATAAAACGGATGGATAAACAAACAATGTTTCGTTTAAAGTTAAACTACATATAATTCCGTTCCCGGGTATTACAAATTTTGTGTAATGAACATGTTATTTATTATTTTTCGACACTTTCTTGTGTGCCCGTCCGAATTTCCTCTGTTCTGTAAACAAACTTTTGTGCTTCAGAAATGAGGTAAATAAAAACGAAAAGTAATTTATTATTTTTTTTAAATTGAAAACAAAGGTGTAGACGATTCATTTTTGCATGTTTGTGATTTTTAAAAAAAAAAAAAATCTTTTAAAAAAGAATTATCGTTCTTGAATTCCATTTCCGCTTTCGCGCGTTGCATTACAGGGAAAAGAAAAATAACCACACATATTTATCTTAGCAATATAATAACATCAAATTCATTCAAATTTTAAAATATAACTCGATCAGCTAATACCAGTAAGCTGATGACCAACATTTATTATAATTGATGCATAAGATTATTTCAATATACTTCATGCTAATTCATTGTTTTTATGGGACATAGGGACTTAATTTCGCATAAACTTTCATATAAATTCATACAAAGAAAGGTAATTTTATAATTATCACATGCTGAATAAATACATGTAACAGATCATGCATGTACAATAACGATACAATTAAGCATTGTAACATTTAAATTTACTAACATCCTGTTAGCATGGTTAGTGCACAGGCTGGCTAGTGCTTCAAACTTCTAAATTTCAATTTTCACAAATCTACATTTACGAGTATAAAATATTACAGTAATATCTAATGAATTTATGATCTTTATTTTTAATTTCAGCTTGAAAGAAATGTTTTTGTCCTCTTCCTTAAGTCTCAATTGGCATGATTGGATCCAAAATCAGTCATAAGGAAAGAAACATTTTTTATTTTCAGGAAACTGCTTATGAGCACTTCCTAAGTTACATACAAGTAATTCTTGTTCTGTTTCTTTCTTCTCAAATAATTCATACACATCAAAGTTAATCAGTTTACATTGAATCCAGCGCAAGGCTGTACCCAAGATCCTATAGCAGGTATGGACATAGCTTTCCAAAAATCTACATATACCATGTATACGTAGCCAATTCAACCATGCATAATAAGCTATCCTAACTACAGCAAGTAAAAATTCATGCAGCATGCTTTTGCCATTGTAATGACCATAACCAACTAGCTGATTATTATGGCAAATGGGGTGCACATGAAGTTACTAAAATTAAAAAAAAAATAAAAGGTTAAAATAATAACTTTAAATTATGGTACATACGTGATCACCAGTGACCTTTAGGTCTCAGGTGTATTTGCTGGTTTTTGCATGTTTAATGATAATATAGATAGCAGTCAAGCTTCACTGCAACCATATGAAATGAACACCAGCATGACTATCATCCATGTCCACTGTAATGAGGGTTCTTAGATCCATAAAGCATAAGGTATAAGTGCATACTGTGATAGATATTTATTTGGCCTTACAATGTTCTACTTACAATGTTGACCCGATTCATCCGGATAATCGAAAAGGTCGACCTCCCCAACACTGGTATCTTCCGTGAATTGGAAGTCCGGTAGCTCCTCGAAATCGTCGTCATCATCACTAAAATAAGAAATAGAACGTAGAAAGTCTGGAAACGAGTCGTAACGACATATTTTCTCTGGGTCCAGTAGAGGATTAGCGTCTGTCATGATCTAATCCTTCAAAGATCACACAACTGCACAGTAGCTACCGATAAACATTGGGTAACCTTCTTTCAAAACTTCGATGAAAGTTGACCTATTTATTCAACATACCGAGCCCGACTGAAAATAGAGTTGGACATTCACACCCGATATCTGTACAGTTTGTCACTCATAATTTTGTCTTTATCGCACAGGATTTAACTTTATAAACTGTTTTTTTTTATCGTTACACTCTATTTAATAATTAGATTTTTTCATACCACTCATTGACGTCGGAAGGAAATTGAAAAGGGGGGGGGGGGTAATTCAAACAAAAAAATCAAACACCTGAAGAAAAAAAAAAAAAAGAAAGAAAAGAAAAGAAAATTTGAGCATTGTCCAGTCCAAACCTTAAAATCCTACTTCGTGAGGGTTGGGGCGGGGTGTGTGGGTGGGGTGTTTAGATTCGAACTTTTTTCAGTAACAGTTTTTTCCCCAAACATATATACACTGCAACGTGCCTGTTGAAAGTGTGGGGGGGGGGCTAAAACTATGCACAATCTTTAATGCCTAAATTATGTCTATCTTTGCAAAAAAGTGGGAGTATGTACGTAGGGCTAAGCCCCCCTAGCCCCCCTCCGACGCCTATGCCACTTTCTCGGGTGCTGATATCAGTATACATACATGATGATGTCGGAGGAAATTCCATGGCCTTAACTGAGTTATGTCAGTCAAAAAAAAAATAAAGAGAATACATGTACTTCCATTTAATGATATTCCCCCCATACTCATCCCTCATCTTCCAATTAGCCTCTTTAAAGTGACAGTGGTTTCTATGGATTCCGCTTCTATATATACAGTACATGATTTGACGAGACTGAAATCCAATATTTTTATTTTAATTGCAAAGGTTTAACTCATACACTTTTAAAATTAAACCAATGCCAACCTCTTCCTTTGCATCCACAAACCACCATCCTGAATGCAAATTCACCACTAACCTTACAAAGTTCCTTTTGCTCTTAACATTTTTCTAAATACATATGTAGCTGCAGAACTGTAGCGTTATGGTTTCATTTCTTAGTCTTTGACCATAACCGTTATGGTCAAAGACTAATATATAAAACCATAACGCTACAGTTCTGCAGCTACTAAATATGATGAATTTCTGCTGATAATTCAATTCAAGTTCGCTATGATGAATTTTTCTCTTCCACGACAGAAAATTATAAAGAACATGAAAGTATAGACATTTCATGCAATATTTCTGATAAACAACCAGAGAGAGAGAGAGAGAGAGAGAGAGAGAGAGAGAGAGAGAGAGAGAGAATTTGCATCATGCACGTTTTTGGTTATATATTGTAATTAAAAAGCAAGAACACATCGATTACAATCAATACAAATATTTTTTTTTATTGCAGGGAAAGGAAAAATATGATATTGAAACGAACATCAGTTTGAAATGAGGCATACAGAATACACAATCGATGAGGAGAACTTTCCGCAAAGGAAATGCGTCAGATGATCGGTGTGACACTTCAGTAAAACTCATATATTAAATGAGAAAATTATAGTTAGAATAACCTTTATCTGTGTAACCCCTTCCTCGACACCCTACTCATCCCTAAATAAAGACATATCATTAGGTCTATACCCCCACCCTTCTACCCTTCCTTTCCACGTGTTAAATTAAACCGAAAGTACACTCATGAATGTATTCCCCATTCCTGCAGAACTACAAATATTTTTTTTTTAATGAAGCACTTTCATAATCTGCTATTTGAAGTGTTATTAAATGTCAGCATCTATTAATGATATAGATACAAATGCATTAATTAAAAGCAGATACAGGTATATAATTAAGCTGTGTATAAAATGAACTAGCACAATATGGACCAATAAGATACAAGGAAACATTTTTATACTCTCATTGTAATAATGTTGTCGAAGATCATATGTAATTTGTATAACTAAACATATATCGAATTCAAAAAATATAAAAACAAAACTTACTTAAATTACGAACAAGCATATAAGCAAATCAATCCATTCAAGTTTGATACATTAACTGAGTACTTCTGTTATCTCTTGAAACAGAGATAGATGTAAGTATTTGTCAAAATAACAAAAAAAAACTTACTGGAAAGCCATGATACCGAGGCATTTCAAATTTCCCAGACAATAAAATCCTCATTTACCATGTCTACATATGACACATAGAAATTTCATCGATGTAAGCTCCTGATCCTAGGTATCATGGATTTGTATGGCCGTGAAGATGCATTGCACGTTGTATAGTGTCGGTTAAAGCAAAGGTGATTCAGAATCGATCAAGCACACGTAAAAAGGTTCATAGATCAGGATTTAAATCTCTCTCTCCTTCTCTCTTTCTCCTATCAAAGAGGGTGTCTTGATTGGCTCTATTTATAATTTGGTTTCATACCTAGTATTACCTACCAGTATGCTTATATTGAAAGACAATATATGTACCGCACGTCAGCCCATTATAATTCCGTGACGTTTATGCGGGTGATGATTAGCCCCCGTTACGCAACGCCTTCAAAACGGGATTTGAATGTATGTTAAATTTTACTCACTATAGCCTTATCGTTAAAAATGAAGAGATATTACAGAAATATAACTAAAATGTAAAATAATTGAGCTCTTAAACACTTAATTTTTTATTAATTATTTATTTTTTCCCATAGTATAATTTATACCTACTGAGAAAAATGATAAAACTGTGGATTATACGTTAACTTTGTAAAAATCCCTCCACTCCTCTGAATCAGTAAGTATGTGTGTGTGTGTGGGGGGGGGGGGTGATTGTAGTACCCCTCTGAATATTCTAACGCAGCTTCAGTACCATATAGTTTTGATTTTATTGCATATGGTATCTGGGAAATTAATTCCAAGTGAGTCCTACCGAAGACCCCCCCCCCCCCCATTCAATCTATCTTCTTCAGCTGGTTCAAAATACTGCGTAGATTTCCCTTGATGATAGTAAAAAGAGAAAAAAGAACCCATACCATTGCCATGCATGCAAAATTGAATAGGTCTACAGTTTAAATATACATCGCCCAGTCCTATCCTTTAATCCAATGCTTAAAATAGACATGCAAATAAGTACAAACACGTTATTCTGTCTGTCCAATCAACCAAAGAGATCGAACTCTACCTAATGACCATTAAAAAAAATGTGAAAACGTGATTGAAGAAACTGAATACAAATGTCTGCGAGCATTATAGCAGACATTGACACGATTTCGAATCGAGCGACTCCTACGCCTCAAATATACTATTTTGAAATTTGTACGATACCATACAGCATAAAGCCCAAACAGTAAATTAAAAAAATACCTTGTTAAACTTTCAAGTAGTTTTCTGTAAGCCATGCCATGCCCGAAACAATTCCGGTAGTTATAGTGGTCAGTTTTCCCGGGGGTGGGGATTCAGTGGTGATTGAGTCCAAAGAATCAGATTTAACCCAAAACAACGTTGTACACCGGGGATAAAAATACGTGCACACACTATTTGAAGTTTAAATGCCAATCTATTAATTTGTACGGTGATCTGTGAACCTTGAATGTTAATCTAGTCTATGGCACGCCAAATTCACAAAAATGAGATAAACCTAGTTTCACATTTGATAAACTAGGTGTATCGACTGAAACTATAGAGAGAGAGAGAGAGAGAGAGAGAGAGAGAGAGAGAGAGAGAGATTTTGTTGATAAACGTAGATTCACGTTTGTAAACTATAGTTTACAATCGTAAACTATAGTTAAGGGTTGTTAATCATAGTTTCACAAATCGTGAAACTATATTTATCAGATCGTTAACTATAGTTAACGGTTTGTAAACTATAGTTTACAAATCGTGAAACTGTATTTATCAGATAATCTATGTTTTGCAATCGCAAATGATTGTTTTCAATTAAGTTAGTTTACGGTTGTGAAACATAGATTATCGCAATATTTAGTTTACAGTTTGATCGAGTGAGAGAGAGAGTGAATTTGAGAGAGACTAGAGATTCAGAAATAATAGAGAGAGAGAGAGAGAGAGAGAGAGAGAGAGAGAGAGAGGTTCCCAGAATTTCGTTCAATATTTTTTGATACAGATAAAGTTTGCTTTAACCCAGTTAAACCCACGCATGCAAACTTAATTTAGTCAAACTACAATATGTAATTGTATACGGTACAGTTTAAGCATACCCCAAATCCATGCAGTTCTATGGAAAATATGTTTTTGGTACAACTTCCTAAGTCATTGTCTTTTAAGTAAAATCATTCATTATGTTTAAAATTACAACGAAAAAAAAAATTATTTTTAAAGATTTCCAATTTATTCATATCTCTGCTTTGAATTTCAACAGAGACCTAAAAGTATATAGACTTAGACAGATTCTCAAAATAAGGATGGCTTGATAGAAAAAACTTTCTGATTAGTATTGATTCGTAAAAAATAAATACTGCACGGAAAAATGTTTTTTAAACTTCAAATTTTATAAAATATTTTGTTTTAAATTTGATTTTGTGTAATTTTTTGCACGCCATGGTAATGTATTCCGTACAAAAATTAAAACGTAACACCATTGTCATGCTGTCAACACTGGTCAAAGAAGTTTTTAATGCCATACAGTTAATCCTCAATTTATCACAAGTCTTATACAGTTACAGTTTTCGTACTATGTAAACATAATGCCTTATAAATGTACCCAGTACACATAGTTTTTTGCCAACTTTATATACAGTGTTACGACAGTGAAGGCTATACAAGGGCGGATCAAGATTTTTTTTTCTATATGGAGTTTGTTGTTAATATACCATAAAATATAACAAGATCTTTAAAAATGAAACAAGCTTCATGTTAGTGATCCGAGTTTCCGGCGTCATTTTTTAATTACCAGGCCTGGGGGCCATAAAACTTAGACGAACTCACTTTTGATCTCAGTCTCACTTTTCCACTATATATTCCTTTGGAAAAAGTGAGACCAAGATCAAAAGTGAGCTCGTCTAAGTTTTATGGCCCCCAGGCCAGGTACAGACATTCGCTCATTTATTTTCTTAAAAACCATATGTATGGTTCATATATATATACATATTTAGAATAATTATGGACATACACAATGTTCCGACATGCATACCTCACGTCGAGTTGAAGGGGGGGGGGCAGGCCCCTAAACCACCCCAACTGGATGCACAACTGGACCTTTAATATTTTTTTTGTTTGCTTGGGCTAGAATATTATTACATATAAATTTTCCATATATGCTGATTAATCTTTTATTACTTAAAACCAATCAGTTAGCTTCACAATTTAATTGAAAATAGTAAATATTTTTATACTCACCGAGTAAGATATCGATATATACTTGAAGTAACCCTAAAACTCATTTCATTTTTTTTAAGTTTCACAATATCAGGAAGTAAACTTTATACAAAGTGGTAATAACTCGCCGCTCAGGAAATTCCAGTATAAAGCGACTCTAAATTTTACACATCCGTTCATAAAACTGTGTGCACGCAGATACACAAATATGAACATGAAATAGCATGTATATAATTATTTAGCATATGCAGTATAAGTGGCCGTTGAAGGAGCTAATCTATCCCTGCACAACTACGAATTCCCATTCATCTTCCTTATGAAAGGCTCTACATTGGCAGCTGTGTATTCAAGATGTTTGGGTGCGCACTGGTTGGACACTTGAGTCCGAAAATCTGATAGGAAAAGTATAGCACTTGGACTTAAAACTATAGGAACAATAATTAAATGGCACGTTGGTCTTTGATTTCGTATAGTTTTCGCCAAAATCATGCCCAGCTGTTAACATGATTATGTACATATACCTTGGTGTAGTTTACTTGTGGGTCATGTTATACATTGAAATCGGAATATAGAGCTAACGAGTAGCAATCAAGCTTAAGAGTCCATAGAAAACAATAAATTGGAAGCACGCACAGCAAACGCGTACCTCTAAAACATCATAGGTGGAATCAGGTGCCATGAAGAAGCAAGCATCCATTGTGAACGGATCACGCCCACCATGCATGTGCTCCTTATTATTTTCGGACAAACGGAAAAATCCCTAGACAATTCAGTATTTAAATAATGGTTTGGAACAAGTTGTAGGAAAAATGTCAGTCAGCATTTTATTTAATGATTGTATTTGCTGACAAAGTCTGTGTACTGATCATAGAATTTGTGAAATCTTGATGTTAAACGAGGCTTACGAGCCTGCCTGTTGATTCTTTGTTGCATCAACCTGTTTGTCAATAGCTTATCTATTTTAAAATTTCTAAAACTATAGTAGGTGTAGCATTTTCAAAAAAAAAAAGTCCACTTACAAATAGACATATACATGTACTGACAAAGACCACCTTATTATCACATAAGTTCATCTGGTCTCTGATTAGTACAGATGTAATCAAGTTATTTTTGCATAACACCAGCAACTCAAAATATTCCCTTCAGGAATTAAGATTTTGAAATATATATTTTGTGAAATAGAATGTTCTGTTGACAGTGTCCAATATACCAAATCAACACGAAGCCCATCCTTCCACTTTCCTCAAATTATAGTTACTCTTATCTTACAAATTTCTGATGATCAAGTCAAAAAACGGGTCTAATATATGTGTCTATATGATTATACAGAAAGAAAATATGCATACCTTTGATAACAAGTACAGTGTGAATTATAAACAAGGAAGAAGAGCTCAATTCAATCTAAAAAATGACACTCCGTTACTGTTTCAATAGCTTCCTCATTTTTTGTTTATTCTCTGTTATATCAGATTCTGCTAGTTTCCTTGTCCCATTAAACATATAAATTTTGATTAAAAAATTTAATATTTGTTTTTCACTTGACTTAAATAGTCCATTGAGATACTGTGAACGTTCGTTAAAGCTCTATAATTTTTTATTTTTCTTAGAAATGCCTTGAAGATTTCTTTGGCTGCTCAAATGCCCGGTATTCAGAACTCTACTTCCCATTTCTGAGATCGGCAAGAGGAATCTCATCATATTCCGGGAACTCCAATTTGATGCTTACTAGGAAAATTTGAAGTTCAGGAGAAAAGAGAGTGCATAAAAAAAACATGTTATTCAAACAATCTGTGGTTGCCATATAACATTTCGAACCCTGGAAATATTTAAGAAGACGAGGTTCGTGCGCCTTATGCATGGTCAATTGAATGTCAAAAGACAAGCTTTATGACAATTGCAGTTATCGAGATTAAATATACCGTCATTTTTGGCTGATAGGTCGATACTTTTTTTTATCAGAACCTTTGGGGTCGCCCTATCTAACAAATCAACCTTTGTTAGGCCTTTTTTTTTAAATGTTTTTTTTAAACCATTTCTCTGTCAGTGCTGTGGGTTTCTTTTAAAAAGAAATAAAAGAAACTAGAAATATGTCCATAGGACATGAATGCTCCGCCGAGGGTATATCAGTAAATGCAACATGAAAATGTTCAATTTGTATACGAAATTTCAGAATATCTTGAATAATGATGCAGTCGAATTGCTTACATCAGTATGTATCAGCATATGAAGTTTAACACTAATTTAAGAAAAGTGAGGTCAAGGTCAAAGGAAAGGCCAAGGTCAAAAAATGTTGATGCAGTTGAAAAGTTTTCATCAGTATGTATCAGCATATGTTAAAAAAAATATGGATGGTTTCTTTAAAACTACGCTACACACTGATTTAAGAAAAGTGAGGTCAAGGTCAAAGGAAAGGTCAAGGTTGATAAATGGTGATACAGTTGAATGGCTCTCATCAGTATGTATCAGCATATGAAGTTTGATAAAAATATTTTGATGGTATCTTTAAAACTGAGCTTAACACTCATTTAAGAAAAGTGAGGTCAAGGACAAAGGAAAGGTCAGGGTAAAAAATGTTGGCGCAGTTGAATAGCTCTCATCAGTATGTATCAGCTTATGAAGTTTGATAACACTGTCTTGAATGGTATCTTTAAAACTGAGCTAAACACTCATTTAAAAAAAAGTGAGGTCAAGGTCAAAAAATGTTGATGCAGTTGCATAGCTCTCATCAATATCTATCAGCCTATGAAGTTGGATGAAAATATCTTGGATAGTTTTTTTGAAACTGAGCTTTGAACTGAGCTAAACACCAAGTGTGACGGAAGAACAGAAGGACGGAAGACGGACATGACAAACACTATATGCTCCGACCATATTCATGGCGGGGCATAAAAATGTTCAGTGGTTGAAAATATTTATGAATTTGATGTTCTGAATCCTGACAAGATGAATTTGAGATTTTTCTTACATTTTTTAATGAAAATTCTTGAACCCACCTTGTTCTGCAACCTGGTTCTAGGGCCACAGTTTGAATACATGTACTTTATTTTACAAAGAAGATGCTTGCATATATAATTTGTTGCCTTTAGTCTTGTAAATTTTGATATTACAGGTTAGTCTTTTTGTGTAAAAAACTTTGGCTTCCATCTTTGGTTCTATGGGTCTAAGTTTGAACAAATCTAAATCTTCTGTAATGTACATGTATATTACTGTCTTATATATACGATATCAAAAGTTCAACTGGTATATTTTTATTTTATCCACAACAGATAAAACTGTTTATAAAATCAATAAAAAGATTTGACAATAAATATAGACAAAATAATGAACTGCATGACCTCATCAAATTATTGATTTACATGCAAACATAAAAATCTAATTCTTGATATAAAAAGCTAATTTCTCTACATAGTAAAATCACGTTGCCCAATTGTACTCATAATCTTTACAATAGAGCTCTCGTATACAACTTAATCTGTCATCAATTTCACAGACATCAAAAAAGGAGTCAAATTTATCTCCCCTCATTTTCATTTTCGCCCTATCCGGATCACAGTCAGTAACTGAGAGTTTGGCATTAAAGGGAACTGTTGGTTCGTGAGTGTTAAATGTCAGAGTGAACTCCCCTTTCTGAGTGCGCTCGAGGACCTTTCTGATGCGGTGTACATGGTGGGGTAGGACGGCCCCTGAGATTTCTAAGATGTGGACGTGGTTGATACTCCCATCTGTCTCTGTCTGCTTCACCAGAGAATGTTTTACCTGTAATTCAAGGTAAGAAATGAAAGTGAAAATAAAAAGACTTTAAACAGTGGTACCTGCTTCTTATTCCTTTCAATGCAAAATTCATTCTCAGAACATTATATAAATGGTTAGTCTTTTTCTTGAGTTTGCATAAAAGATAAAGCAAGATTTCTTTTTTAAAAGCAAGTTTTTTTTCATTTTTTTTTAACAAAATGAATAGACATTGGTAAGTACTTTACAAGATGTATCATCAATGTGCAGTTTTTCAAACTCCCATTACTTTTTATAAATTATGAAGTATAATGTCCTGTTCACATTTTGTAAGAAAGCTATAGAATAAATATTTAATTGTTTACCAGTGCATTAATTTTTTTGCGTAAAATAATCAAAAAAGTGGCACAAATTTGCTTTGAAATCAACATAAATTTTACTGATTTGGGGGCATTTTTCGTAAACTCGAGCCTTAAACAGGTCGAATTCTGTATATTGGGCGACCCCTACGGTTCTGAGAAAAAAGTATCTTCCTATATTCCGTAAATTACGGTAAATTGCGTTCACACGACAGCTAAAGCGAAGTAAACTAATGTGAATTAACTAAATCAAACCTCTGCAAAGTTAATTTTACTTCTGCAGCCCGGCTATTATGACGTCATTTGCAAATCACGTCACCTTATGCAGAAGCAGATCCATTTGACATAATGGCAAAGTGTCTGTATATACACATTTTTAATGATTAACAAGAGATGTTTGTAAAACACTTATGCCCCCCTTCCCCCAAATTGGAATTTTTCTAAGTCCAAAAGAGCACAACTCTGTCAAAAATGGTGTGATTGAACCGAAAAGAGAACTTGACCAAGATATTTATCTGATTTAACTTTTTTTTATCAAATTTCATCTCATATGTGCAACCTTTACAAAGAAAATGAACGTAAACTGCATATAATTGGAATTTTTATAAGTCCACGGGACATAACTCTGTGAAAAATGGTGCGATCGTACCCAAAACAGAACTTGGCCTAGAAATACCTCTGATAAATCTGTACACTAAATTTCATTTCAGTATGTGCAATCGTTGCGAAATGAACGGAAACTGCAAATAATTAAAAATTTTCTAAGTCCAAGGGGCATAACTCTGTCAAAAATGGTGCGACCGTACCCAAAACAAATCTTGACCTAGATATTCATGTGATATATCTGTATACCAAATTTCATCTCAGTATGTGCAATAGTTGCGAAGAAAATAAATGGAAACTAAGTGGACCGACAGACCGACTGACAGACAGCAGCAAAGCAATATGCCCTCCCTTCTTCGAAGAGGGGCATAATAAAACTTTCCTTAGTTTTTCACTCAAAAATAGCACAAGTACCTATAGCTGACCACCGACAAGTGTCATTTGACTAAATTTTGCCATTACGCATGCATCAAAATTTAATTCGAATTAGCTTCTCTTAGCATTCACACGGAGTTAATGCGAAGTATTTTGATGCACAGTAAACTAATTCGAATTAAACTAATTCGCATCAAATTCTCCGTGTGAATGCTAAGCAAAGCTAATTCACAGTAACTTTATGTTTAATTCGAATTAAACTCTCCGTGTGAACAGGGCATAATATTTTTCATCTCAAAATTGAATTTTATTCAAATTATCAATAGTGCATTTTAAAATGTTTCTCATGATGTTTGCAAATAAACACCATCTATCAATAATCTAAGGCCAAAATAAAATATACTCTTGTTTCCTGTCACCCGACCTACCCTATATTTTACCCTCCGACCCTAAAAGTTTTTATTACATTTTCATTTTTGGGGGACTATTTTCCTGAAATACTAAAGTCGACCAACAATATTTACAGAACTAGAACATCACAAGTGTACAGGATACCTTTACTTAATATATATTGATTAACAAACTTGCTTTGTAAACTATTAACATACTGTTTTCTTATTAATATATGCTATATGATCTGCAGTAATTGAGTTTTGAAAATAAAAATTTTTCTCAAAATAAAATTTTTTTCCTACCTACCTACCCTATTTTTTTTGATCAGGGGACAGGAAACAAGAGCATTTTTTCTTTTGGCCTAAAGGTTTATACCTTTTGAGTCTGTACAGAGGCTCCCCTGAATGGTGAGGGGGACAGAATTGTTGGTGGCACCCCCACCTGGGACCCACTGGAGGCCACACAACTGCGGCAGTTTAACAGGAAATTAAACAGACCCTGGACATCAGCTCCTTGTACGTATATCAAAGACTCTGGTCTGTTGTCAATCACGCGGAACCCCTCCCTTTGGCTAAAGTCACGGGTTAAAGAAAAATATTGTCAACACAGCAGAATTTAAGAGAATTCTGTAGCATGATTTATACGTATTTCAGAATGCATAAAATTTAATGCAAATATAGGTCAAAGGCTACTATATGTCTAGTGCAATCATGAATTTACTAGTATTTAACTTCTAGTATTTATATCTATTACATCTATACATGTATATGACAGGGGATCATGAAGTTTGCAACTTGTTGAATAATTTTAATACATAAAAGAATTTAATCCGGGTTTGACCGTTTGAGTGTTTATCATTCTTCAGATTTAGGCCCCTTGGATTTTGATAAATTTAATACACATCTTTTACCACTTTTATCCTTAAGCACTTGGTTTCACATGTGTCATAACTTATTGTTAACATTAACCAACAAATTTTCCTATTCCTTCTGGTACTTTTTTAAAACTGGAAATAGCCAGAAATCGTATATTGTCAAAAATCTGGACTGTCATAAGTGTGGACTTAGATTTCTTTTCCCTATGCCAGTATGTTGTCCAGTGTTTGAAAATCACTGTAAAATTACTGCAAATCACTTTTTATTCGCGAGAACTTTATTTTCGCGTAAGTACGCGAGACAGTGTGCTCGCGAAAATTTAATTCTCGCGTATAATAGTATTCCTTAAGATTATATAGAGCAATAACTACAATTCGTGAAAATTTTGTCTCGCTAATCAAGAGTCAATGACTCTCTCGCGAAAATAAGTTGTCGCGAAAATTTAGTGATCTACAGTAGCTAGACATGCAGTGCTGACTGCTATTGAAGTTGTCAGTCTGAAAAGTTTGACTAAAAGGATACATTTTGACTTTGTTGGGGTCCAGAGAGGGGAACTGTCTTTTGTCCAGTCCGATACTCTCAAGCCAGACGGAGGCTCCCTCATCAGTGTCCAGAAACTCATCATCATCTTCCTCATCAGCTGGAGGGGGCACCTGCTGCCTGGAAAAGTAAGTGAACATGTCAAAAAGGTAATATGTTTAGAAAATGTCTTAAAATTTGTAAAGGACTGGGTGTGCATTCTGCAAAATTTTTAAAAGAAATGTTTTATCATTAAGTTAAGTTTTGGGAGTCTCAGTGAAAACTTTGATATGCTGTTTTTGCAACATATTACACTATCTTTCTTTAAAAAGTTAAAAACATATACTGTATTCATGTATCATTTACATGCTGAGGCATTTTTATCAAGACTTTGTCACTATCAATGAGACAAATGAACACTTATTTTTCCACATCTACAATAGAGTATACTTTTGAAGAGAAACACTCATTTTTTTTTTTCAATGATTTCTTGCTTGACCACAGTAAATATTGAAAGTTGGACATGTATATACTGTATACAGGGTTATTTTTGCCCTGTGTTATTTTCACCCTTTTGAACTTAATTATGAACAATTTTGCCCCGTTTTAAATTTGTCCAGTCATAGTTCTGTTTAAGAAATTATGAGGTGTATTTTGAGTTTTAAATTCGCCCAATCAAGGAGAGGGCAAAAGGGGTGAAAATAAAACAGGGGCGAAAATTTCCCTGTATACAGTAGTCCTTACTCTGAATCCTGGCTTTGTGGTTTTTCTGCAGTAGACGACTCTCTTTTTCTCTCCAGCACTGGCATACTAAACTCAATACCTGTTACAGTAAATAATCAGTTGTCAGTTAGCATTGACTTTGATCTATCATTTATGTATTCTAAAGTATTAACAAAGACACAGTTTCCATAAAAGGTTTTGAAAACATTTCTATTCTTGTGTTATCAAATTATTTGGCATTTTCAAATATGACAAAAGAAATTTTATACACATATTTTTATTCCAGAGGTAATTAAAAATAAAAACTTTATTCAAGCAAACTTAAGTTTAAAATACACAGGACTTTTAATATGTGAAGATTACTACTTTCAGGATCTCAAACCTTCGTTTTTGAGTGCCTCCCTGAGACCCCGTGTTGTGGGGGTGAGGAATGCGTTCTGACTTGACTGACCAGCCACCCCTGCTGCCCTGAAGAGGACGGTGAACTGGTGTGTACAGAAATAGAAATACGGGCAGTGCTGGGAGCGAAGCTGATGGAATGCTGATGTAAAGCTTTCCGTCCTGTAATAAACAAATATCAAAATCAACAGAATTGGTTAATTAGGAAATCACTCATTTTCCTGGGGATTTGATTTTTACTATTTTTATGGAACCAAGGTCCTCATGAATTCATGTTTCCCAAAAACATGAAAATTTGAAATATATAACAAATCAGCACTTTTTCAGCTTCAAAATGAAATCCCCAAAAGGCAAGATTTTTTTCTCAAAGAAGGAAAATATGTCCCTACTATTGTGATTTTACAATATTCCTGACTGCATAATAAGCTAAGAGTAGTGTCCTTACCAGTCCTCCAGCAGTGATTTTTGAATGTCTTCATTGAGTAAGCCATTGGGAGAAGATCTGTAAAACCAAAGTTGGATTTCAATATGACAATGACTTATTTTTTTTTCCATCGGTGATGAAGAGTAGATCACTGTGTGATTTAACTACATGGATGTTTTTTTGTTCTAATGTTAAAGAATCTTAAAAGAAAAAAATTAACTAACCAAAGTTAATATTCAATAAAATTCTGGACAATCGACTCATTTATCACCTTCAAGACAAAGTTAAGTTGTTTTCAAGACATAGCTGATTTCTTCAAAAAAAAAAAAAAAAAAAAAATGTATGTCCAAAGCCCTAGGTGTTACCCACATCCAAAAGGAGCCATGAGGATGATGGTGCTACATCAAAAATACCTTATTTTACTGTCTGGGACTATCCTAGGAAATAACCTTAGCCATGGCAGATTGGGATAAATCCAGTACAAACAGCAGCTATAGAAGTCCGACTTGTCTTCTTCTGCATTAACCTGTGATGTCAAGTAGTACAAAATGATAATATTTATAGTGTCAGTGATAAATTTTACATTTCATTAAACTTATCATGATAATACAGCATCAAATGGGTTAACGCATTGAACAATTGATTCAGAATTTTAAAACACCTATTTTAAATAGCTTTAAAACATCATGCTCCTCTCATATATTTTCTTTGATCCTCCTATATTTTCTGAATTTTATGGACCATACATTTGCATCCACACATTTTACCTTATTTACACTGGGGATATTGTAGAAACTTAGTCCTGGGCATAACAGTAAAATACAAAAAGAGGAAATAGAAAAAAAATTGTAATTAGATGATTCATCTCAATCCACTTTTTGACTGAAACACAGGAGGTGCAATAAATCAAATGTTGCCTGTGAATAGTTCAATGAAATACAGTTTTCTTTCTCCAGACCTCTGACTAAATACTTATTGGATTCTACAAAACTTGTTTATCAACTTCATATAATGTGTTGGGGTTTGTCAGTTTTGTTTACTTACAAAATATTTCACTTTCATGCCCAGTGTTTCTGCTAATTTTAAAAACCAAGGGTCATTATGACCCTTTGATATAAACTTTTGGGAGTCAAACAGATTTTTTGAGGGTCAAAATATATTCTGGTTTTGCTTTCAGTTCTTATATTAGTTCTGCCTTTAAAAACCATATGTTTAAAAGTTTTTAAAAAATGAAAGTAAAATATAATTGATACATGTATACTTCTTTTATTTACCGGTACACTGTCACATTTTACCGATTACGCCATTTAGGTTTCGTGAATACCTCAATCAAAAGAAAACAATTGAAAGTGGTTGATTGCTTAACAAAACTGTTTATTAATGATTTGAACTTTCCTCACCTTTTTATTACCATAAATAGCCTTTTTGACAAAGCCAAGCTGATATAAATATGCCGATTTTAGACTGAACATGCTGAAGTGCCATTTTATCTGCACTTCCGGTTTTGTTAAGAATTAGATAGATCATACAAAAAAATTTAATAGATTGTTGACGTGGAAATGCCAATTTCAATCACTGCTACTTTGAAATTAAACTAAAACTAATTATTAATTCCTACAAAGTTGTCCAGAATGTAAATTAAACATGTAAAATATCTTCTTCTATGAAGGCATCAATATTGAACTGGATTTTTAAAATTTGTTTTCATATTTTTTTTCTGCGTCATGAAGACTCTTTAGGTGACGTTTTTTCGGGGTAAACAGTAATTTTTATGCGTAAAATATGCAGAAATATGCGTTAACGGAAACACTGATGCCATTGCTGATTAATGAAGAAATCTAATAAGTAGAATGTAAAAAAACTTTGCAAACCTAGCAAGACAAAATTTGACAGAAATGATCTTTTAACTTGACATTTTTTTAAATGGAATAAGTTATTTATCCCAATTAGGGTTACCTCGCTTACCAGAGGCTCAGTGAACCTTAAATCTTAATTTGTACTTTACAGATGAGGAGAATAATTCATCCAGTTTGCTTTCCTTAGTGGCCAACTTAAACTGCTTTGTTGATTACGGTGTATTTAACCTAACTAGTACCTGACTACCCCCGTAGACAAAGTCTGTTACTCCTTTAGCCTCGTCTGCGGTTTTGATCTGTGTGCACCAGAGTAATGATGACTTGGAAACCACTCTTAACTTGACCTTCAAGGACCAGTCCACAGGCACAGGCTTACAGGAAGTGGACGGGGTTCTCTCTGTTTTTACAGGTTTCGGAGACTCATCCTACAAATAATGTAAATATCAATCAGATACAGTTCAATGACTTCCTCAGGGATCACTCTGGATTTTAATGTTGATGGGCCAATGGCCCATCAACATTAAAATCCATGGGCCATTTGCCGGGGGTATGGGGGCCGCGTTAGGCCCCCATTGGGGTCCAGGGGCAACGCCCCGGTAGGGGGTCCAGGGGGGCGAAGCCCCCCCGGGAAAAATTGATTTTCCATGCTATTTTGTGATGAATTTCAAGTAAATTTGATGGGTCTTCGAGGGTTTTTAAATGCATTTCTGACACAACCAATTTCAGTTTTTTTTTAAATAAAATGAATGATATTATAAATATAAAAGAAAGTTTTTTTTAAATTTCATCTCAGTACTGAAAAATGTCATATTGGAGAATTGTTTTAGACTTCATACAACAGAGTATAAATGTAATTGATAAACAGAATACCTAAGTTAATTCCTCGCCCCTTTGATTTTATCGATTTAGTTCTCGAAAGTTGTTGAAGAGCTAAACTATAAAGGATGCAAACTTACATGCACATTTCTCTACTGAACAGACCTGGGGCAGTTGCAGATTAAATTTGGTTCAAATGGTAGGGACTGGTTTTGTATGCAAAGAACTGGAGAAATGAAATGAGAAAATTTTTATTTGTTTGCAAAACAATTTAGTCCCGTCTGATCAAATTCCAACCACGGGTGCAAAGTTAGCCACTTGGACTGGAAATGACAAACATCGTTGCCGTTGATATCAGGAGTCAACGTCTTGGACTCATTTCTTCTTAATCAGAGACCTCTGCCGAGTATGGGAATGAAAAAGTTTCCGTCGTTTTATTTGTAAAACAAACGAAAGCTTTCGTTGTTTTGGGTCAGTTGGCCCACTACCAATTTTCGCTTTGGAGGCATTTCGGGCAAGTGTCTGGATACACAATGAGTAACTTGTACTTATTTTGTTTCGAAATAATCAAAGTTTTAAAAAATATTAGAACATATTACATACTGGAGTATTACTTTCATATGTTTATTATTTAAATCATTACATATAATTTTAATAAATATAACTGACTCAGTATTCGGTAAAAAATTTCTAGTAGTGTAATCTAAACGAAGAAACTATTCCGTGTACAATTCCGATTTTAGTCTTGATCAACCAGACGCTCTGCTGGTGTAAAGAACATACGCGAATTGCAAAGAGTCTGATTGAACGAAGTAACAGTATGCTCAGATACGTCATGAATACAATCGGTCAGCTGGAAAACGGTCCTAAAATGCACCAAGATAAGAGTTTCGACCCACAGTTTTGCATCTTATAGCGCCATATCTGTAAGACATGCGCCAGACTGACCCCTTTCTAATTTTTTAGTGCGCCATTTACAAATATTGAGCGCCAATGGCGCAAAGGCGCAGCCCAAAGTGATCCCTGCTTCCTGCAGCATGATCAGTTTTCTGAAATCATATTGCATTATCCCCAATATGAAGAGAACTTATACCACTACTGGAAATTCATATTCAAACCTGTTGAGAGTTTTATTAAATTATACCATAAGTTTTTGTGATTGTGCTGCTTTGAAAAACTTTTCTATGAAATCAAACTGTGACTTTTCCTCATCATCGTCCACTAGAAGTTCCCTTGTTATTGGTCCATTCTTTGTAGCTTTCTCCACCTTTATACTGGGGCTATCCCCTTCTTTCTGTGTAATGGACAAATAATTCATGGTTAATTCAAAATAACGAACACAGTTCCAGCAATAAAAGATAAATTAATAAAATTCTTTTACATTGTACTTTAAAAAAGAAGTGACTAAATCTGAAGATGTAGGATATAAAGGAAGGACACTGTGTGAACTGTCTTGCCATCTCCCAAGTCACAATAAAGATTGATTCTTTGTTCAATTAACTTCTTTATACATGTCTAACTCATCATGCTTTGATTAAGAGAAACAAGCAAACAATCATTTACATTGTCAACTATTTATCATCCATTCAGCCTCTTGGTCATGCAACAATAATTTTATTTTTAGTTGAAACATTCTACTCTTGATATTTTGACACTTCAGTACACGATTTAGTAATGTAATGATAGTAGACATTCACTTCATTGTTCTTACGTTTTATCCATTATATCAAATGTACATTTGTGTTTTTTCTCTTTGTAATGTATTTATCAGGTCCAGCACAATTTCTTTTATACTGATTTCTTTGTGTTTCAGAGTACTTTACACGCATGAGTGAATTTACGGTCAGCAACTCAGACTTCAACTTTCAGTATTTATTAAAAAAAAATTTTTTTTTGTATTTTCATTACATAAAATACCTTGATCAAGTTATTTGTAATATCTTGATTAAGCTATATAAAACTTTATCAAGCTATAGTGATGTACACTTTCCAATCATTTTCCTCGGAAAGATGGATAATTCTGTAAGAAATCTGCATTTTTTAAACATTCATAAAAAGCTCAATTTTCACCCGATTTAAGAAATGATTGCTGATATGGAATCAGCGGGTCATACTTTACACAATGGACATAAAAAACAGACAATTTTTTTACTCCTTAAAAATTATTGGGCATTGCTAGCTTTATACCTTTATCAGGGTATTGTGCTGGGCCTGGTGAGCTCGGTGATCACAGTACCTGCAATTGTTTATCATTACCTTGTTAGCCTTCTCTAAAATAGCAAAGAAGGCCTGAGTTTTTTCATTGAAACTCTGATTTTTTTCGATTCCATCCGATTTTTTCCGCTTGTATGGTGCCTCCGGATTATCGTTACTTGAGAATGGATTCTTTCTCTTAGAGCTGCTGTTAAGAAAAACATTGGTACTGTCGTGTAAGATTCCAGACGTATTTGACTTATCCTCAGAGAAGGAACGACTTTGTGAGAGTCTTTTCCGTTTTCTGTGAATTTTCATAACATCTGAAGGTCTTTTCCATTTTGGCGAACTCTCAGACATTATACAGTCGACTGTCACTACGATGAACTTCGCGCGTAAACTGAACAGGAAGTAAATAATTGGCGACTAAAATTAAAACCAAACGCTGTAAATTGTGACTTGCAGATCTTTGTACTTTGTTGTCATAAAATCTGACCTTTGGGTGTTGCAATATATTGAATTTATCTGATATAAAAACTGGAGTGTCGGCCTTTGGAAGTGTTTGGCAGTTTACATCTTCACTAGGTCTGCAAACCACCTGAAAAAAGTTGCTACAGGATGGAAGCTTCTACTTTCGTTTTGAGTGGAGATTTCGGATATGTCATACTTGTTATGATATTTTCTATTTTCGTGTTAATGTGGATGGGATTTAATGTTGGAGCAGCAAGAAAGAAGTATGAAGTCCCTGTAAGTCAATGCATTTTCTTATCATTAAGAAATATTAAAAATATGATTTTTAATAAAATACATTGAAACACAACTAAATTTTACATAAAAAGTTTATTTACAATGATTTAGAATGATTATATTAATTGACTTGAAAGAGAAATGAAGGGCATGTATTTATTGCAGTGATGAATGGTGGTTTTTTTCATGAAATTTCGCTAATAATGACTTTCATTTTCTGTATCCCTGTTTTAAAACATTCAAGATTACATTATTCACATTTTATTTCTTTTCAGTATCCAACAATGTATAGCAATGATGACCGATTCAACTGTGTTCAAAGAGCTCATCAAAACACGTAAGTGATTTATCTTGATAGTTGAGATGAAAAATTTTGTACAGACCTCAGCATTTGATAGAGATATCAGTAAAAAAAAATTATAGTCTTGACAAATCTCGCTGCGATCAATTAATTTTGTGTTTCGAATATTAATTGAGTTTGTACAAAAATTTTCAAAACAGCTTTCTTACAACTCACCTCTGGGTTTATCTTTTTACAGACTGGAGGGATACCCAACTTATTTACTGCTGCAAGTTCTGAGTGGCCTTTATTGTCCAGTAAGTATTTTAATAAATACGTATAAAACATGAGGGGAATTTACATCCCAAAGCAATGTGAATACAAATGTTTGCTTGCTTTGTACACAAATTCTACAAATGATATTAGCATCCTTGATTTTCAGAAACTTGCAGCATTGTCTGGTGTTATTTGGTGTGTTGGTAGAATTTTTTATGCACAGGGATATTACACAGGAGGTAAGAATCCACTACCCATATATATATTTACAAGTTAAAAAATTAACTGTAATTAAGTGGAACAGATGTAACATCTATTTAAAATTGAAGATTTTTTTTTTCCTTTTACCAAGAAATGTTCATAAATTCTTAAAATTAGAGTTGTAATTGAGCAAACTCAAGATTTGTATATAATGTGTTAACTTTCAATTCATGCTATGTCATATTTTATTTCAGACCCCAACAAAAGACTTCGCGGTTCCTTTGCCTACATTGGATTAATCACTATGTTGGTGCTGTCTATCATCTTTGCTCTAAATCTCCTGAAGATCACCAATTTATAATGCCAGACTTGGATTTACTTAGACTGAGACTTTTAATACAATTACCAATATGTCTTAGTTCTTGTACCATCTTAGTACTTCCCATATAATATTTGTACATATACATGTGTACTACTTACAAAATATTTAAAGTTGTGTACTGTAATACAATGAATGTAAGCTGTATATATGAGATACCTTAACAATTTTCTTTTTAAATAAAAAAAAATTATTTTGAACATTTGTTATTCCTCGTATTTCTGAATTTTGATATCTGTCAATATCCTGAGAAAATTTTTAGATGACAGCAAACTTTGTACTAACATGGATTATCTACGATAGTTGAAAACAATAGTGACTGTCTTCATTAATATCCACATACATCGGTAAAATATTAGGAGACAAAAGTAAATTACATGGTACAAGTATTCACAGCTGTCCATTCATATTCCTTTGATATGGTTTCTTATTTTGATTTAACTGATTTTTATAAATTTTTAAAGTACTGTTAGATGAGTACTAAATGTGTCAATGTCCAATAATCAGTACTTTTGGTGAGATCATCTTGTGTAGAATATCTACGTTAGGAATCTTTGAGAGTTTCTCTCACAGATCATTTTCCTGTAGAGTAATATTGCATCAACTTATAGGAGCTCCGTCATTTGTCTTTATATTTGACAGTTTATGTAACATCATACTAACGTAGTTATATTAATGTCTCAAAGTTATCCAATACAATAAGTTTTGCCTTGTTATTATTCAGATTTTACATTTATTTATGACAGTGACGTAGCATCGTTTTTGAAAGGGGGGGGGCAAGCCGAGGAAACTACCTAAAAAACTTGACAAGCAAAAAAAAAAAGAAAAAAAGAAAAAGAAATAAATAAAAAAGGAAAATGTTCAAACTCTGAAATCCTATTGGGGGGGCTTCAACTTCTTTTAGTACCAACTTTTTCTTTCAAATACTTCATTACCCTTATATTACCCATCGATCTCATAAGCCCAATAACATGAAAAAAAAAAGAATGTCGGAATGGAATCTTGAACAGGGCAAACACACTAACCCCCAGACTCACTTTAGGAGGGGGAGGGATACAGAAAACGCGTATTTTTGATAAGTTCAGACTAAATAAAATTATTATAAAAAGATCTTACTATATACTATATTATTATATAACTACTAGATAGGACTTTCCAGAAAATTACACAATTTAAATCAATCGCTTTTCATAGATATCAGGAGATTTTAAACAATAATCGATTTATCTTCCGACTCGGCATTTAAATATCAGACTCAGTTTAAATTCAATTTAAGGGACTCCGACCCTCAGCCAGGAAGGACAACTCTTTAATTTATAACTTAATTCAAAAAGTCTTTAATTGAAGCTTGAAAATTAAATATTTTCATGCAACAATATTCATTATATGCCTCTCAATGTGCTTCAAGGTTCTTTGCAAAGCTCCATAAATCACTTATAATTTCATATCATGTTAATAAACATTGGTATCTGAAAATGCTTTTACGGGATAAAAATTTCTACTTTTAATTAGACCTTTCTGAGAAGTTCAAAGAACCTTGAAGCACATTGTGAGGCATATAATAAAAATTGTTGCATGAAAAGATTTAATTTTCAAACTTCATTTAAAGACTTTTTGAATTAAATAATAAATTATAGAGTTGTCCTTCCTGGCTGAGGGTTGGAGTCCCTTAACTATAGAAACATGGGGATATTTAAGTTCAAAATCGGTGCAAATTTATAGTTTGAACGTAAATAACAAATATAATGTAAATCTACACTTAATCTCGTATTTTTAGCTCAGATACACCATATATAGCTTTTAAGTCAGGGCACCTGACAAAATTTATTTTTCTTTTCTCAAGAAAAATATACATCCTACCTAAATAATCAACTTAGGTAGGGGTACTTGCTAAGTATATTAATAATTGCTGGTCGACGATCATCATTTCTACATAAAGATAAAACAATTTCTTGTGTCTAATGGGTAGCTATAAATGGGTCATATATAAAATAAACATCATATTAACCCCTCCCCTATATTAGTTATGAGTATGCATAAAAAATGAAATAATAGTAGAAAATTTTCATTGAAAGGCAGGTTTCCCCACTTTATATCATAGGATAGATTAAGCATGGTATTTTGGTAATATATTTATTTTCTTAATTAGGGCACGCACTTGTTTCGTATACGGGGTACCCCCTACCTATATTTACCAGTGGTAAATATAGGTAGGGGGTACCCCGTATACGAAACAAGTGCTTGTGCTGTAACCCCCCCCCCCTCCCAACGACTTTCGTGTTTGGACATTTTTTTTCTTTTTGCCCGTCAAAGTATTTTATATAAATTCTATTACGGTATACAAAAGGTATCGCAAAACCCAATCCTAACGAGGTACAAAAGGTATCACAAAACCAAATTCGAAATGATAATTAGTGCGATAGTTAATTATCTAAATAGTTACTGGAGCTGAACCTCAGATAACTGAAATACTAATAAGATTAATCAAAGAATCTTTTTTTTTGTTCTAAATAGAAAACCCTTCGAAATTTACAGCGAATATTTCATAATGCACACCTGGCATTCTTTGAATGGAGGTAAAAAAAGTCGGTCACATGGAACGGTTATTGTCCCTGAATTCTACATAAATAAGCATTGCTTGTTTATAAATATCTGTTAGACATTATTGCAAAGCATTTGCAAAGTCAACTTATCGCTATTCTCTGAGGAAAAAAAAGAAATGGACGCCGCTGCGGTTTTGGGTAGCGACTTTGGATATGTGGTGCTGGTCATCGTCTCCTCCATCTTTATGAGCTGGTGGGTTGGGTACCAGGTCGTTAAAGCGAGAGAAAAATTCAACGTGCAAGTAAGTAGGGACGATGTTTGTTTTTTTTTATGAAAACCTACCTTAAATCATGTTACATTTATTTGTTTCAGAAAACAAAATCCGCATTGCTTTTCTATCTTAATTTCATTTATTGTTAACTAGCTAGTCTATGGAATAAAAATTTCAAAACTTTGTTGACCCTGTATTATCATAGCTGAGCAGAATCTTCTAGATTCGTTCACAGTAAATCAGTACTCAAACTAAACTGTGAATCATATTGATCAATGATTTATTGAATGGTTGATGAGTACGTAATATGATATTTTTTTTTAATTTGCAGTACCCTAAAATGTACGGGGACGATGATCGATTTAATTGTTACCAGAGAGCCCATCAAAATACGTAAGTTAAATTTAATTCTGTTCAGATCATCTTTCATATCAAAAATACATTGTGTAAAGGGTAAAGTGATATAGTGTAAAAAAAAAATTGGTTATGAAAGAAGTTGAAACCTAAAATTTAATATTGGAAAAAATACTTCTTTGTAGTAAACTAAAAAATCTCAGCTTTACTTATTTAAAAAAAAATAATTATAAAACCATGAATTGATTGTCGCCCTTTTCTGCTAATGTATACATTGTACACATGCATTGAATTTTAATCAAGATCATAAACCTGACACCAGTAATAACCATACAATAACACACAGAGCAATACAGAACCATACAGTACCATACAGTATCATAATGTACCATACAGTATCATACAGTACCACACAGAACCATGCAATACCATACAGAACCATACACTATCATACAGAGCCATACAAAACCATACAGTATCGTTCATCAGTGCCATACAGTACCATACAAAACCATACAGTATCGTTCAGTGCCATACAGTACCATACATAACTATACAGAGCCATTCAATATTATATAGAACCATACACTGCCATACAAAACCATAAAGTACCATGTAGAACCGTTCAGTACCATGCAAAACCATACGGCTCCTTAAAGAACCATACAGTATCATACAGTACTGTACAGAACCATACAATATCATACAGTATCATACAGTACTGTACAGAACCATACACCACCATACAGAGCCATGCAGTACCATGTAGAACCGTTCAGTACCATACAGAACCATATGGCCCCATAAAGAACCATATAATATCATACAGTACTGCACAGAACCATACAGTACCATAAAGATCCATACAGTATCGAGCAGTACCATAGAGAACCATAGAATGCCATAAATTAGTACCATACAAAACCATACAGTGTCATACAGAGCCGTACAGTACAATACAGAACCATTCAGTACCACAAAGAATCATACGACCCCATGCAGAACCATACAGTACCATACAGTATCATACAGTACCATACAAAACCATACAATACCAAAAAGAACCCTACAGTACCACACAGTACCATATACAGAACCATAGAGTACTCTACAAACTATAAAACCCATACATTACCGTACAGAATCATGCAATACCATACGGAACCATAGTACATGTACCATTTAGAACCATACAATACCATACAAAGTCATAAAGAACCATATAGATCCATGCAGTACCACACAGAACCCATACAGTACCACACAGGACCATACAGTTCCATACATAACCATACAGACATTTCTTTCTTATTTCAGATTAGAGGTTTATCCTATATATCTGATTCTACAAGTGATGAGTGGACTGTATGCTCCGGTAGGTATAATTACATTAATTGATAATACAAACTGGGACGGACGGACAGACGAACAGATGCCAGGTAGTGTCACTCTTCTTTGCAGGCGACACAACTTAGGGGTTGTTTTCTATTAGGGAATTTAATTGGAATATGCATGTATACATTTTTGCTTGGGCTCATCTTTCTTTGTTTAACCCTCTTACTGCCAGAGGGGTCAAATATGGGCTCTACCCACTGGCTGCCACAGGGGTCATATATGACCCATCAGAAATATTTCATATATTAAGTTTTTATCTATTTAATATCTAAGTTTATTAATTGTTTATCTATTCTTACGCATTTATTTGTTTCAATTGATAAAAATTGTATCATATCTGTGGGCATAAATTTGAAGTAAGCCACAACTGTGATACGTTGACGACGTCAAACTCGTGTTGATGACGTCAAAAACGTCACAATGGGTAGGCCTAATAGGCTATTCAAGGGACTTGACAAAAGTATTCATAAAGATGACAAATAAAACAACTATTGAAATCTTTCTCATTTAAAAGCTATAGATTTACTTTGAGATCCATATAGAAAAAATAAGAGAAAATGAATATTAGAGAGAAATACATTGTATGATTATGACTTCATAAATATCGTACTACATTGAAAGAGAAGACTTGAAATTAATCTTTGTTAGCAATAAAAAAAGAATCATTATTTGCCAAGTATGATCAGTATACTAGTATCGTCTTATTTTTTTCCCCACAGAAACACAAATAAAATTTAGGTTGTTCCTCTTTCGTTTTATTGAGAGGCTGATCACTCAATTCCCGTGGAGGGGAGAGGGGCATAAGAATTTGGAATGAAACACTTTACCTTTGAAAACTTTACTTAATATGTGATTATAATAATCTCTTCTCCATTGGGAATCATGGGAAGTTTTCTAGAGAAAAAGAAAATAAAAATTAAATTTAAGAAACTGATGACCCTTAGACACCTAAATATTCTGTCCTGCTGTTGTTTTAAAAAACTGAGTCAAGAAAATCCTCAACACGCACCATCCCTTGGAAATTAGGTTTTCAAAGGTAAGTTTAATAAATATAATAAATAACGCGTTTCATGACTAACTGAAATTTTGAATCAAGTCCAGGAACGCATTGAAATGCGGAAGACAGAACAGAAAAACTAGATTATGATTATTTATCTGATTAGAAATAATTAAATCAGAAAATATCTATGTCCATTTTGTAAAAAATAAAATAAAAATAAAAATCTTAATACGTGCGTCGGATGCAAAAATTAACAAGCTAATTCAGAGAATTCGTGTCCCCCGCTTAGGGAAAAAGTCGGCTCCCCCTGACTGAATTTGTAGAATTATTAAATGTATACATGTATACTGAAGCAAATAAAATACATGTATGTCAATATGCATATAAAGATTTGAATGCTTATTCTTTATTATGTGTATAGAAGATTTTTTTTATATGGAATGTTTATCACACTGTAATGATGATTTTATAACCTCATAACTTTTTCATTTCACATGCTGAATACTATATATATAAGTAAAAAAAAAACAGTATTTAAAAAAAAAAGAAAAAAAAAGAATAAATTGACCGAGATTCGATCCCGGGACCTCTCACATTTGAAGCGAGAGACATAACCACTAGACCACGGAATCGCTATAAGCGCTATGAAGTATATGCAGAATTGAAGTCACATACATGTATATATTCATGTTTTCATGTTCTGTATTCTCAAAATTTTACACAATCCATGGTGTTTGATTTATTTAGCCTTTATTAAACAGTTCTAATAGATGTAATAAGAACATAAAGTCCGCCGAGAACCTGTTTTATACGCAATAACTCTCCTCATGCCCCTGCGCTAAAAATAGCGACATGTAATACTATAAAGACTAATAAAACAAACGGGGCGGGGCACTTTGAGAGAGGCGAGAGACGTCCTAGGGAGTTTTGGTATAAAATTACATTGCATAAGCTCAAAATCTTCTTGAAATATCGCCCGGAAATGATAGTATTACATACAGACAGAATGTATAAATTTACGACCTTGAACTTTGACCTTTTGACCTCAAAATCAATAGGGGTCTTCATTAGGCCACAGGGAGTTGTTATATAAAATTTCATTGCAATAGCTCAAATGGTTCTCGAGATATCGTGTGGAAACGAAAGTGTTTTAACAGACAGAATTTGCTTATTTATGACCTTGACCTTTGACCTTTTGACCTCAAAATCAATAGGGGTCTTCTTTAGTCCATAGGGAGTTGCTATGCTAAATTTCATTACAAAAGCTCAAAGGGTTCTCGAGATATCGTGTGGAAACGAAAGCGTTACAGACAGACAGAAAGACGGACGGACGGACGGACGGACAGACGGACGGACAAACCCAAATTAATATCCCCCACTTTTCAAGCGGGGGACAATTAAAACAAAAAAGGAATGGGAAAAGTCAAATCAGGAGTACTACCAGTGGATCTTTTATGTTTTGAAATTGTACATCTTCAATGAATTATTGATTATCATGAAGAAAGAGAAAAAATATTTCGCCGCACCAACCATGGTTACATATTGATGACTCCGTTTCTGTGGGACACATCCTGATTTCTTTAGCTGCGATATGTTTCAGAGCAACAGAAAGCGTTCGTACTTTGTACATCCATACCCCTGTCAATTTCTTTAGTAGTAATATAAGACAAAATTAAGAATATGTTTGAGAGATTTTTTTAGAGAGAAGTTTTTAGCTCACCTGAGCCGAAGGCTCAAGTGAGCTTTTCTGATCAAAATTTGTCCGTTGTCTGTCGTTGTTGTCGTCGTCGTCGTTGTCGTCGTAGTCGTTGTCGTTGTTGTAAACTTTTCACATTTTCATCTTCTTCTCAAGAACCACTGGGCCAATTTCAACCAAACTTGGCACAAATTATCCTTGGGTAAAGGTGATTCAAGTTTGTTCAAATGAAGGGCCACACCCTTTTCCAAGGGGAGATAATCATGAATTTGTTAATAATTAATGGCATTTTTAAAAAATCTTCTTCTCCAGAACCGCTGGGCCAGGAAAGATGAAACTCATGTGGAAGCATCCTCAGGTAGTGTAGATTCAAGTTTGTTCAAATCATGACCCCCGGGGCAAGGGTGGGGCCAAAATGGCCGACCCAAGTTTTACATAGGAATATATAGGAAAAATCTTTAAAAATCTTCTACTCCAGAACCACTGGGCCAGGAAAGATGAAACTCATGTGGAATCATCCTCAGGTAGTGTTGATTCAAGTTTGTTCAAATCATGACCCCTGGGGCAAGGGTGGGGCCAAAATGGCCGACCCAATTTTTTCATAGGAATATATAAGAAAAATCTTTAAAAATCTTCTTCTCCAGAACCACTGGGCCGGGAAAGATGAAACTCAGGTGGAATCATCCTCAGGTAGAGTAAATTCAAATTTGTTCAAATCATGACCCCCGGGGCAAGGGTGGGGCCAAAATGGCCGAACCCAAGTTTTACATAGGAATATATAGGAAAAATCTTTAAAAATCTTCTTCTCCAGAACCACTGGGCCGGGAAAGATGAAACTCAGGTGGAATCATCCTCAGGTAGAGTAAATTCAAATTTGTTCAAATCATGACCCCCGGGGCAAGGGTGGGGCCAAAATGGCCGACCCAAGTTTTACATAGGAATATATAGGAAAAATCTTTAAAAATCTTCTACTCCAGAACCACTGGGCCAGGAAAGATGAAACTCATGTGGAGTCATCCTTAGGTAGTGTAGATTCAAGTTTGTTCAAATCATGACCCCCGGGGCAAGGATGGGGCCAAAATGGCCGACCCAAGTTTTTCATAGGAATGTATAAGAAAAATCTTTTAAATTCTTCTTCTCCAGAACCACTGGGCCAGGAAAGATGAAACTCAGGTGGAATCATCCTCAGGTAGTGTAGATTCAAATTTGTTCAAATCATGACCCCCGGGGCAAGGGTGGGGCCAAAATGGCCGAACCCAAGTTTTACATAGGAATATATAGGAAAAATCTTTAAAAATCTTCTACTCCAGAACCACTGGGCCAGGAAAGATGAAACTCATGTGGAGTCATCCTTAGGTAGTGTAGATTCAAGTTTCTTCAAATCATGACCCCCGGGGCAAGGATGGGGCCAAAATGGCCGACCCAAGTTTTACATAGGAATATATAGGAAATATCTTTTAAAATCCTTCTCAATTACCACTGGGCCAGGAAAGATGAAATTCATGTGGAATCATCCTCAGGTAGTGTAGATTCAAGTTTGTTCAAATAATGACCCCTGCCCTTGGGATATGATGGGGCCAAAATGGCCGACCCAAGTTTAACATAGGGAAATATAGGGAAACCTTTTAAAATCTTCTTTTCAAGTACTTCAAAGCTATGATTAGTGATACCCGGGGTATTTATATGGAATCATCCTCAGGTAGTGTAGATTCTAGTTTGTTCAAATGATGAACGCCTGGAAGGGGGGGGGGGGTAAATTCAAGCCTGATGTGCTCAGGTGAGCGCTGTGGCCCGTGGGCCTCTTGTTATACATTACTGTGGATTAACTACTATTTTGCAAGCGTGCACGTTAAAGCATTGAAATTAACTCCCCCATCCCCATTTAAAAAGGACAAAAAGAGACACCAGAGAAAATGTATCTTAATACATTTGTTTCAGTATTCAAAGATAAATTCGAGATTTTTCGTTATCCACACACTGTATATTCTGGGACTCAATCGAAAACTCCTATATATTTTCAATTTCTGTTGCTTGAGTTAGAAAAACATCCACAAATATTTTGCGTAGTTGTTAAAAGCCACCCTGCAAATTTTTAAGCAAATACCCTGCTTAAAATATGATAGCAATTTTGAAAAATAATGGGATTAGCAAAATTTGACAATCATGTATATTACTAAAACTAGGTTCATCGTAAATCATTTGCCTATAAATACTGGTAGATAACAGATTTATTTTCATATCAAAAGGGACATGCAGAATATATGATTTTCTTTTTTAATTCTTAAAAGTTGTGGTTGATTTTGTAAATTTATATGTTACCCAACATATCAGTTTAAAATTTACAGGAAGCAATTTCATGCATTTTGTTTTTGAAGGGTGGGGGGTGCGAATATTTTCATGGGAGGACTATCAGATAGAAACAAATTATAAGTATCAAGCTAACAAGTTATCATACAGACGTTATGAGAGCGCGTACTTCCAATGTTTTACACAGTTTATTACATGTCGGCAAAATTAGGGGGGTGTAGGGTCCCTCAAGCCTCCACTTTCGGTTCCTACGACCATAAAAATGATTTCTATGTGCACCTGTACATGGAACAAAATTCCCTAATAAATTGAATTTTTCGAAAATAAAAATTCATTGGCTTTTAGAACTTCTTGAGTTATATGCAGATTAACATACCGCTAAAATGTTCTTGATGTATGATAGTAATTTTGAATTAGGTTTCATGCACAAACCAAAGGAAGAGTTAGATTTTGTAAATGTTATATTAATTATCATCCCCCCCCCCCCACACACACACACCGTCACAAATTTTTATAACTACCGTGTGTGTGTCATTTTTTAGCCCCCTTCCCCTACTTTTTGGCTTAATCTTCTTCCAGTTATTGAATTGATAATTTGCACATATCATAGCTTCCTTGAACTTGACCTTATGATATATAGTATCAGAGGTAATGGATTTTTATAAAGGGCTAGTTTTAGTTTCCTTTTTTTTTTTTTTTATTTTTTTTAGTAGTAATAGTGTGTGAATATGTCATAGAAAAATATTTTAATAAAAAAGTCAAAGAACTGGAGAAAGGAACACGGAAGGGGGGTCCCGTCCCCAAGCACCTGTGTTTAAAATGAAAGAAAAACTGAGCAAGCTCACATACCCCACGCTCCCCCAAAACTCAAAGTACTGAAAACCCCGGAAGAAATAAAGGAATCGGAATTTCCCAGGTATATGCACATCTACACATTGCGTCCTAAATATCTGCAAAGCTTGATGAAATTCTGTGCAGCGGTTTAAGAGGAGTTGCGCTGACAAAAAAAAAAAAAAAAAAAAAAAAAAAACTGGATTGACGGACGGACGGACTGACATTTTGACTGACGGGTGAAATACATTATACCTTACGCAACTTGCATTGTTGTGTGTAGGAAATAAAAAGAAATGACAATTAATGTAAAAGTTACCTTATTAATACATTTTGTTTCTTAGATCGTAAAAAAGAAAACCATGCATTTATTTTGTCTAAAACCTCTTTTTTAGCGAAGACTGGGGCTTATATTTGCATAACGTTTGCTTAGCAAACCTGAAAATAGTGTTGAATTTTTATTAAAAATACTGTTTATTTTTACAACTCATTCTATCCCCCGAGATATATATTAGTAGTAATTTTAAACAGCGTAAAACTATATAAAAAAATAATAAATAAATACTAAATCAATCTCTTGAAAACGTTCATATTTTTCATACTCTTTTTACATTATGAAATTTTCACTGCCAAATTACGCGGATTTTTTTTTATGACTGTGACGTAATACTAGCAAAGGAGCTGACGTCATTAAATCAGAATTGAAATGCCCCTGTGTTCGTTATAAATTTTAGTAATTTGTAAAGTCATTACAATAAAAAATTATAAGTTTGTTGCTGATCATTAAAAGAATATTTAACACATTCTGATATTCGTCAGCAAAAGTTCTGGCGTATCAACTGCACAAATTAGACACAGGTCTGGCAGTAAGAGGGTTAAAAAATGAATGAGATACAATGAGTCTGGTAGATACCAGTGATTTTGTATTTCTACCGAAATTAAACATTTAGAGTTCAAAATAGCTGACAACTATTTACCTTACGATCGACCAATTTGTTTATTTTTGCAATACAAGGCACCGAAGAATGCCAAAAGAACTATATGCGGTATATTGCATATATTTGCCCCCCACAAAAGTCAAATTTTGAAAACTTCCTGAAATGCGCTGAATTCAATAAATTGTATGAGAAATATAAATTATCAGAAAATATTTCAGTGTCAAAGCAGTGTATTCACAATTTTTGTTTTTATGACGTCACAAACTAGTCCGATTTTATATCCTTTATCAGAAAGAGGACAAAATGGACAAAATTTCAACAATTTTAGCTTTAAAATTTATAGAGCGCAAGTTTGTTCAGGAACAATATTGACATATTTCATTGATACTATCATTCTACACATTATATCAAAATATTGATCCTGAACACACATGCGCTCGGTGACTTTTACTCAAAATATCGACGAAAAATGTACATTTTTCTGTAAAATTCATACAAAGCTGAAATTTACGTCATGTTTGTGACGTCATTACGTACATATGGCGTCATTACTTATGAAAATATTCAGTGCTTTGAAGTCAGCATACACTCCCCTGTTTAAGAACTTAATTAAATATATCTCCATCAAAGTTTGATTTGGGGGGCAAATATTGGTTATTACCGAATAAAGTTCTTTATTTATTTATTTTATAGAAATTGTCTGCAGTCTGTGGATTAATATTTGTCCTGGGTAGAATTGTCTATGCCATAGGATACCAATCTGGAGGTAAGCCGTATTCAATGTATAACGGAATTGATGTGGCGCAATGTATGGTATCTGAGCTAAGAGCGAAAGAACTTGCTAAATAATAGAGTTTTAGTTCTGTGAAGTACATGTAGTTTAAGAAACAATAACCTATGGCACGCCGATTGGTTCAAAATTATTTTCTGCACAACGATCAAGATTTTATACACGAGCTAGATGAAAATTATACACAAGTAAAATAAAAATGCACGTATAGGTAAAAATTGCACATAGTTTGAAAGATTTTAACACAAACATAACGAAAAATACACGAATCCGAAATTTTTTGCACGATTTAGGGGTATAATATGCACAAACAAAAAATCAAAAATTGCACGAGCAGAGGAAACGAAAAATATACACAAACAATTTTACTGCGCATACAGCTGCGCATATCATTATTATGCACATAGATTATTCATCGTGTTCTTGGTTTTCTGTACTCTTTATTTACTTAGCTGGATGTAATCGAGAATGGAAATTAAATGGCGTTGACGATGGCATGTGCTTTACTTTGCTTTTTTATTTCTTTGCTAAACCTCGATCCGATTTCTAGCTAATGCCAATCGAACAAATGAAGTGTTTCCATGTGATCTATATGTGAGAATATACTTTAAAGTTTTTCAAAATATTATGTTTTTCTTGTATTGACCGAGATCCTAACTAATATATGGAGGTATTATTTGATGACAAAAATTGTGACAAGAAGGAATTGTATAATGCGAGTTTAAAAAAAAAAAAACACCGTTGCATATGATGCTCTCGACTCCGAACTCAAAGTACCAAACGATAGTGCGGCTGACTAGGATCTTGATTTTCTTAAAAAATTGTAGAATTATTTTTTTTTTTGTTTTTTATATAAATAAACTCTCAATAGCTTTTGAAAATTTCTAATTTATAGATACAACTTTAATGGAAATTACTTGTATAAATATAGAATTAACACTTGCATAATCAAACGATTAATAAAGTTGATTATTCATTGAAATTGAATCAGAATTATTGCTGATTATAATCATTAAGCTGTAGAATTAATTTTGATACTCTTCATTTGTAACTATTTTATTTTCTTTAACACTCGGAATAGGAAATTATATATACCTGTATTCATTTTATTGGATATATATATTTTTTTAACTTAAAAAAGTTGGTATTACCTTAGATGTACACAGCATGTATTTTGATCTAACGTCAAACATAAAAAATATTTTATTCTAATAACACATGTATTCATACTTATAAAATATCAGGATATCAGTTTTGGTTGGAGATCTTTAGCATACTTTGTTATGAATTCCTTTCATGAAATCTCATATTTTCAGTTATAAGCTACTCAATAAAAACAAGACATTTCTTGTAAGCGTTACCCTCATTCGTAATGGCGATTGCATGACAAATGTTTTCATTTTAATAAAAAGGACCAGATAAAATGAGAATATATATACTCTATGTGCTTTATGTACATGCGCTTTTGTGTTTTGTTACTTTTAAAACATTGTGATTTACTAAGTACATCTATGCGTACAATGTTACAAATAGGAAGCAATAAAAAAAATTAGAATGGATACAGCAGTGTAATAGAACGTATTTTATCACTCTGAAAAATGCAAATAATTTATGTTCTTTATGGAGCTCGACGTGTGGCAAGTATTTTCCAAGACAACAAATTCTGTTTACATTTCAAATTCGACTTCATGATTTTTGAAATTATTTTCCAACCACTAAGTTTCTTGTAATATTACTTTTTTTTACCCAAATACATGTAAATGGCCATTATGAAAAAAGGAACATGATTATACTTGTATTATTATGAAACGAAATTAATCGTCAATCAGGCCTGTAGACCCCCCATCCCTCTCATTTTTGAGTATAGATTTTGCTATAGTAAATTTTCCTTTACATGTTGGTTGACCCCAACCCAACCCCCAATTTTTAAATGTTGTTATGTCGAGCACAGGCAAATCCTAGGATATCGTACCCTTAAATTCTTAAAAATATATTTCAGAAGGGACCTGCATCCCCCCCTCTTTTTTTTTTTTTTTATTTTTTTTTTTTTTTTTTTTTTTTTGTTTTTTTTTTTTTTTTGCAAACAGAACCTACTTCCATTTTAACTAAAAAACCCCCTTTTTGTTGCTGGATTGGAATTGAAGGTGCCTCGATCACTACCTCAACGAAATAGGATTTTCGAGAATGGACGCTTTACCTTTTTTTTTGCTTGTTAATTAGAATGTTTAGGTATAATTTGCCCCCCCCCCCCCTCCTCACTTTAAAAAGCGATACTAAATGTGTATCAGCATAATATAATTTTAAATTGTTTAACTCCTTTATATGCATTTTACCTATTCAAAATAATCTACACTAGAAAAACAGAAATTCACATAAGTAAAACACTGTATAATTTTATTACGAGTTATTTTTTTTAAAAAAAATGATGGATTCTTTTAATATTAAAATTAAAGTTGCGCAATTATTTATTGTTTTTTTTTTTTTACTGTTTACTTCTAAAAATGTATCGGGCAAATTCCACAACCCAGATGGCAGCAACATTGCTTCAAAATCTCTGAATGAAATGCTTGTAACCTTCAATCAAATGGTATTATTAATGTGTCAAATAACTATAAATCGATTATCGTACAGGTGTCTTTCATTCCAGCACCAGCAGGGAGCCAGGAATCTCTCGATATGAAAAGGTCACGCATCCAAAACCTTAATTATTACCATAGTACACACAGTGGGTGGTGGAGGAAAAGAGTTTCATTTGTTGTTAACTCTCCTGTATTACCTTACGCTGTTATTATTTGCCTTTACTATGATATTATCATTGTTTTGAACTTTCAAAAGATATTGCTATATAGAGGAATGACATTAAAAAATCTAACAATTAAACACGCAACTGATAATATATATATCCACACACCCCTTTTTACATTTTATATACATGTAGAATGTATTTTTGATATAGGGGTGTTAATTTATATGCAAATTGTGTACCTGTCAATTTTTAAATGTATATTAAAACACTATGTAATGTGCATATTCTTGAGAGTCTAGCGTAATTCTGAAAGACTGAATCTTTTTTAAAAGATTGAATAAATATTATTAACACATTACTCATCCTCTTGATTTATAACGTTTCAAGCATCCAAACCACACTGAGCTGTTCTCTAATGAATATTAATGAAATGTGCGCAATGAGGATGCGCCGTATATTATGTCGATGTTGTATTCTCACTTGTGCAGTTTTCGTTTTTACGTTTGTGTAATTTTCTCATTATATCGTGTAAATATGTTCTTGATTGTGTAATTTTTGTATAGTATGTGTAAATTTCAATAACTTTGTGTGTATTTTCCGCACTTTGTGTAAGTTTTGACTTGCTCGTGTAATTTTAGTTTAAGGTCGTGCAGAAAATATTTTTGAACCAATCGGCGTGCCATAATAACCTTAGGAATACAAGGAACGCATTAATTAGAATACTTTACTTACTTATTAAGTCCTCTTCATGCTGTTTGGCACATAAGGCTGTCACCAGAGACTTCCATGTTGACCTATCTTGTGTCCATCTTTGGACCTGTCCCCTTGTCCAGCTGTTTTTTTTTAATTTCTTTCTCTACCGATCTTCTGCATGCCTCGTTTGGTCTTCCTCTCTTTCTCATGCCAGTGGGTGTCCATCTCAATGCAACCGTTAGGATGGAGGTTAAGTGCATTCCGTTCTACATATATGTCCTATCCACAACCATTTTCTTTTCTTTATAGAGGAGTGGTGCTTGTCTTGTTGTACAGCTCTTCGTTTGAGTTGGTATTAGGCCAGAAAATTTGTAGTATTCTGTGAAGGCAACGTGCTTGGAAGGCATCTAGTTTGTTTGAAATGGTTTGTGTAACTTTCCTTGCTCAGCACCATATATGAGGACCCCAAGCACGTTTCTCTTGAAAATTCTTATTTTCGTATTTATGCTGATCTTTGCTGACCTCCAGATGTTTCATAGTGCCACATACGCTCATGTGGCTTTAGAAATACGAGCTAGCACATCTACCTCAGAATTCCCATGTGTGGTGTATTGTTTCCTAGAAAGACAACTTCCTCTTTTATTTTTATTATATAGGGTGATGGACTCGTATGATTTAGTATTGACCTTCATGATCTTAGTCTTGGTGGTGTTAATTTTCAGGCCAATCTTCCTTGCTGTTTCTGCTAGTTGGTTGGTTTTTTTTTCTTGCAGGTCACAATGTCGGTGTGATAGAAGTGCTATGTCGTCTGCAAAATCTAGATCTTCAAACATCTCTGTCATAGCCCAAGTGATTCCCATCCTCTTATTCTTGGTAGTTTCTCGCATGATCCAGTCAGTGTAGAATCTGAAGAGAAGAGGAGAGAGCAGATATCCCTGTTTTACTCGTCTTCAATTAAAAAAAACCCCTCCTCTGACAGGTTTGATCCACAGATAACTATGGCATTTATATCCCTTTACAGTATCTTAATGATGGAGATGATTTTATTATTGTTTGCAGCTAACTGTAAAGTTTCATGTTACGTCACGATCTTTTTCGTCAGATGCATCCAGCGTAAAAAATTCACGTGATTGGTCAACTCAAATTATCAACATTGACACGGAAATAGTCTGTTGCACGAGCAACCAATCAGGGATAAGAAGAAAGTTCCAGTCGTAAAGCTTGCGGTTAGGAGGCATGTACAATTTACCTTGAGTGCAGCTCTCAACAAGATCGTGACGTAACGTGAAACTTTACAGTTAGCTGCAAACGATAATATCTGGGATCCCATAATTTTTCCTAAGGCTTGGCGATTAACACTGTCAAAAGCTTTTTTAAAGTAGATAAAATTGATGTAAAGTGGAGCGTTCCGTTCATTGCTTTGCTCAAATTCTCTAGTACTTGTCTGAGAGTGAATACCTGGTCGGCACATGACCTTCCCTTTCTAAAACCTGTCTGTTCTTTCCTCAGTATTGAGGATCTGCTATATTTGTGATTCTGTTCAATATCACTCTGCTTGGCACTTTCATGGATACGGAGAGCAACATTATCCCTCTATAGTTGTTGTAGTTTGAAAGGTCTTCTTTTTTTGAATATTAATTACTATAAGGCCTGTTCTCCAGAAAGTTGGTGTCTCTTCTGCTTCCCGTATGGTCTGTAACATATTTGTCAAGATGGCAGGTGTCCAATATTCTTTGGCCTTGAGGAGCTCTGCATTTATCTAATCAATGCAAGCAGCCTTTCCATTTTTTAATTTCCCTATTGCCTACTTCACCTCTTCTATACTGGGTGGAACTGTATTAATATCCAGTGTGTTTATGGCTGGTATTACCATGACCTCATTTTCTGTATCATTAATACTGAACACTTCCTCAAAATTTCCATCGTCTCTGTATGTCTTCTTCATTTGATAAGACGTTTCCTTTTAATCTCTTACTAGTAAATCTGATGGCTGAAATTTACCTGCTAGTAATTGTGTAATTCGATGGAGAGTCTGCATATCTTGTTTTGAAGCTGCTTGTTCTGCTTCATTAGCTAGTTTTTCAGTGTATGCCTTCCTGTCTGCTCTGACATTTTTCTTAAGTTCTTTGTCTATAGCCCGATATTCTGCTTGGAACTTATCTTTTTAAATTTAGTGGACAGGATATTCTTTTTCTTTTCTTTACGTTGCTCTACTATTTCCACGAATTATCCGAGATCATTTCCTCTCTTACCTCTTTCTTGGGCCAAGTATTTGCTGCGCATTATCTACATGATCTAATAGTATCTCATTAACTGTTTCAATATGAATTTCATCTTAGTGTTCCATAGCTGTCGCAAACTTGTTGTGAACTTTTAATTAAAAAGATCTCATAATTTTCTCGTCTTTAAGATTTTGGATGTCAGTAGAAGGCGGTCTTTCATCTTTCTTCCTTAGCTTAAACTTGACTTTAGCCAATACTAATGAGTGGTCACTTCCCACGGCAACCCATCTAGGAGACCACTTCTCCATGACATGATCAATTTGGGTTTCGTATGACCATCTGGTGAGTTCCATGTTTTCCTATAGATATCTTTGTGCATAAATATAATCCCACCGATTATCAAGTTGTGTTCTTGGCTGAAAGTGTACAGCCCTTCTCCATTGCTGTTACATTCTCCTATGCCTTGCTTACCCATGATGCTTTCTTTGCCTAGGTTGATTTTCCCTACTTTTGCATTTAAATCTCCCAAGATAAGCAGGACATCGTGAGAGGGTGTATTGTCTACTATCTCTTGTAAGCTGTCGTAAAAGGAGACTCTTTCATCGTCTTTTGCATCATCTGTTTGTGTATAGCATACCACTAAAGTATGGCAAAAGCTGAGTTGAATATTGCTGTTATGATTCATTCATTCACATGCTTTCATTCTAGTAGACTTCTATAAACTTATTATTATTGCTTCTCTCCTACTATGATGTTCATCAGTTCTTCCAGAGTAGAGTATTTGATGTTCCGACACTAGTTGTTTTGACCCCTTCCTATCGGACTAGTACACTTTCTTGAAGCTCGATCTTAAAATGCTCCATTTCTCTCACCACTTGCGCCAGATTTCCTGTTTGGTAGAGGGCCGGCACGTTCCAGTAGCACACTCTACGTGTTATTTTTGGTCGAAGGACATATCCTGTCAGAGTGTGAGAGTCACCCGGCATACCATTAGTATCCTGAGTGGTATCAATCCTTCTTCCATCACTTTGTTCTCTGGTTAAGGTTTCTGTAGCTGCATTGTTTGACATTGTTAATGCAAAACCCACAGAACTCGGGGGCCAGTGTTTTTTTTTTCAGGGATGTCCCACACTTAGATGATTGCGTTAGATGATTTAGATGAGTGTTCCAAATCAAACCCAAAGAAAATGAGGAATATATCAATACAGGGTATTGCTTTGGGAGGGTTTTGGAGAGGGTCTTCCTCCTCTAAGCCAGAGCATTTTTTAAAAAAGGGTATCTTTCTTGGTTGGTTCTTGTGCATTCTGTACGTCCTTTTTAATGAAAATAAAGTAAACCAAACAGTTTTACTATACTTCGTTTCAAAGTACTCGAAAACTGTTTATCCCTTCATGTTGTAAATAAAACATATGGAGAAAACGAACTGTATTCAAGATCAAAAGTCCATAAAACAATACAAAATAGGGGCAGAGCAACCACGGACCTCCAAAACATCAGAGGTGGGATCAGGTGCCATGGAGGAGTGAGCATCACCCGCCGACCGGTCACACCCGCCGTGTTCTCCTTGTCATCATCAAGAAATAACGAAAAGATCCGTCGTCAATTCAGTGTATAAATAATGGACTAACAATTAGTATGAAAAACGTCAGTCAGTATTTGACTCAATAATAAACTGTATTTGCTGACAAGGTCATTATGTCGACCATAGAACTTACGAAATGATGACTTTTAATGAGACTGCTGATATCTTGTTTCATCAACTTGTTAGACAATAATTTACCTCGTATTAGAAATTGTTCATACGTAGAGCGTGCTCTTGCGTATCGAATCAATTGAGATATACGAGAGTTGTTCGATATGTATTGTGTATTGTACCACAGCGCGATAACGCCTTCGTCGATATTTATACGCCTGGATAACTCTATTCAATACCTTGCCAACAGTATAAACACGAGCCTTCATCTACACATGGGTTATAAAATAATCGTCATTTCAATAGAGCCAGTCGTTGACCACTGTTGTAAAAATTGTTGGGAAAAGGGTTGAGAATATCAAAGAAATTAGAGCTTATATAAAAGTTCGCACAAAACTCGGTAATTCGGTAAAGCAGTTTTTTACTGAATTGGGGGAAGTTTATGGGTCTGATAAGGTATCTTATGAGACAGTTCGTAGTTGGAGACAGAAATTTCTGACTGGCACAGAGTCCGTCAAAGATGCAGCAAAATCGGGTCGACCTGTGACTGTATCAGGGCATTCAGGCAAGACAAATGTCTCAAAAGTCAAGGAAATAATTGAAAGTGATGGCAGGTACACGATTCGTGATATTGCCAAAGCTGTTGGCATGTCGCTATCGCGGGTGCATTTCATTTTGAAGCGTATTTTGAAAGTACGAAAGATTTCTGCCAGATGGATACCCCATATATTGACAGATGACCAAGAAAAGGTACGAATACAAACCGCTAAGCGACTGCTACAGTGTAAAAATGTTTCCAAACTTCAATTAAGGACAATTTGCAAACATGGTTACTGGTGACGAAACATAGGTTCACAATTTCTAACCAGCAAGAAAATATGGAAACAAATTATGGCTAACCAAACACGATAGAAGGCCTGTAGTTGCCAAAAGGACAATGAGCACAAAGAAGGTCCTTTATTGCATATTCTTCTCTTGTGATGGTTTCGGTGCCGAAGGGCAAAAGTGTAACAGGTCGGTATTACCGAGATGTTGTACGGAAAAAGCGCACAAGAAATATTATCAGAAACGACGTCCTGTGTCGGGATTTAGGCATGTTCGCCTTCTTCGTGATAATGCTCCATCACATACATCTGAGCTTGTGAAGCAATTTTTGAAGTCTGAGAAGGTTACCGTCTTGCCACACCCACCATACTCTCCGGATCTAGCACCATGCGCTTTTTTCCTTTTTCCAAAACTTAAAAAGTTCTTATCTGGTCGTCGATACAAGTCCCGACAGGCCCTTGGCTCAGCCGTCAGTCAGTTTGAGATATCGTACAATACATAATACATATCGAACAACCCTCGTATAAACTCCATATGCAGGTGATGAAGGTATATTGCTGCATAAGTAAGGGAAGTTGACGAGAGAAAAGTTAAATTCATGTTTATCATAGAGCTTGGTTATTAGATTACCATTAACGTTTTTTTTTCAAGTAAAATACTGCAGACGTACTTTTTTCCACGGGGTCATAATTCCGCGGAATCTCAATTTCTGTTTAATCGGCGGGTAGAAAATTACGCGGATTTCTTAGACTGTCACTATATGAAATACATTTATATTAAGTACGCTAGGACAAATTTCCGCGGAAAAAAGTACTTCTACAGTATCCAAATATGAAAAGTTGTGTCAGACTCTGTGGTATCTTCTATCTCAAGCTCACCAGGATATATCGTATCGACATAAGAATGGAAATTACCATTGTTAATTGACAATATGTTGTCAATATATCTAAATGTCGAGTTGAAGGCCATAACAAGTGTTTTCTTCTTTTCATGCGTAAGATTTAGCAAAAATTCTTTTAAATTTACTGGGTGACAGTTAAACAAAATTTTCTGCCACCCAGTAAATTCAAAGACTATCCTTTCTCAATCTTTGACCATAGCAGTTGGAATGGTTTGAATGAGTTTCATTTATCATTTTTGATTTAAATGTCTTTTTTAGAGTATGCTATATATATGTATCCTGCATTTTAAATTTGTTTTTTTTTTCATATAATACATGTAGATCCAAAGAAGCGTCTTCGCGGATCATTTGCATACTTTGGAATTCTTGGAATGCTGGTGTGTTCCATCATGTTTGGACTCAACCTACTGCAAATCGTTAAATAGTGAACAAACATTTATGAAATAGTCAAGGAATTTTGAGATTTACTTATTCACTCACTAATTTCTCTCTGATGCGCATTCATGTAGCATAATAATATGATTTTCAAAACTTCTTTATGAAACTAATTATCGTCACATACTCCATTAATTTTTGTATAGTACATCATCAAAACGACGTGGTTTAGTGAGCCTATTTAATTGTTAAATGTAAGTTATAATGCATCATACAATGACCTGGGAAGGTTTAAGCAATTTTGTACATGTATAGTTAATAAATATAAAAACATCTGTAATATGACTTGACAAACTTAATTGATTAAATTGTACTGAATACATGTATATATAATATGTAGTAAATAAATAAATAATATTTACTGTGTCGTCATTTTAGCCGACTTTCAGTTGCATGATATATTAACAGCAAACGTCCATTGAAAGAAATAAGAAGCAGAGCAAAAAACGGACCTCTAAAACACCAGAACTTGGATCAGGTGCCGTGAAGGAGAGAGAATCCCCATTACAAAATATTAAAACGATCTGCTATCGTCTTCTGAAACTTTGGAGCAATATTATGTGAACGCCAAAGTAACATGGAATATATGGAGATAACGAATAGTATTCAGCTCAAAAGTCCAGTAAACAATACAAAATAGGAGATGGACAAACACGGACCTCAAAAACACCAGAAGTCGCACCCGCCGTGAGCTCCTAAAATGATCGAGAAATAACGGAAAAATCCACCAACAATTCAATGTGTATATAATGGCTCAACAATTAGTTTGAAAAAATGTCAGTCAGCATTTAACTTAATGATAATTTGTACAATTTATTTACTGATTTTCTTTGCCAGAGCACAACCGATAAACCAGACACATTTCCCAGTTCTCCGGGTTTCGTTCTTTACCACTGACGAGAAACTTCAAATTAAGCATGTAACACTTTAAATATTGAGCGTTTAGTAGTATTGCTAGCTGGTTTTTTTTTGTTTCTCTGTTTCCTTTGTTTTTATGACTTTTTCGGATGAAGGAACAGATCTTTCCGAAAAATTTAACATTTTTTTTTTACTTCAGGCAGATAAAATAATCACAAGTTCTCACATTTTACAAGCGAAACATTTCAGCAGTTATCTCTCTTTGCTCCTTCACTTTTAATCACCACCCAAGTACCATGATGGACAAAAGAATGAGACAGACGGACAGACAGAAAGAATGATTACTCTAGGATACCCACAAATCTTTGTGGCGCCCTCATTTAAGGTATATAACTTTTGAAATAAGGTTGATAATAAACTAAATGTTCCACACAAATATAAATATAAATTTTATTCAATTCATTTAATGACACCACCAACATACATTGGCACACAGTCATGAATACAACAATTAACATAAAATGTGTTAAAAAATCATTAGTTTTAAAAACAGATTGAATATTTTCTGCAACGTATACTTAATTGTGTTTTGGGGATGGTGCTGATTAAAAATCTAATGACTGTAGTTGTCTCGTTGCCACAATGGAAGCAACGCCTCTGCTTGTCTACAAAACACTTTAAATTACTTTATCACTTTATTTTATCACCGAAAATTTGAAATCTAGAAAAGAACAAACGGCCCATGGTTAAGCACACCGATAGGAATATTGGATAAGAGTTCGGGACGGCCATTCCAGATGGATGCTGTGAAAATGTTAATTGTGTTGGGAATCATTATGTAGCAATGTAAATGAGAGACGTTTCAACCATACACATAGAGGTAAGCGTAGTCATGGACATCGTTCTTAGAGTAAACCTTTTATACACGATATCTACTTTGATTTATTTCTACCTTAAAAGTTAAAAGTTAGGTCTTCATCACATTTGCAGCAAACATTACTCTGTTCCTTTGAAATTTGTAAATAGTTTACTTAAAATGTCATGGAAAGTTCATACATATCTTGATTTCCCCACACCAGAATATCGACTCGGATCTTGCAAACCATTGGCCTTTAAACCTTTAAAGTCCAGAGGTTTTTTTTACATCACTGACAACTGCTTTTTCAATTTTCTTGTCATTGGTCATTTGCGAAGTTACTTTTGAAAACCAATATAACTGTGTACGTAAGTACTTTGAAGTTGATCCTAAAAGATGCTCGAGTTTCTAATTCATAATGTTTATGTGGTTTTAGTAGACAAGGCTCCTGGATCATGAAACAGACTTCGACTTAAGTCAAATTTTCAAATGCAAAATGTTTACTAGTATATTTTGAAATTATTGTTGAACTAAAAATGTGCCAAAACATCATGTTTAAATTGGAACACAATTCAATTTTGATCTGTTTGCCTTCTATAAAAATGTATAGCATGGAGATTTTGACTTGAGAATTGCCAAAAGTACAATAGCGACCCGTTATTAGCTGAAGACTCCCCAAGTTTGCAACTTTCTCGTCGGTTTAATAATCCTAGGCCCTTTCCGAGCCGTTAGTATTGATCAAAACAAATGACCATGATAACAGATAGTAGATACACACAAAGCCGTACATTTAAAACAACATCATAATTCTCATGTTTTATCCAAATGTTTGGTTATTGCAATTGGGGTATAAATGTAAAGGAACATATGGAGATACTAGTAGCAAACAAGGGATGCTCATTCCTCCATGGCACCTGATCCCGCCTCTGATGTTTTGAAGGTCCATGTTTGCTCTGCTCCTATCTTGTATTGTTTTATGGACTTTTGAACTTGAATACTACACTCGTTATCTCCATTTGTTTCATCTAAATGTCGAGTTGAAGGTCACAGCATGTGTTTTATTCTTTTCATGTATAAAAATTTGGACAAATTCTGCAAATATCGGGCTCAGTTGGTACAAATGGAAATTACAATAGATTGAAGACTTGACGTCCAAGAACCACAAAAATATTATGAATTAGGAACATCTTGTGATGCCAACTTCAGAATACTTGTGTGTACAATCAGAATGTTTTTTAACAAAATAATTTTGTAAATAACCAGTGACAAGGTAAGTTAATTTACGAATTCCATTTTTTTTTATTGAAAAAGCAGATGTCAATGATATAAAAAAGCCTTGACTTTGATTTATCTAGAGGAATGTTTGTGTATAAAGTTGAAAAGTCGTAAGTTTTTTAAAAACTGTTGACTTTGGTAAAATCTTGTGATTTCAAATTGTCCAAAAGTTCATTGAAATTTTTAAGTATCCAGATCCAATTTACACCACTTTTTTATTGGTGTACAGTACTCGATCTTGAAGTTTTTTCTTCACTACTGTTTATACATGTATCTACTTGAAGAGTAAAGAAAAAAGCTTGTTTCAGCACTTACTGGAACCCGCTGTATAAATCATGTGTCTATTAATTATTGTTAAATTATATGAATTCTAATAAATCTGGAAGCATATGAAATTTTTGCCTGGACATGATAATTTTAAATGGGTGGCATGAACAATGTGTAAATGTCTTGTTTGTTGGAAAAATATTTTTTTTAATTTTAAAGCTTAACTTTTCACCTAATGTAAAATGACATCGGAGAGGACGCATTATATGTGAGTTGAAATTTCCCGATCATTTCTAAGATACGTGTTTTACAATGGTTTCAACGACCTTGAAGGTAGAATGAAGACGGTACCTAATTCCTTTTAAAGACAAGTTCGTTTTACGTTTTGATTGTAATGAACCTGCTTGTATTGAAAAATAATTGAATAATCCATGGCCGCCATGAATGTTTCGACATAAAATAGGCGCAGCGTTCCGAATCATTAACAACAGCAGTGTCACAGTTCCCTTTAATCTAGTATTCAGGCACTTGTTGAAAAAAAAAAGCTGCAAATCAGGGAATGGATGAGACACAGTAAAAAGAACGTCAAAAATATAAACAGTAAAATTACATATTGAACAAGAACAGATAGCACTGTATAAGAAATGCTGGTGTGAAGACGGAGAAAAGTTTCTCATGAAATATACCCGGTCATTATTCGTCTTCATACCTGCAATGGTTTAAAAAGATAATTTTAGAGTTTAATTGGGAAAATTGTTATAGAATGTTTTTGTTTCGCGCTGATTCACTAAAATGTATGTTGGTCATGCATATTTGAGAATTGGAGAATGTAATCGTACGTCCATTTTTATTAAGCACATGCATGGTTTTGTAAAACCAGCAAGGAAACACCTTGTTAATTATGGCTGAGAAAGGTGTGAATTTACTCAATCAACGATCCGTAAGATCAGGCGTGCCCCAGTGAGACGAAAAGTTTATCTATTTATGGGCAATTGAGCTCAGATACCACGTACTCCCACAAGTAAGAGTCTCGATCGTTTAACGTCCCTTTGCTCCTTATATACCTCGGCGCCAAGTCAAACGTATCTCGCCGTGAACTTCTAGCATACTGGAGTAAGATACCACTGAAATCAAGAGTCACTTAAATTATATTTTTTTAAGTGAATTTAAAAAATACAGTAATATCTTTCAACATCATCTAGGCATCGCTTACAAATTAGAATGAAATAGGTGAAAATAACGAATAGTGCTCGATCTAAAATATCTATATGCAATTAAGAATAGGTTAGGGAGACAAAACACGGAGTCCTGAAAACTCTAGAGTTGGGATCAGGTGATTTGGAGAAGAGAGCAATCCCAGTGACGGAACACAATAGCAGTGATCCCTCCGTCAGATAAAGGGGACAGTCCGTAGTCAAATTTAGGAAATAAAAAAGTTTTTACAATTGGTATGAAACACGTCAACCAAAATACGACCCAAGGATATAGTATTCTTGTTCACATGACCATTAAAACGACCATTGACAAAATGCTGACGTTAAGCGAGGTTGTTGAAATCCCCATAACATTAACATAGTAGTGAGTAGCATGCCGCGCTTAACAAAATGATCGCACATAGAGCACGCTCTCCAGTAGCAAGAATCGATTAGGAGACATACACAGCGTAAGAGGGTTAATGTAGAATATTATTACTAGTACACATTTATATGAATAAGGAAAGTTGAAGATAGAAAATCTGATGTGATATTTTGTCATACAATGTTAGTTAGCGTCACATCGAGAGAGGAAAAAAAACATCCTGAATAAAATATCAATTTTTAGGGATAAAATCTTTTTTATCTGAACCCCAAGATTAATTTTTCTACAGAGTGTATTTTCTAACTTGTATTAATTTATTTACACTACTTTTGAAAGATACAGTTAATTTAATTATTGTTGCCATAGAATGTCAGCGTGTTGTTCTAAACAGCAATGTTGCAACATTGAACCACGTTCACGATATCGATTTCTATCCATATAAGCACTTATAAGAACTCACTTTCGACACATCGATC